AATATTACACTGAAAACATACTATGTAGAAAATCGTTTTTGTTTATTGCAAACGAATGCATACTATTATTATAACGTTTAATTTAATCAATGTCGAAGAGCGCAGTATGTAGATGAAATTAATTAAAAGTAACTTGATTTAATCAAATTTCACGATGAAGTAGTGGAATGCTACTGTAGTATTGAAATATATTTCTCATTTAACCGTTTATGTTTAAATTTGACAAAATATAAAATTATTGTTTATCCCAAAAAATATATTACATTGTACATTAAATTATTGAAATTTTATGTTCGTTCAACAACGATGATTTTGAAGGTTACGGCAGACGACTTATATAATATTATACAATATTCATTATTTCATATTATGTTGCCTACATTTTGCCCACACACAAGTGGGAAATAATCAATTATTTATCTTAGACAAAATGCCAAATAACAAATATTATGATAATATACTAATACTTAATCAGATTCCTGAAATAAAAATAAAATACACACAACATGTTGTTTCGAAATCGATAAAACCAATGTAATCTATTTGCTACGGTGTACAATTCCTGGAGACTTTAATAGGTTCACTTGGGTTCGGTAGCAAACTATGATAAGTACCTACACGAAAACAAGTTTTATTTATTTTTATCATCGGACGAATTCATTATAAAAGTGTCTTGTGAAATTTACATTTTCCTCCCATTATATTCAAGTAATCCATACCATTTTTTTTTGTACCTAAACATTCTTTAACACTTATCTGGTTTTTTTTTCAAAGCCACTCTGACAGAGAACACCAATAATCCTGTGGTTGTCATTCAAACTAATGTAACGTTAATGAGTATATTTTGGTAACCGAAAAACTTCTAGACTAAACATGATGTCTGGCTATGCTACTGTCAGCCTCCCGACGCAGCTGGTAAAAATAAACTGATTCCTATTAAAAAGTGAACCATAATATATATTTTTTTTATTATGTAAAGCATGTGTCGAAGTATATTTTCGGCGTAAATGTGCATAATACATATCAAAATATATATAAGGGTGGTCCTTATTTAGAATTTCGGTAGACAGCTCCCTTAAAATTTCAGCATTACATTTTTACACATGGTCACTTGTTGCACTATTTGGGGGTACCTAATAAAAATGTATAAAATTCAATTTCCTATATTATTAGGTTTTCAATACAAGTAAAAAAGAATTAATAAGTGGAAAAATAACTTACTATAGTAGTCAATAATCAGCATTAATTATGTTTTATTCTAACGATCTCTATAGATTGAACCGATGTAGTCTTTATAAATTGTAATATTTTTACTATGTAAGTATATGCTATTAGTTGTTTTAAATATTCTATACAGTTGCCTGATTGACGTTGCCAACGAACGAAGATTGTACAATTCTATAACCCATTTGAAATCGACATTTACAGACAAATTTTACTCGGGCATTACAAATAGTGTAATTAATTTCTGCATTTAAGTGTAAACGCCAAGGGAACAAGAAAACCATAATGTGGCATCGCTGTGTTATGTCATGCAAGTGCAATTCACCATAATGCCATTACACAGTACACATAATATGTAAATAGGTCAGTTATCAATATTTTATCGCACAAGCGTTAGCATGAACACATTAGCATGTTCACATTTTCCTCTATACTCCCACGCACAGCGTATAATAATGTGTTTCTAAACATACATATATAATGTATCCATATAATAAATACTGCTGTGGTACATTCGTTATCTCCAATCTCGTTAAACTATCAATTAAGACATTAAATTCTTTTTAAGTATCCCGATCGTGCATAAACATAATACAATCGAAAAGGCAAGTATCTCAATCACTGGTTTGCAATATCTAACGCTCTTTGTAGAATGCCAACTGCAAGACATGTATTTATTATTGTCCATTAAAAACCTTTACAGCTTTGGTAAATAACGTGTGGTGTATTGTGACATTCGAAGTGCTTATGTTTATGAGGTTTCTCGTCCTATAGTGTACAATGCTATAGGTATAAGCGGTAAGCCACAGTCAACGTGCTCGACAAACTGGAATCGTTTATAAAATAAGCTAAAATTCAAAGGATTCGTTAAAAAAAAGTTTTAATTACATTTTCTTCATCAAATAAATGGTACAACTCACTTTTTGCTACGGATAAAGGCGGTTTTTAACACTCGCCAAAGCATGGAGCGATTTATGAATCAAAACTAGAGCTGTTTAAACTTAAAGATTTTATTAACTACAACAAAAAACATTTATAATTTTAAAGAAAGCAAAGTTGTTAATAGCCAGCTTAAAATTATTTTCTCCTTAACACAATCTACTCAAAACTAGGTCCTCATAAACAATCAATCATATAATTTTGATTAATTAATGAAACTATAATTAGATTTTCACTTTTTGCTGAGCCGTGATAGAAAACAGTATGTAAAAAAATAAATGCATTGCACTTCTAACAGAAATGCAAGTCAAGGTAAATATTCATTTTTCAATAATTGCTTGATGTATCGATCAAAGAAAATTTTGATTTTTAGTTTTTAACATTATTTTAAAAATAATACTGAACTCGGATTCAACCAAAAAACAATATAAGGTACTAAGTATTAGGTTATTACCGGCTTATGCAGGTCAAATTAGCTCCTCTCCTTTGTACTTAAAAAAAAATAAAACATTAAAAAACCATTGACACGTTTAGAAGGCCAATATATAATTATGTCACGTCTGGTTTATTTAATTATAATTTCAACTTTGACTCATTATTTAGGCACGCCCCTGTCACCAAATCGCTTAAGATCCAATTTTGAAAACGGAAATTTAAGTGATTCTGAAAAAATTGTCAACAACTACGGAAATCTGAATTTTAAAATAAATTTTAAGTATACAAGTTAGAAATTTTATATACGATAATTTATATAAATAGTCAATTACAATACGAATGTTCGACAAGTATACCAAATTTCGTAAAATTTGAAATGAGTCTATTTAACAAATAATTCTCTAAAATCGTATTTTATTTTGATATAATTAAAATCAATTCTAGTATTTCAACGCACTCGATCATTGTCTTGTACCAAGCATTACTTTGTCCGGCGAGTGTATTATTTGCTTTACATAAATCCTGAAATGATCCTGAAACTGGCATTTTTCTACGCCCTCTCATTCAATAACACACATACATTAACCTTGGCAGATTTAACGACCATCATAAATTAGCCACCAGCGTTGAACAATTTTCTCCAGCATTTTTTTTTTTTTTTTTTTTTTAACATCCTCATCTTGTAAGGCTTCATATGTTTACCCGTTTACTACCCGGTTATTTACGACGGATACCGGAACCCTTCAATTAGGTGCTACATTTTATTATGTGCTACTATATCATAATATTTTGCAAGTAAAAAATCGCCATCGTTATGTCTCTTTTTCTTTTAACCGTCTGTCGACACTCCCATAGGGGTTTGTTGTCCTTGAAAATAAAACAAACAAATTAACCAAGACCTGGTCAAACGGGTCTAAAATACAATATGCCGGCTTACACTAAGTACCTAACACAACCTTCGTTGACCACAGATTTTTTTTTTACAAAGGAACATCATTATTTTGTTTTATTATACTGGCGTTGTACATTACAATGTATTACACTTAAGGAGTGTTGTATAGGCAGCAACTGTAAACATGCATGAGTATTTGGTCGCATCGGCACAGAATCTAGTCTTCATTTGTAAAAAATTAAAATTATTCATTAAAGTCATGTCTGCTTTTAATAAATTATCCTTTATTTGTCTTATTTCAATTATTTTTTTAGCATGGTTTTAAATATAAAATGTCTAACCGGACAAAGCTGACTGTAACAACCAGTGTATAATAAATAAATTACTCAAATTTGGTTGCACAAACAATAATTTAAAATGAAAAATGTATTAATTTATGGTAAAAAAAACTCCTTTACTTAAAAATTATTACAAGATTGTATGAAAATAATGAGATGTCATCATGACTGGTCGATAACCAGTTATGGATAATTATTCTTAAATGTATTGAAGTTTTAAGTTTAGAATGACTGAAAGGGTAATGCGCACATTACTCAACCACACTTGTCCTTCCATCCTAAACTTTAATAATTTTTAAAATAATTATCCAAAATTAGTAAAAATGTAATAACTGAACACCCTGAATAAATAACCACTCTATATATATCGACGGGGATTTTATTAGAATGTTTACATTTAAGTTATAACAATAAAAAGATAATCTGAAAACATTAAACAACGTCCGATTCCTAACAATAAAATATAGAATTATCTTATTAAATAGACAAAATCATTTTCCTTTATTCATTTAGACTTTTGCCTGATAATGGAACTAATAATTAAAGAATATGGGTTAAACTGTTTTAGTGCACGCATTATTACTCTATTAATGTAACAGAAAATGTAATATTCATTTAAAACGTTCGAGTCCATTTTTAATTATTATTTATTTGGTGTTTTGTCTTCAGAGAAATACTGTAGGTATGTAAAGTTATAATAATAATATTATAGTATTAAATATATGTCTTTTTGATTTAAAGCGCAATGTCAATTTAAGTTATAACTATTGTAAGTCAATTACATATTTAATGTGGTTAAAAGATAAAACTACATTAAAAGCTGAATATGTTTTTTAGCTTTGAACCGAGATGGCGTTAGTGACACGAAAAAAAACAAAACAAATTTGTGTCCGAGATTTTTTTTTAAATATTTTAATGTAAAATCTGGTTAAAAAATAGGTGAACGTTGTGTAATTTGTTTTTTAATAGACGTTAAGATGGTATTTTTTAAGGTATGGTTTTTTAAGTTTTAACACACGTTTTCTTTTCATTCACTTTTCTTTCACGTATCTTTTCACGTAGTTTTTAAATTGCCGCCATTATGCACATACAATATTGTCGATATCGGTTGAACAGTGTTGGCTACACTGATGCGCTGATACGCGGCCGTCAAGATAGTTGGCTGCCTGTCGCCCGCCGTCAACGAATACCCCCGTAATCTGTGTTTACAATTCTCGTTCTGTCTACAACGTTGTTGGTTAGGAATCCGAGTGTTTCTTTTTAGCCCGTGTCTGCCACAACGTTACCAAAATGGTGAGTACGATTTTAGAATTTTTTATCCATTTCAATCGCCGTCTGGTTGGTCCGAATAAGTTTGCGGACGAGTATTTCTTATTCGGAATATCGAAACGAATCTATTTCTAATCGAAAATGTCGCCAGATCCAGCGGTGTTTTTGTTTTACAGCCGGCTCGATAGCTCCGAGTAATGGAATTTTCATAATCACATTGATTAATACCTAAATTTTTAAGTTATGCATGTATACATGCCTTCATTCTGGTAATTGTTTTTGTTTTGCATTCTAGTCTCTGGTCATTCCCGAGAAGTTTCAACACATCCTGCGTATCCTCAGCACGAACATCGATGGCAAACGTAAAGTCATGTTCGCCATGACCGCCATCAAAGGTATCGGCAGGCGGTTTTCCAACATCGTTTTGAAAAAGGCCGACGTCGATTTGAACAAGAGGGCCGGAGAATGTACCGACGAAGAAGTACGTACCTACTTACAGTCAAACTTATAATTTGTCGATGATCAGCAGCAAACTTCATGAGAATATTGCGTCAATCGTTTGTCGTAATACTGAATATGTTTTGCTAAACTAAACGCCTTGCAATTACCAAGGGCTCTCGGTACACATTACAGAGAATCCATGCTTGTGAAGGGATAACGTAACCGTTTCTTTCTTAAAAAAAACAAACTTTTTATTATGTACAGCTGTTTTGAAATGAAAAGTGGTCAAAAGACAACTTGTCGTTCCATTTAAAACAATTGGATTCTTATGACGTGTCTTCTGAAGTTCAATAACCATGTTATTATCACGGTTTTATCTCTTATCTGCAACTTTGTGTTGACATTTACACAATAATAGTCTTATAATAGTTTACAAAAAAATAGTATGAACATATTTCCAATATTCGATCAGACTAATCGACAGATTAATATAACGGCTCGTTAATTTATTAATATTTTTTTAACTGAGTACTCAGTTTTTTATTTGAGCGGCTTCTACACTAGCATTTTAATTAAGGCGCATTGGATAGGCATTTTTTCAAAAATTAAGCTAAATTTGTAAATTTGTATGGCTAACCCAGCAAAGAGGTATCTAATTTAATATTTATCTTTTTTTTTTTTACTTCTATAATGCATACAGGCCCTAATTTTGTACCAAAACTTGTTTCTACTTCAAACAGTACCTTCCTCCCTAAAAATACTCTGATCTGAGTTTTGAAAACAAGTACTATTGACTGGATGGGAAAAAAACGGTTAATAAAAATACTAATTCAGAAATTTTTAAAACTATTCAAGTGTTCCAACATTTTTTAATAAATAGTCCTAAAAACAAATTGTATTTTTGCTACTATACAAATAATTTTTTCGTTAGTAAGTTTACTAATGTTTTAATGTCAATATTTTGTAAAATTTCTCTTGGTCCTACAAGTTTCTTTTTTTTTTAGTATAAGAATAAAAAAATTGTTAAAAATAGTAAAATTTCTACATCTTTTTTACTAATTTTTTTTTTTTTAAATATACTATACCCACTAATCAACTATAAATATTGTCGGATATCCTCATGACTAAGCTAGTTAGTATATTTTCAATATATTGATCTATTCGGTTAAGTTAAATTGTTTACAAACACAATATGAGAAGGTTGGCATGCTAACAATGCAACGCTAAATGGTTGAATTGTGTTACATTATATCAGTACAATTCCTGTAGGATTTTAAATTATTTTTATAATCCTAGTAAGTTGTACGTACATTATTCTGTCGACTATTAGTTGATCAACGTAATATAATCATTCTACACGCTCTAAGTAATGCAATAACTAATATATTATATCGATGCAATCCTAATAGGAATAATTTTTTACAGCTAATTCTTATAATAATGTAAAAAAAAAACTTGTTTATTTGAATGGTTTTAATATTTTTTAAATATACATAATAGCACGTGTATACCTAAAACTTGTTTCACAATTAATTTGTAAACTATATAATTCCGTGCTAAAGCGATATTCTTCATTAGGATAATATAAATGCAACTCATTCATTTCATATTCTATCGGTGAAGATACAAAATATTTATGGGAGAATAATTACAAGAATAGCATAATCAACGGTTCACAATGTTATTTATATGCTGTGAAATTGGTAAATTATGCAATAATAATTTTTATGTGCAGATCCATCAGGAAATAATAGTTATTAAGAATATTTCTTATGATTTGTTTAAGTACATTCTGTAAAACAGAGTAGTACATTTAAAAAAAAAAAACCCCTGCCATAAGCATAATCAACGGTTCACAATGTTATTTATATGCTGTGAAATTGGTAAATTATGCTAAATTACTGTTATGTACTTATCCGTTTTGATTTTGTCTTTTATGGTATTATCTAGGATTTTTTTAACAACACTTGAATATTTATTTTCTAAAAAAAAAAGGATGTATTTATTTTAACACAAACTTATTATTGTAATTTTTTTTTCATAGGTAGAGAAAATTATTACTATTATGCAAAATCCTCGTCAATACAAAATCCCTGATTGGTTTTTGAATAGACAAAAGGATATTGTCGACGGTAAATACTCCCAAGTAAGTATTTATTTAATCAATTGTTAATATATGTTTAAAACGTTTTGCTAAAATTTAATATATTCCATGTTGTAGCTTACATCCAGTTCCCTCGACAGCAAATTACGTGAAGATCTGGAAAGGTTGAAGAAAATCAAGGCTCACCGTGGTCTCCGTCACTACTGGGGGTATGTGTTAATTGTCAGTTAATGTAGCTTGTGTAATGACAGATTTCTACAAAAAAAAATGTATGTTTTATCTCCCTTTGAAAAACATCATGTTATTTTCACAAAAATGTCTATATTAAAAAAAAAATTAACAACATGAATTATATAGATTTCTCTTGTTCATTTGTTTTACTTTTAACTTGAGTGTTAATTTTAAGGCAGTGAGTTTTTTCCTCTTGTGTGTATTTACAATATAAAATTATTTATGTCTATACTTGGACATTATCATTTAGACAGTTGATAAAAGTGTACAACAGATTCATCCCCGTTGAATTATTTATTACCAATATAAATATATATTTATAGTGTGTATGATTTTTTTATTTTTCAGTTTGAGAGTGCGTGGACAACACACCAAAACTACCGGTCGTAGAGGAAGAACTGTTGGTGTATCTAAGAAGAAATAAGTTAAATAAAAGTGATAATTTTTATTCAAACTTACCTTTTTTTTTTTACCTCCCATTCAAACTTTTCCTTATTGATGTATGCCTCCTTTGATTTAAATATACGCCTATATTTAAAATTGTCATTATGAACTTTGGTAATTATATATTATACTGGGCATTTTAAAATCAACTATCATAAAGTACTACATATCTACAAAAATCATTTTAATATTCAACAATTTTGATTAATAATTAATTAGTAAATTTAGTGCTTTAGTAGTTATCATAAAAATTCATCGTTATTTTGATTCGTTCGTCTAATGACAAAGCTTTGCCTAACTGTTAATTTGGCAGAGTTGCATATTCTAACCAGTATTTGCTTAATATTAGCATAGGTCTTTTATACAAACACATATTACTAAAGTATGATATTTTTATTAAATTGAATGACAGTGTCTAATTAAGAATGAGACAATATGTTATAATTCTCATGTTATTATAATGACGTAGTTATTTTAAATAATATTCCAACATTTTAACATTAATAAAATATCACCATTTCATTGACTTCCTGGATTGCATATCCACTGCTGCGGGGCTGGAAGATGACCAAGGTTCATGACTCGTCTGAAATTTTCGAACGTTAAATGTCTTACTCCATCTGAAAATCACCAAAATGATAAAAATGAAATTTATAATTACTAAATTAAATAAATAGAAACTTGTTTAGTGTTTTCAAACTAAGCCCAAACAGTGCAAGTATGAAATGTTTCAAGAATATCGTTATCATTTTGACCATGAACTTTTTTAAATTTTCATAAATTAACATAAATTATTATTTTTATTTAAATAATATGGCTTATTATCGTAGGCCATTACCTAATGTGTTTACAATATTATAGTTTCAACAATGTTTTTTTAATGGTAAAATGTATTTAAAAAGATAAAAATTGTTATTATATTTTATATTTTACTGTCTAAGTAAACACAAATACCTGTTTGAGTTAAATGAGAATCCTTAAAATATGTATTTTAAGTAGCATGAAAAATATTATATTATGATAATACTTAATAACAACACAATGACAATAATGTACTTAAAAGATAATATTGTATCTTAAGTAAAGGCGGTGGATACGATTTGGATTGTTTTCTTAATTCCAAAGGCAAAGAGATCAACTTTTTATATTTTTGGCTTAAGTGGGCGTCGCACCGGTGATTTTCAGTGTTAAAAACCTGTTTACGCCAACTGAAAATAACTCTTAATTTTGGTTATAGAGTAAAAGCACCCATTATAAAATTAAAAGAGAACAATATTCCGGAGGGCGAGACGGTGCTTTTTTTTTTAAAAATTCAGTTTTTGTAAAATTACAGTCATTTAATAATGTTAAATTAGTCGTTATTTTTAAACTATGTATTGAACGTTATACTTGAAATAATGACAAAACGCACTGTCTCGCCCTCAGGAATATTGTTCTCTTTTAATTTTATAATAGGTGCTTTTACTCTAAAACCAAAATTAAGCGAGTAAAATTTTCAGTCTGCTTAAACATGTAGAGATGAAAAAATATTTTTAAATCGCTTTAAAGGATGCTGTGATAGTCCAGAAAATAAATTAACTACCAAAATAGAGTCCTAGTTATTGAACTAGTAAACTACACATCGCAGTCTAACCTTTAAATTAAAATTTTGTAAAAAAAATGCCTATACTTTACTCTTTAAAAATGGGCGGTGCGACGCCCCCTTGATACGAGCAAAGAAACTTTCATGTACGATTTCTGATCCATAAAATTGCTACATAAAGGAATCGGTTCAGTAGCTTGTAGGATATCTTGGGTCCAGACATGAATAAAACAATTTAACAATAAATAAGTAGGTGTGCAGTAAGACAACATACTTCTTGGCTCAAACTATTTTTTATGTAATAAGTAAAAATTATACCTAAGATAAATTCACTATTATTAAATTTAGTTATTAAAAATTATACTTAACCAATGCTTTCTCCGTAGTCTTCCATAATTTTTTCGAGATCAAGTTCAGGATATCTTATTCCATAACATCTGGTCATATCGTCATTGGTAATATAGTCTCTGTTAATATCTCGAATAATTCTCACAAACAGATAATACATCGCCTAAACAATTTTTTTTAAACTTACAAAATTGAAGTAAAACAAATTTGTAATAGTATATTACTTATTAAGCATAAAACGTTAATTCAATAATATGGCACCCGTTTAACACAATATTAACTGTTGTGTGCACACAATTGTTCACTAGAACAATCATAACAAATTACCTGTTTAGGCCATCTTGGTATGAGGCCTTCAGACGCAGCCTCCTGAAATTTGTGAAAATACAATCTGTACTCATCTATACCTAAAAACCACAATATCGCGGCAAAACAATTTTTAAAAAAATACGTTATTTATTTACATGTCGTTTAGATTCTTTTCGTTAAGGGGCCTCTAAACTTGCGTATTTTTGGTCGAAAACAACTGATTCTACTTCGAACGTTTCTAAAAGTACTTCAATTTAAGTTAAAAAAAAAAATATTTGAATTCTTCATAACATTTTGACCGAGTAAAACTACATTCTGCGTAGCTATGTTTGGATTCAATTTTTTTTAAATCGCTGTCAAGGATGCTGTGATAGTTTGAAAAATAAATCAATTACCAAAAAAAAAGAGTTCCGATTACTGAACGAATAATAATACATATCATAGTATAGCCTTTATGATGTTGCAAAGAATTGCCTACACTTTACTCCTTATAAAAGACCTGTGTGAAAAATTGCCTATACAATGCGCCTTAATAAATGCTAGTGTAGAGGCCCCTTAATAGATTACAATATATCGTCATGTGGGTTCTAACAACACCTGACTCAATTTCTCTAACTTTACAGGAGGCACAAAAACTGATTTATTACGTTATTAAATATCTTTTTGGTTTTTTTATAGCTTATAATCCAATCCAATTTAATTAGGCTGTGTTGGTTTTTATTTGTTACCATTCGATCGGCCACGAAAAAATACATTTTCGGCATTTACTTATTTAGGCGGCGTTAGAACTCACATGAGCTCACACACTTAGTGTTAAGCGTTAAAGAAATTACAACACATCTACCATCGTCGTCAGTGTATTTGTGTCCGTAATTCGTTACTATTTTCTCGAGTTCATTTGAGTCTTCACCTTTAAAATGTCTAAGCATGCCTCCGTAAGTAGCATAGTCTTCGTTGCCATCTCTGATAAAGTTGAATACATCTTCTAATTCCTAAAAATGTGATAAAATAATATAATAAGTGATTAATTCTTAAGTACTTCATATCGGGGAGGCAATAGAAATGTTAAATGTCAATAAAATGACGATGACATATCATTTCCATAATGATGTTGTAGATGAACGCTGCTAAGGAAGTTGTGTGAGTGTGTCCATAAGTTTTTGTTAAAATAAAATATATTATTACCTCGTTATTGTTAGAATTTACCATTGGAATATAAAAATATAATAAAATAATGTACTCTATATACATTTTTTCATTTGTACGTAAATTTGTATTAATAAAGGTAAATGATTCTTATAAAAGGTTCGCAAAGTTGGATCGTATCAATTTATCTGAATGTGATTTCATCATACAATCAAATCCATCACAAAGTATTCACAGATTCGCATCAATGCATTCTCTGAAACGCGATTTTATTACTATCTCTAAATCATTGGTCTAAAAGAACTGAAAAATATACCTAAATTAGTAATTCTAAATAGTTAAGCATATGACAAAAGTTTCTATAAATGTGTACCTAATCTTTTGCCTCGTCGATATGCCAACATAATAAGAGGTTAGTAAATGTAGTGGTATCACCATTTTGTAAATTTGAAAATTTGAAATCTATTAAATGTTATATTTTGTAAGATAGTCGGTTTAAATAAATGCTGTTTAGGGGGTCTAGCAATTTTTTTTAAAAGGTATTTGTATTTGGTATATACGTGTTCATTTATTATTTGTAAGTACTAGGTACGGCCATTTTTTTAAAAAAAATTTTTTACTTAATTCGTTATACATTAAAACGTTGTAGATTGTTGGACACTTGTATACACAAAAAATTATGCTTAACCATGATTTTCGAAATCGAGAAAAATTCCTATCAAATTTACATATTGTTCAACTTAAAATTACTACCGATAAAGACGGAGTGGAATCATTGGCAACATATCAAAACTTAAAAGTGTTTCTTTTCAAAAAAAACCACTTTCCGAAAATAAATTTAAAAAAATATTTATTCAGTGCAGAATTTGGAATAACCATTAACTCAAAATTTGACAAGATGTCCCTTTTTGCGTCACATTTAATGAAAAATTGGTTCATCTATAATACAATTTAATAGTACATATATATTTATTTTAATTAAAAAAAAAAAACACCGAAATCGTATTTTAATACCTAATAAAAATAAAGTATAAAAATAAGCCAGTTCAGTTGAGTCGGGGCATATTAGGACAAGGAGGGCAGGTCACAGGACTATACGATTTATTATTTTTCAGAAAATTTGTGTGGTTCAATTAACATTCGGTTAGGTTTATTACACAAAAACCTCAATTTTTGATATTTAAAATAATAATGAAAGTACCCGCTCATTTCGAACTGTTCCAGATCCTTAACTGAAAATGTGATAATAGTTGTACTATTAACTAGTAATTTAAGTGATGTATCTAATAATTAAGTTTCATTAAATACGACTAAAATATTATACAAAATGTTGACGTTATCAGAAACTGAACGAATCTTTTGAAATTTGAAGAGGTAGAGAAAACCGTAACTATTAACAATGATTTTTATGTTTATACACAAGATTACATTTTTTTTTTCCATTGGAATATTTTACTTGAGTAGTATTTAATTATACTGATCAGTAATCATAATTTTATGGTGTACAGGCATTTGGCGGGACAAAAGTTTTACGTTTATATTTTCAAACATTTTTTTATTGCTCAAGAAAAAATCAAGTGTATGTGTTTTATCGGATTGTTTGCCTTTTTATGATGACACACGAACAGCAATTGTAATTTTTTTATTTTTCGACTAAATGAAATACTACGTAGGTACAACGAAGTATTCCAAATATTCAATCGATTAGGTTGTACTATGATCAGTAGACTAATCTACACTAAAAAATTGATAAAAGATGTACCGTTACCGTTTTATAGTAAAAAAAAACGTTTTAAATCTGTAGTCGAGTTTTTTTTATTGAAGAAACCCAAAACACTACATTTTACGACGAAAAACCCACTTGTTCGAATTGTATTTTGTTTACTTGTATTGTCCTAGTTTCGATCTGTAGACATTCTACATGAAGATATCGGTTAGATGGCTAAGAAGCTATCTTGGGCCCGACCAACAAATCAAAACCACCATTGTATAAATATTACTTTTTAAGCTCCGCATCTAATGTGGTTACTAAATTGGATAATAATTGTAAAAAGCCAAAAATTTTACTACATATTTATTTTTATGGGCCAGTATAATTTTGATCGGAACTCCCAAACTTTATTTCATAAGCCATAACAAATCATAAATTATAATATTTAACACACTTTCGACCATATTACGACCACTCCGGTTAGGTTGGGCTAACCTAAGTTAAATATAGGGTTTTTTATGTTTCAGTCCGTAGTTTCAAGGATTTACAATTTACACATTTCATAAACGCAATGTGTTTATATATAAATACGCGTTTCCAAGTTGACGGTTAGGTATCGTTGTCTTACATTAGTACGTTTCAGATATCGGCAGTATTATGTTTTATTCCATTACAATACCGAAGCAAGTGTTTTTTACCGTGCGAAACGTATTTAACTGCAAAAAATGACTAAAAAGTAAACACTAGCGATTTTAAAATCCGAACAATATTATAGTATACGCTTTACACGCGGTATTGTACTATTATATGAATATTTTCGAACTTTTCACAAACGTTTTACATTTTATGAAATGTTATTCTATTGTTTACAATTGGATTTTCCAATGACTGGGTGAATTCGCATGTAGAAATTAATAAAATTAAATAGCTAAATAAAAATGAAATTGGACCTTTCATATAACTGCAACTTACGTTGTGATAGAAAAAATCTACTAAGAGCTAACCACGTAATAAACTAACTATACATTTTGTAGTTTTTAGAAAACCGAAGGAATACTGCAAATTCTAAGAGAAAAACAAAGTCATAGCAAGCCAAAAAAAAATTCGAAATCTAATATATTTTTAAAATTATGATAACAATTGTCAATGTATAGACAAATATAATATAATATTATGTAGCCAAAAGAACAGAAGAAAGATAAATATCAAAATAGTAATATTTTCCAAGAAAATTAGTGTCTCAATGGATCACTCTGTACATATGTATATGTTTCTCTGAGCCTAAACTTGACTTGATATTTTTGATGTTAACAACACAACAAATTCTATGAGCTCCTGTCGTGTCGATTGTCAAGCTACAATTTTACACCTACTTCAATCTTGATACATATTTCGTAAAGCAATTGTGAATTTTCTACAGCTTATAGAATGTATTTTCGCTATTATTTTTAGAGCGAGTTTCAGTTACTCTATTTAAGCTTTCCACAAAAAATATGTTCTTAAATAAATACAATTTTTTACTTATAACGTGTTTTTATTCGATTGACGTATGTATTCGAACAAATGAACATAATATGATAGTTTTCTATAAACTTATGTGGTGATAACAGATAAACTATTCGGTTTCGGCAATTGTTATCCAAAAAAATATTTAACAAGTCACGTAGTCATAAAATATTGTGACTGACCATGACTGTACTATGGGCCAAATAAATAAACTTTCCTTCATACCTAAAATACTGAATTTACATTGGTACGCCATATTCTAGATCCAAAGCTTAAAACTATTTACGTTAACTGTGTTGGTACTACGAGCTCGAACTAAATTTTAACTACCTATTAAAAGTATACTAGCTATAGTTTTTAACAAACACACATTCCCTTAAAACCTATTTTTTAATAAAAATATTTTTGGTGACGTGTTCGTTGACGATTTCAAGTTGAATATTTTTATAATTATTTATAAAACTAATAAACCATAATTATAACACTCGAAGTAAAAGTCATTGTAAATGTATTAATAACTTTAGTAATCCAATCAAAAAGTATATACATTGAGTTTAGACAAAAAAAATACATTGAAAATCAATAGTTTCTCAGATTTGAAGCTTTTTTTATAGAGATATTGTGGTCTAGACACAAAAAAACCTTCTTTTTAACAAAAAATTCCTAAACACATAAAATTTAATATAGAAAATAACATATGTGTCCTCTCTTTAGACCACAGCCTAGTTCTATTAAATATCAATGAATCCCCAACTTTTTCCCTCCCCATTCTTCTTTAGCTAAAGATGTTGACCATTGAAATTAGTTTACTACAAAGATGGAAAAATCCACAATTTTGTTAGTTCCCTGAAAAAAAAATTACGAAGTGGAGACTGAGGTTCGGTGCTTGGTCATCTCAATACAGACAACTGTTCCTAACATCAAACTAAAGAAATCAATCCAAACTAAATTCTTGTCTTTTACCACTTAATATAAAAACATTAACTGACGAAAAACTAGGAGCCCGCTCCCGATGACAATGTTTAAGACTGCCAGTCATATCAGTTGATTACGAATGGCGATAGCAGATTAAAATGGATCAGATATATAATTTAAATATACCACTGCTTATACGCACTAAAAATAGTAAAAACCCACGTCACACCATTGACGAAGATTCACATTCTGAAGTTACTGCGAAACGGAAAATGAAATAAAAACGAATGAACAATAAAAATTGTAAAAACAAAACACTTATTTGGTATTGTATTACCAAATAAAAAGTAATAATTTAACCACTCCGGAACATGTGAAAAAATGTTTTACTATTATCAGAGAAATAAAATCAGTGAAATTTTGATATGATCACGACTAAAATACTATGCTTCCTTCCATCATTATGAAGTACATCAGTATGAGCTGACTTTAAAACGATATTTTTCTTCGCTAATTATTTTTAATACATTATTATTTAATCGAAATTGTGATGATTGATCTGAACAAGCAAATTTATACAGAGCAAAATAGTTTTTTGTTTCACCCGAAAAGTTAACATTTTTAACAAATTTCCATTCGTATGTTGTATACTTGCTGATGAAAAATTTTAATTTTATATTTTCAAACAATTATTTTATTATTCAAGAAAACAACGAGTAACAATTACAAATACAAATATTATTTCGGTATAATTTTATTATTATTGAGTAATTAATTAATTATGATTATCATTTTAGCGTTCTTCTTACAATAACACATTATCGGTATCACTACCAGAATGGAATACCGCCAGCGTTAACAGCTCTTCTAAAGCCGAGAAAGCCTAAATGCATTCCATCAGCTGAAAAACATCAGCATAATATAAGTGTAACGTATAAATAAAATAGAAACAATATCAAATAAATATAAAAATGTTTAGTGCATTATAACATAGCACAAGCAGAGTATATTATCAACTAAAGTGACAATTAAAATTAATTACATCTTAAATAATTTATACCCCGTATATTTTGATATGTAGAATTGTAATGATACTAATAATTGTGTTAACGTTTAATTTTAAATAAAAAAACAGTGTTATTTTGTGGAAAATATTATATTTTTTAGGAAATCCCAATCCACAAAAATAATACACTTACCGCATATTTTACTTACCGTATTTTGCTATGTTGTCATCTTTAGTGATATAAAATAAGTTTATTATTTTTTTTTGGATTGGGTATTATTAAAAATTATAATGTTTTATTTATAGCCAAAGTTGGAGGGCCGGTAATACAAGAACAAAATGGAATTATCAGGTTTTCGTTGTAGTTCAATCAATTACTATGTATTACAATCATGTGTAGTTTTGCAATTAATATTTGTATAATTAATATTTGTAATAATGATGTCAATTTTTAGCAGTTGATTCTCACGATTGATAATGTATAATAGATATCATAGACTTTTATAATGATATAATACGAATGCAGTTTATAAAAATTATATTTACTTCTCCATTTTCCGTAAGTATCCATAACGGTATAGATGTGATATTCAGTAATTTGATTTTGATAATGAACCACCATATCCTTGTAGGTAGCATATCCTCTCGCTGTTCCTCTCATGATATTTAAAAAAATGCTTATCATCTCCTAAACAATTTATATGAAACACATATTAATTTAATATAAAACAAATTAGATGAAAACGAAAGATTCGTTAAGCTCAGGTATAGAGTTTATTATTTAATAGTACCGAAAAAATTACGGTTGTTTGCACACAATAATGTAACCGAAATCACATAATTATTACTGATAGCAGATTTTATGCAGGTATAAATGACCAAGATAACCGACCGACATAATGGTACTTGTCTATAAATTACTGCTAACATCTATCGATGCGATGTGATAAGAAAGGAAACTTCAAATTAAATAATATTCCCGACTTAAACCGTCAAACATAATTATAATATTACCATTGTATGAAATCTTTAATGATTATAACATTACCTGGGTGGGATATCTATGTATGTAGCCATTCATCGCAGCCGCATAAAATTTATCATAATATATTCTTCTTTGACTATAACCGTTTTCACCAGTGACCACGACTGCGTAATCATCCATCAGGTTCTCGAGTTGATCTATCTCATAATCATTATATGTTAGTTTCAGATCACTGAAAGTAACATAATCTTTGTTGTCTTTCCTTATTTCGTTAAACCATTTTAAAATTTCCTACAACAATATACCAAGCGGTTAATTTAATTTTTAAAGAAAGTTTGATAATCATATTTTAATTCCGTCATTAAACATCATAAACCGAACATTTAAAATTATATTCAATAATTATACGTCGCGTCGGTAAAATATAAAACAATATATTCGAAAACATCAAGAAAATGTTTTACGATTCCTACGGTCATTCGTAATAAATCATAGGGGATGAAAAGTTTAAATTCTGATTTTTCTATACATTTTTCATAACTAATTATTCAAATCATTTTTAATCTAATTGCATTGTGGACGAATTATTCAAATAAATTGAAAAAAAATTTTATTCTGATAATTTGTTATTCGAATAAAGTGTGAATTAAATGTTCGAATAAGAATTCTCTAAACTCCGTTTATATGTAGAACGGGGAGGTGTTGTGCAACTTTGTGAGTATTTGGTACACTATAAAAGTTTGGTATAATATACTAATAAAATATGTAATACAATTCTTTGTACATTTAAAAACGCAAATTACTCCTTAAGCCATTCAAAATTTTCAAAGTCCTTACTCTTAAAAATTTAGTTAGTTTTACATTTTGACATAAATAAAAATAAAACGATACTTTTACGGTATGAATTTTCCTAGGATATTTTATAAAAGCGTGACAGCGTGTATAATAAATGTTTAGCGCATTAAACTCTTTGGCCCCTACATAACTTACCAATATTTAATAAATTACCTAACTTGAAAATGATTTATAAATATAAATAAATAATTGTTATAAAAATTATAATTACCGATTCATCAAACGAAATTACTGTTGGAATATAATAAGTTAAACAAAGTAATATTATAAACTTAATACACATTTTAATACTTGTTCCTACTAATGAAGGTATTATTTTGTATAAAGGAGTTTTAACTAAATAAAACTTAGTACGTAAATAAATCTTATTCTCAGTAATAGACAGTGTGATATACAATTGTTTTAGCTTTGTACAGTTTAAGACTTTTAAATATTATACAATGCGAGACATCCACAGTGATATCAGATACTTGTTTTACAATGGTATATTATTTTCTTTCTTTTATCAAAGCTGAAAAGTAATCATTTTAAATTACGGACGTGTCTGTTTTCTTCTATGCGCTGATGAGTACATGTTATTGTACAACATAAAGAACATGACGTCAATGCGATATTGATTTTAAAAAAAATTGTATGAGCGAATTGAGGCCTTTAGATTTTGCTGTATATACAGAAACCTAAACCTTTTATTTTTTTTTTAGGAATGGTAAATCCTAGGTTTCACATGCTGCTGTCCGAAATGTCAGGATTTCAAACATTTACCGATAGATCTTGGTTAAACCAAGAATATGCAAAATAGTTTGGTCAAACCTAGAATGATTTTTGTAGCTCAGACTTCTACAAACGAGATTTGGTAAATCTTAGGATAAACATACAGTGTTAGTAAATGTCCGAACTTTTATTTTGATGCCAACTGTGTATCTCTTAAAGTTTTGAAAACATTTCCCCAACTATATCCTTTAAATAGAATCGACAAACTTGGCTAAATGGCGTCTTCCAATAAGTGTTTAACAATACTACTAATGAGTGGATTCCTCTCTTATGTTTTTTCACGTGTATTTTATTATTCTATACTCAAATTTACTTATTGCACTATGTATTGTATAGACTGTAAATACACAGAATTTTTAAATAAAAAATAAAAACCAATAATATAAAATAATAATACTATAAACAAAACTATAAAATACCTATACTAATTATAGGTCTCATAAGCAATAACAAGTACAAGTTTTTTTTTTGGTATATTTTTATTATTATTAATTTTAATTACAGAGACTATTAAAGTATTGGACAGCATATTATAATTTTTATAGTAACATGATGACAGAAAAGTTAACAATTATTTGAAATGTAATTTATTAATCATGATTATAATTTTAGCGTTCTTCATATAATTGTATCTTATTGCCTGAACGTATTTGCCACACTACCAATTTGGAATTTTTAAAGTGTTAATTCCTCTTCTAAAGCCGAAAAAACTTAATCGCATTCCATCAGCTAAAAATCACCAGCATAATATAAGTGAAACATAAATTAAATAGAAACAATATTAAATAAATACTAACATTTTTAGTGCAGTACAACATAGCACAAGCAGAGATTTATATCAACTAAAATTATTTACACTTGTAGATTTTTTAACCAGTACATTATATGTATGTAGAATTAATGTTTAACCAATCTGTAACTTAAGTTGAGTGGGTTACACAAGAGCGAGGCATCGATCATTCGCTTAGCTCTTGAGATCATTTCTTTGCGATCAAAATATTTTTTTTCAAAGAAAATTGCAACTATTAACTTTTAGTTATAATTCAATCAACTTTTATGTAATACGTTTATGCGAATTTTGGTAATTAATATTTTTTAATAGTTATTTTTAGCAGATATAATCACACACTTGGTAATGTATAATAGATATCATAGACGTATGATATAGGTTAGGTTGGGTCGGGTAAAATTAAATTAGGTCGAAATAATAGACCAAATACAATAACAGAACGTCAATGGTGCAAAACCCCCCTAATCTTCATAGCTAAAACTGTATTATAAAAAAATGTCATAATACGATTGTTAAATGAAGCTAATAAGAATTATACTTACGTCTTTTTCTTCCGTAGGTATTTATAACAATATCGATTTGAGCAATAGGAACTTTACCCTTATAATATGTTACCAAATCACTGTGGATAATATAGCCTCTATCAACGTCATCTCCGATTATTTTAAAAAATAAATCGATCATCTCCTAAATATGTTTTTAAACCATTATATTAATTTAATATAATACACATTAAATAAAATTAAACGATGCGTTAAACTTTGGTTAAAAGATTATGTAAATTTTAAAAACACTAGCGAATTTTTCTTTATTATTTCCAATTTATTAAAATTAAATTTGTTATGACGTATATTAATCTCGATATTAACTTATCGATGTACAATAAAAAAAAAAAAATTCAAATGAAATAGAATTCCTGACCCAAACCGAAATAAAATGATTATAACATTACCTGGGTGCGATATCTATGTATGTAGCCTTGGAACGCAGCCTCCTTAAATCTATCAAAATACAATCTCCTATCACTTATACCATTGTTACCAGGGGTCGTGACTGCGTAATATTCCAACACGTCCTCGAGTTCATCTATCTCATAATCATTATATGTTGTAGTCAGTGATCTGTAAGTAATATAATCTTCTTTTTCGTTTCCAATTATTTCTTTATATCGTTTAGCATAATCCTACAACAAAACAACTAAGTGGTTAATTTTTTTTAAAAATTAATTTGATATGCATATTTGTATAAAATAAATATATCCAAAATTAAATAAATCATATAGCTTAACAGGCCATGAAGGCCCAACGTTGCCATCATGAGATGAATTTGATGTTCGAAATAAATCCTAAGGGATTTAAATGTTTAAATTCTGATTTTTCTTCATCATAGACTAATACATTTTTTTATAAGTAAAACATTATCTAAATATCATATTATTAATAACATATTTATTATATAGTAAAAGATTTTCGAATAATTAAAAAAATATATATATTCCAAGTATAATTATCTTACAAAATTATTTCGTAAAAATATAATATATACTACTTCTTTGATAGAATACTTAAAACCAGTATATATTGTCAACTTAAATACCTAAGTTAAATGTCAGCGGTTCACACTGTAGATGGTAACATAGTCGCCGAAATACGCGTATATGCTTATAAGTATATATTATTGTGGTTTGGGTTTTTTTCTCATAATTATCTAGTGCATATAGGCACAACTTTGTTTATGCGTAATAGAACTTGTGTACAACTTGTGTAGAACACTGTGTAATAGTGTGGTGAAACTAAGTATGGGTATCTCAACAACAAATAATGAACTAATACACTAATAAAATATGTAATGCGGGATAAAATAGTTTTTTGTACATTTGAAAACGCAAATAACTCTTTAAGTATTTATTCAAAACTCGTTATCGCCATTCATTATGTTCAACATTCCTACTCATAAAAATGATTAGTTTTAAATTTTAACAAAAATAAAAATAAAACTATACTTTTGCGATAACAATTTTCTTAGGGTGTTTTAAAAAATGTAGGACCCTATATTATATATTAAACGTTTAGTGTATTGACCTATCTGTTACCTACATAACTAACTGATATTTATTAAATTACATAGCTTTAGAATGATAATAATTTTTGTAGAAATTATAATTACCGATTCATCAACCGAAATTACTGTTGGAATAAGATAAGATGTTAAACAAATCAAAATGATGTACTCAGTATACATTTTAATACTTTTTCGTATTACTAAAGATAATAATTTGTACACAGTAGTTTTAACTAAATGAAACTTAGTACGTAAAGAAGTATTATTCTTTATAAGAGACAGTCTGATATAAAACTGTTGTAGCTATATACTTGTCTTACAATGATATTATTTTCTATCAATAATACTAATTAATCTATCTTTTATCAAAGCCGAAAAGTAATGATTTTAAATATAATCGACGTGTCTATTTGCTCCAATGGATAAATAAATGTTTGAAAAAACAACGCGCTGGTGAGTACAAGTTAGTGCACAACATAAAGAACCATTTTTAAAAAGACTCTAGTATTTGCTTAATATGACGTCAATGTAATATTTTTTTTAAAAGAAAACTTTTTGGGTGAGTTGAGATCTATAAACAATACAAATATTACAATTAATGTGTATTTCATCGTATATTTTTTTTTTAGGGTTTCTTTAATAAATATACGTTACTAAAAAATTAAACACTATGTTAATTGTTAGCTTATAAACATAATCTAATTTTTTCTTAATTTTTATGTATTTCCTTAAAAATAAAATATTTAATTATATTTTATTAAACCCTATGAGATAGTCAGTGGTTCAAGATACGAATACCGGTGAAACCTTGCAGTTTTATAAATATTTTTAATAAAGAATAACAAATACAAATATTATTTCGTTATATTTTTATTTTATTATTATCGAGTATTAGTATTAGATAGTATTATAATTTTTATAATATCATGACGACTGAATAGTTAATATTCAGGTTTATTTGAAATATAATTTATTAATTATGAATATCATTTTAGTGTTCTTCATATAATTGTATCTTATTGGTGACTGCCTGAACGTATTTGTATATTATAATATAAGTGAAACATAAATTAAATAGAAACAATATTAAATAAATACTAACATTTTTAGTGCAGTACAACATAGCACAAGCAGAGATGTATATCAACTAAAATTATTTACACTTGTAGATTTTTTAACCAGTACATTATATGTATGTAGAATTAATGTTTAACCAATCTGTAACTTAAGTTGGGCCGGTTTCACAAGAGCGAGACTTCAATCACACGCTTAGCTCTTCAGATAATTTGTTTTTATCGATATGTTTTTTTTAGTAGAAAAATGCTGAAATGAACTTTTAGTTAAATTCAGTCAACTTATATATAATAAATGTGAATTTTTATAATTAATATTTTATGATAGCAATTTTTAGCAGTTAGATTCTCAGACTTAGTAATGTATAATATGTTGGTAGACTTATGGTATAGGTTAGGTTGGATCGGATTAAGTTAAATTAAGTCGAAATAATAAACCAAATATATCAAAAGAATGTCAATGGTGCAAACCCATAATCTGTAAAGCTAAAACTAATTACAAAAAAATATAATAACACTATTATTAAATACTAATATTATTAAGAGTTATACTTACAGTGCGGTGTTCCGTAGGTAGTCATAACAGTATCGATTTGAGTTGTAGGAATTTTATTTTTATAATGAATCACCAAATCATTGTGAGTAATATAGCCTCTCTGTGCATCTTTTTCGATGATTTGTAAAAATAAAATTACCATCTCCTAAACATTTTTTAAACACAAACATTCTTATAATATTAATGTAATACAAAACAAATTTAATCAAAATAAAAGATCCGTTAAACTCTGTTTTGTAGATTATGTAAATTTTAAACACTTAAGTAAATTTTGCTTTTAAATTCTAATTTATTAAATTCAATTTGAACGATGTATGTTATACTTAATGTTAATACTTAACAAAATGAAGTGAAAAATTGAAGAAATATTCTATTTTACCAAATATCAACATTGATTATAAAATATAGTATAGATGGCCCACTCAGACAAATTTTAGTTCTTGGCGTCAACACGGGACGGGTGCTAACAGTGTGGGTTTCAATGATTAGTTAAAATATATATCGCATAATTTGCATGAAAAAATAATTAATTTTTATTTTGCTCTCGTGTTCATATCAGTTTTGAAGATGGACCAACTACACCAAAATATTACTGACTGTAGGTTTTAATGTTATTGACTAGAAAACAGACCGACATAAAGGAGGTACTCGCATATATTTTCCTGGCAACATCTATCGGTGTATTAATAATAATAGAAAATTAAAATTAAGTATTATTCCTCCCGCTTAACTCAAAAGTACGCCAAAAATAACAGTTGTGTGCACACAACTATTTAACCAAAATAACATGATTATAATATTACATCTGTTGGATATCTATGTATGAAGCCATCCTGCGAAGCCACCGTAAATTTATCAAAATTCAATCTTCTTTCATAATAACTGTTTTCGCCATGGAAGTCGACTCCGTAAGTATCCATCACGTACTGGAGTTCATCTACCTCAAATAGTTTATATTTTGAACTCAGTGAATTGAAGGTAAGATAATCTTCATTTTTGTATTTTATTTCGTTATAACGTTTCAGATAATCCTACAGCAAAATACTAATTTTTACAATTTTGACTACAATTTTTTAAATTTTTTATTTGAGTATCATATTTTTAATCTTTCATTAAAAACCACTTCAAAAGAGAATAAATAATTGTTCGTCGCGTCGGTAAAAAGTAAAGCTAATGTATTCGAAAAATATATCGTGAAAAGGTTTTACGATTCCCATGGGAATTAGATGTTCGTAATAAATCCTAGAGGATTTAATTAAATATTTAGATTCTGACTTTTCTTTATAACTTGGTAAAATATCAATTATTATTTACAAAACATTTTTTTACTCAAATAGTTTTGTATTCAAGAATTCGAATACCTAGAACGGGGAGATGTGACCGTGTGGTTTGGTACAACCAAATCTGTGCATTTTTTAATCGGATAACGAATGATTTCTTTATTCAAAACTATTTAAGATGATATACAGGGTGATTTTTTTATCATGACCCAGTCAATAACTCACTGGGTTTAATTAATAATTGAATTTTTTTTTATAATACGTGATCTCAATTTTTCACATTTTTTTTTGTTTTTACCCCCCTCCCAACTTAGTTTTTTGAAACTTAAATGGTAACGTATATATTTTATTAATTTTTTAAACTTAGAATAATGTACTAAAAATGTTGACTGGTCGATAACAACTATTTTTAAAGTTAGAAGAGTTTAAAAGTTAGGATGGGAAGGGAAGTGCGGTTGGGAAATGCGCGCAGATAAAAATAAAAATACACTCCACCTTTCCTCCTGCCCTAAACTTGAAACTTCATTAACAGTTGGGAAGGGGGGGGGGGTAAAACCATAAAAAATTGTGAAAAATTGACGTCACGTATTACAAAAACATTGTAAAAAAAATTCAATTATTAATTAAACCCAGTGAGATATTGACTGGTTCCTGATAAAAGAATCACTTTGTATTCGAATAATTTTTTTATTCGATAAAATCTAAGATAATTTTTCGAATAATGTTTTAATACAATTTTTAGTTGAAAAAATCTAAAAATAATTACAAAAGCGCAATAATTTTATTACAGTTATATCAACAATAAAATAATTGATCAAAAATAAAAAATATTAAAAAAAACTCAGACTAAATCATTTAATTAAAATATTTTCAATTTAAATAAAAATTATTTGTCTGTCTTTTGAAAAAAAATATTATTTGATGGATATTTGACTAAATCGTTCGAAAAAAATAACTATTAAAATAATTATTTAGATAAAAACCCTATATAATTTACCAATTTTTAATAAATTACCTAACTTACAAATGATGAAAGATAAATATTTATAATTCTAAATAAATTATTGTTTTAGAAATTATAATTACCGATTCATCAACTGAAATTACTGATGGAATATAATAATATGTTAAGCAATGTAAAATTATGTACTTAGTATACATTTTAATACTTTTTCGTATTAATTAAGGTAATAATTTGTATATAAGATTTTCAACTAAATGAAACCTGACACGTATCTTATTCTCAATAATAGACAGCCTGATATTAAATTGTTTTAACTTTGTACTGTTTAAGATTTTTGAATATCATACAATGCGAGACATGTATAGTAATACGAGATACTAGTCTTATAATGACTTATCATTTTGTTCCTTTCCTCAAAGCCAAATGTAATAATTATAAATTATTGATGTGTCTATTTGCTCTTATGGGTAAATACATTTTTAAATATCAATGTGTTGATAACTAAAGTTTACCATATGAAAAAGTCTGTACTATTTGATTAACATGACGTCAATGCAATATTATTTTAAAAAGAAAATTTTTTTGGGTGAGGTGACCCTATAATTTTGAACTTATAAAAATATACTTGGAAACTATATAAATCACAAATTTTATTTAGTTTGTACTTTGGAGAGGAAGGGGGAGGAGGGTTGAAAAAGTTACTACTTCATCACTTAGAATTGGGAAAAATATAAGAGTTTTCAATTTCATCTTTTACTAGCAATAATTTTGAGAAAAATGTTGGCATTGAGTTGAAATACACAAGGAATGTTTATTTGGTGTGCCCATTAAGGGGCGAATACGTATAATGGGACACTTAGCTAACTATTCTATTGTCAGTTTTTTTATATCTAAATTCCAATCTTGATAGTAAAAAATGTATTAAGACACATTTAGTAACCATAGGGTATATATTGGATTCAAATCCCCTACTTATCATTTATTGTAAGACGTGTCTATGTACCGTGTACTTTAATAATTTCAGTTATTGGAAACTCTAAAAAGTAGTTGGCTGTTATGGTGGTACATTATGTTCAGGTCACAAAGGTAAACTGTAATGGAAGTATACATTTTTATTAAGCACAAACGGTTGTAATTTAAATTATAGACCATTCAACCAACAGCATTTAATAAGACATTCATAACGTGTAATGTATGCTAATATATTTTTTCAAAAAAAAAGCCGCTACATTGGGGTTGGGGCGTAGTGGCGGCGGAATATGGGGACGGGGAGGTCACAGGTTTACAGAAATTATTAAAACTGAAAGAGATTTTATCACTTTCAAATAAACACTTCACTGAAAATCTGTGGTTAGTATTTTAGAATCAGTACAGTCCAAACCAAGCACAGTATAAACCAGCACAGTAAGAAAGTATTAATGTGAGGTACAGTGTGTATGTAATTGAAAGTGATGTTATCGCGTTCAGTTACAATAACTCCTGTACACCTGTTAACCTGGGAACAGGATGGGAGGATCCCGTTCCCACTATGTCCCAATCCCACCGTACTAGCTTACTCAGAGAAAATTAAAGCCATTGTACTTGTGTAGTGGTTTTACGGGTTTTTATAAAAAATGTAATATATTTTGATTTGAATACTTAAAGTGGCAGTTGCAAAAAAAAGTATTAAAATATCTGTTTGCAAAAAGCCTAAAATTGTGTGTTTGAGCGAGAATATAGTCATCCTATGATTTATTACAATCTTCAAATTTGAATAGACCAAGTTATATTAACAAGTGCTCACCAAATGCAAAAAAAAAAATCAAATTCAAAGGCAACGGTGGAAAATTTCAAAAAGACAAAACTATTTGATATTACTCGTACGACGTACACCAAACCAAATGTTTATATATTAACACTAATTTTCTATAAAAAAGCAAATTCGTCATGTTACAACCATTATTTATTATAATAAATAATAGCTAGGTTAATATACTTAAGTTTTATACTTGTTTACAAGTATAAAATTTGACATTTAATTCAATGTTAAAAAAAATCAATTTTTCATCCTCAAAAGCAGAAAAACCCATATAGAATTGATTATTATTCAATTTTATTTTTATATGCTTTGTCACTACTGTGTACTACTTGATTTCGGCATTTTTTTTAAATTAAAACAAAAGAAGTTTAATACTTGTATTAAATGCTATTATTATCGCTCAATAAATTTTTTATTTTATTCGTTTTTCAAATTGTATATTCTAACCGTGCTATTAAGGCATTTTATAAGTGCATGTTATATACTTATATGCATATAATGAAATATATTACATTTTTAATAAAAACATGTGTTAAAATTACAGACACGGCACACGATAAAATAATTTTACCTATGTAGTTTTTACACGTTGTTTTTATTCAAATTTAATATATTTGGTTTTATAAATATTCAAAACGGCAGTTGAAAAAAATATATTAAAATAACTGTGTGCACATATTCTAAAATAGTATGATTAATTTGAGAATATTGCCCACCTAACTGAATGTGATAACATCGATTTCTAATAAACGCTTCTATGCGAAACTGTAATGGTAGAAATAACCTGTATTTCTAAAAACATTGTACCTACTAACAATAATGTTCTTAAAATGTACTTTTATGGTTAGGGTGAATACGAGTAGGGCGTCTGTCTATAATAATTTATTGCAATAGTGAAAATATTTTTAACAAGAACATCCTAGAAATTGACAACGGTCAAAGTGTAATTTTAATTTTTAATTTTCCCTAATAAGAAATCTTAATCCTTAAAACTTCAGCTAAAAAAGCGAAATAAAGAAAATAATTCCACCTCATCGTTATCGGCAGTACTATGTCTAAAGAATATTCTATTTAATTTTGGACTATTTTTAAAAATGTATAAAGTTTTGTAATTTTAAGTTGAAAAATGTGTACAATTTTTAAGTGTTTTTCTCGATTTCAAAAATCAAAGTGTAGGTATCATTTTTAGTATATACAAGTGTTTCACGATCTATACGTGTGTTTTTAAATGTAACAAAATAAGAAGAAATTCTTGAAAAAAACGACTTTTGTAACTCACATACTAATGAATTTATCGGACAATTTTTAACTATTCAAGATATGTAAATTTTATACACCTAAAAATCATTTGGCTTCGTCATGAGGCGAGGAATATTTTTCGAATAGGGTTGTTTATACCCATACTGTATAATTTCTGTTTAAATCAAGATAAAAATAAAATTAATTGTTTATCAATTTTTGTTGCACCACTTGCAAAATGGTATTTCCACTACATTATATTAACCTCTTATTATGTTGGTAGAGATTACCATTGCCCGAACACCACATCGTTAACATTACATACATTGTAGTTTTTATTGTATTATGTAAGTCAGGTAGCATAATGAAACGGTAATATAATTATGTAAAACTAAGTTTCTGTTTTCATAAAACAATTACTATTTTTTTACCTGTAGTTTTTAGCATAGTAATTTATAGAAAAACTAACTTAAATATGTAACGATATTACGACCAAAAATAATTGTAATTGTAGACATATTAAAACATATCCAGATACAAGTATCTGCATCCAACAATATTTTTGACAACGTGTAGTCAACAGTTGCCAACATGTTGTTGCCCTGTTTGTAAATATTATTTTGAAACAATTTATTAACCGTTCATTGAAGTTAACTAGTCGGAACCAAAGAACACCGTAGCAGACATATACGGCAAAGAAATTAAATTATCAGACCTATGCTAATTATGGGTCTTATAAATAATAACAAGTACAACTAGTTTTTCAGTATATTTTTATTGTTATTCAGTTTTATTACAGTGACTAAGTAATCACACTAAGCACATTATAATTTCTATAGTATTAAGACGACTAAATAGTTCTTTGAAATATAGTTTAATTATTATATTTATCAGTTTAGCGTTCTTCTCACATGATTGGAATAAGTAAAGTGTTAACTGCTCTTCTGAATCCGTGAAAACTTAATCGGTGTCCATCAGCTGAAAAACACCAGCATAATATAAGTGAAATGTATAAATTAAATAGAAGCAATATTAAATAATTATTAACATTTTTAATGCATTATAACATAGCAAAAGCAGAGAAGTATATCAACTAAAATTATTTACATCTTAAGATCATTATGACCAGTATATTTTGAAATGTAGAATTAATGTTTAATTGGTCCATCTGTAACCAAAGTTGGGCCGGTTATAAAAAAGCAAGGCTTCAGTAACACACTTAGCTTTTCAGATAATTGTTTTGCAAACGATAAATTTTTTTTTTATAGAAAATAGCAACTATCAACTTTTAGTTGTAATTCAATCAATTAATATGTAATACATTCATGTAAATTGTTTTAATTCATATTGTATAATAGCAATTTTCAGCAGTTATATTCGCATGCATAATCAAGTATTATATCTATGATAGACTTCTGATATAGGTTAGGTTGGGTTGAGTTAGGCAATTCCATAATATTCAGAACTAAAACTACATGGCGGAAAAATGTTATAGTACGGTTATTAAACGCAGTTAAGAATACTACTTACGACTCTCTGTTCCGTAGGTTGTCATAATAAATTTGATATTAAATGTAGTAATTCTTTCTCGAAAATGACGCTCCAAATCACGTTGGGTAATAAAGCCTATTCCATTACAGTTGATGATAATAAAAAATACTTCTATCAAATCCTAAAATATTTTTAAAACACATTTACATTTAAGATAAAACTGTTTAGATGAAAATAAAAGTGCTTATCAGGTTCAAGGATTATGTAAATTTTAAAAACATAAGGGAATTTTTCCTTAATAATTCGAATGTATTCGAATTAGATTTTAATGACGTATATTTAATTTGACATGAAAAATTTAAAGGAAAAAAAATGGAGAAGTTTTCAATTTTACAAGATATTAATATTAGATAAAAATATATAGTATGATATACGGGAAAATTTTTTTTTTTTATTCTGGTCTCTTGTTCATATCAGTTTTGAAGACGGAAGCTTGAAGTTTTTAAATACCTACACCAGTAGGTTTTATACAAATATTATTTACTAGAAAAACGATGGTCATATTGGTACTCATATATAAATTCCTGCCAACTACTATTGATGAATAATAAAAATAAAAAATGTTATTTAATAAATAATCTTTCCGTTTAATAACATGATTATAATATTACCGATGTCTGAAATCGGTTTATGAGTCCTTTTCTTACAGACTTGTTAAATTTATCAATATACACTCTTCTTTGATAATAACCGTTCTCGCCATTGAAGTCGTCTCCGTAAGTATCCATCACGTACTGGAGTTCATCTACCTCATACTTATCAAATGTTTTGTTCAGTGAATTGAAGGTAATGTAATCTTCATTTTCTTCTTTTATTTCGTTAAACCGGTTCTTAACTTCCTACAACAATATACTAAGTTATTATATTTTAATTTAATTAATAAATTACTTAACTTAAAATAATAATATATAATGATCTATAAATATAAATAAATTATTGTTTAGAAAATTATAATTACCAGAACAAAATTATCATAAGAAATGACTGTTGGAATATAATAATTTGTCAAACAAAATAAAATGATGTACTTAGTATTCATTTTAAAACTTTTTGTAAAAGTAAAATAATACTTATACAAGGGTTTTAACTAAATGAATCCTAGCATGTGAATAATTCGTATGCTCAAAAATGTTGACGTGCGTTGATGACTAGAGTCTACTGTACAACAACACTTGTGTATTTATATGAATAAGTAAATGACTGTACTATTTGTTTAACATGACGTCAATGGGAAATACATTTTGAATTAAAGTTTTTGGGCAAATTGTGACTTATGGTTACAACTCACAGAAGCTATAAGTGGCAAAGAAATGTTATGTCTAAAACCGGTCCCACACGATTTGCGTTTCTCGCTGTTTGTCGGTAAATGTGACATAAACAAAGAGATAACGGAGTTCATCGACTATTATCTTTTATTCGACTTCGACATCAAAGACCATTAATTACAGAATCTTAAATTACATTGATAAACAATAAAGTTAAAATGTGTAGTATAGTTTATTAGGAGTAAAATGTATATTAGAAAACTTAGCATTACAAATGTAGGCCAAACAGCCAAAACAAGATAAAAAAAAAATTGTCAGATTTTAGTTAGTTTAGTTACAGTGACTAATCAAATATTAAACAGCATATTATAATTTATATAGTAATATGGCTGCAGAATAGTTAATATTTGACATATAGTTTATCCACTAATGCCTGGACGTATTTGCATCACTACCAAACTGGAATACCACCAGTTCAAAATTTCCTACAATAATATACGTCACGTTGGTAAACGATTTCTACGGGAACTTGATGTTTTATATAAACCCTAGGGAATTTAAACGTTTAAATTTTGAATTTTCTACATAATTTGGTAGACTAATAAATTATTTTTCGCAATTAAGCGATAATTCGTTTTTGATGTTTTGGCGTTTTAGGTAGATTTAAAAGTTGTGCATTTGAATAAAACATTATCTAAATAATGTTTTTAATAACATATTATTCTAGTAAAAGTTATTCGAATAATTGTTGATCTTAAATGGTTTAATAAGAATTTATTATGAATTTTTTTTTAATGTACTAACAATTTTGACTGGCCAATAACCAGTTTTGTATAACTATTTTTGTAGTTATTGAAGTTTCAAGTTTAGGGCAGTTGTAAAGATTGATAGCATTATTTTTATCTGCACCCATTTGTCCTCCCATCCTAACTTTTATACTATTATAACTTTAAAAAATAGTTGTTCAAAACCAGTCAACATTTTTAGTACATTATTCTCAATTAGTTAATGAAATGTATGCGTTACCCTATAAGTTTCACATATAGGTGTCATAAACAATAACAAGTACAAATATTATTTCATAACATTTTAATTTTATTATTAGGTTTTAGTATTAGATAGCATTATAATTTCTATAGTATTATGACGACTGAATTAAACTGAGTTAATAATTATTTGAATTATAATTTATTAATTATGAATATCATTTTAGCGTTCTTCTTATAATTATATCTTGTTGGCGAATGCCTGAACGTATTTGCCATAGGTACTATCAATGTGGAATAAGTAAAGTGTTAATTGCTCTTCTAAAGCCGAAAAAACTTAATCGGAGTCCATCAGCTGAAAAACACCAGCATAATATAAGTGAAACGTATAAATTAAATAGAAACAATATTAAATATTTATTAACATTTTTAGTGCATTACAACATAGCAAAAGCTGAGAAGTATATCAACTAAAATTATTTACGTCCGCAGATTTTTAACCAGTATATTATGATGTGTAAATTTAATATTTAACTAAAGTAGGCCGGTTATACAAGAGCGAGACGAAAGTTATGAACTTTTAGTTGAATTCAGTCAATTGATATGTAATACATTCATGTGAATTTTTATAAGTCATATTTTATGATAGCAATTTTTGGCAGTTATATTCTCACGCTTAGTATTGTATAATAATCGATATCGTAGACTTATGATATAGGTTAGGTTGGATCGGGTTATATTATCGGGTCAAAATAATAAACCAAATATATCAAAAGAATGTCAATGGTGCAAAAACATATTGTTCATAGTTAAAAATAATTACAAAAAAAAAATAAAACTATTATTAAATGACAATATTATTAAGAGTTATATTTACAGTGCGGTGTTCCGTAGGTAGTCATAACAGTTTCGATTTGAGCTGTAGACATTTTATTTTCATAATGACTCGCCAAATCATTGTGGGTAATATAGCCTCTCTCTGCATCTTTTCCGATGATTTGTAGAAACAAATTTATCATCTCCTAAACATTTTTTAAACACATATTCTTATAATATTAATTTAGTTTATTATAATTCGATTTGTAATGACGTATGTTATACTTATTAAGAGGACGCTCTTTTGAATTCTTGTGAATGCGAGGGCGGTATTTAGAGTAGCCGTATACAATGTTTACAGAAGGTAGCAAATAACTTTATCTACGGGGTAGCGTTTTTAGTTTTTGGATAACTTATGCACAATCAAAATTATTCATTCGTAAATATTCATTATTTTTATTTCCTTTTTTAATTTGTTTATAAAAAAATATTAAGTATTGATATCAAACAAATTAAAAGGCTACCCCATGGATAAAGTTTTTCTCTATACATTGTAAAAATTTGGTAAATTTACTGTTAATACTAGCCTCGCATACTTGACCCGCGCAAAGCAGTTTTGATGGGAAAACAATGGTAATTTATCCTATAGAAATGACTGTGATAGCCTGACAAAAAAAAAATGGCAATCTACAAAGTATTCTCATTAATATATTAATGAGTATACGTTATAGTTTAAACTCTAATTAAAGATTTTTCGAAAATTGCCTATACATTACTCCTTAGAAATGACCTGGGAGTGTCCTCATTTGAAATACAAAATTTCCGAAATTTTCTATTTTACAAGATATTAGTATTAACGTTGATTATAAATATTATAGATGGTCCCCTGAGCCTAATTTCAGTTCTAGACGTCGACACGTAACGGGCGCTAGTAGAATCGTTTTCAATGATTAGTTTTTTTAACTATATTTTTTATAAAATATCGCATAATTTGCATGAAAATGTTTTATTTTTGTAATTTGGTCTTTTGTTTACATCAGTTTTGAAGACGGAACATCTACATTAAAACATTTCTGACTGTAGGTTTTAATGTTATTGACTAGAAAACAGACCGACATAAAGGAGGTACTCGCATATATTTTCCTGGCAACATCTATAGGTGTATTAATAATAATAGAAAATTCAAATTAATTATTATTCCTCCCATTTAACTCAAAAGTACCCCAAAAATAACGGTTGAGTGCACACAATTATTTAACCAAAATAGCAATTTTATAACATGATTATAATATTACCCATGTGTGAAATCTATGTATGAGGCCATCCTTCGCAGCCAATATAAATTTTTCCAAATACATTCTTCTTTGATAATAATCGTTCTCGCCATAGAAGTCGACTGCGTAAGTGTCTATCACGTACTGGAGTTCATCTACCTCATAATTATCATATGTCTTACTCAGTGAATTGAAGGTAATGTAATCATCAGTTGCGTATCTTATTTGGTTAAACCGATTCTCATAATCCTACAACAAAATACTATTTTTACAATTTTGACTAATTTTTTTTTTAATTGAACACTTATTTGAATAATTGTTTAATAACGTTTTTAGTTGAAAAAATCTTAATTGAATTATAAAATCATATCAACAATAAAAGAATTATTAATAGAAAAATTATTTAAATAAATTTATTTTTTAATTAAAATAATAATTATTTGAATCAAAAAATGGGTAATATTTAATAAATTACTTAACTAAAAAAATGATAAAAGATAAAGATTTATAATTATAAGTAAATTGTTGTTGTACAAATTATAATTACCAGTGATTCATCAAACGAAATTACTGTTGGAATATAATAATATGTAAAACAAAATAAAATAATGTACTTAGTATACATTTTAATACTTTTTCGTACTTATAAAGGTAATAATTTGTATACAAAAGTTTTAACTAAATAAAACCTATCACGTAAAAAAATTCTTATTCTCAATAATAGAAAATTCTGATATTAAATTGTTTAAGATCGTGTTGTCTAAGACTTATGAATATCATACAGTGAGACATGAGAACTGTTTTTTTCTTTCACCGGAGCCAAAAAAAAAAACGCTTTTAAAATATTGACGTGTCTATTTGCTTAACATGACGTCAATGCGATATTCATTTTAAAAGAAATCTTTTTGGGTGAGGGGAGACCTATAGGTTCGATCTTATAGAATTATATTTGTCAACTTTATAAATCATACATTTTATCTAGTTGGTATAATTTTGAGAAAAATTTTGGGATCGAGTTGAAATACACAAGGAATGTTTATTTGGTGTGCCCATTAAGGGACGAATACGTATAAAATCTCCGAATTTGAATAGACCAAGTTATATTAACAAGTGCTCACCCAATGCAAAAAAAAGAATCAAATTCTAGGGCAATGGTTAAAAATGCAAAGACAAAACTATTTGATATTATTCATACACCAAACCAAATGTTTATATATGTACACTAATTTTCTATAAAAAAGCAAATTCGTCATGTTACAACCATTATTTATTGTAGTTAGTTTACAAGTATAAAATTTGACATTAAGTTCAATGTTTAAAAAATCAATCGCTCATCTTCAAAAGCAAGAAAACCCAAATAGAATTTGATTATTATTCAATTCGTATCATTAATCTCCTGTAACTTTGATAAAACTTCAATCCTAAAATAGCCTTAAATCCAAATTCCAGCAGTATTTTTTTATTATTGAAATGCTGAGTATTCTAAAAAGTTCATATTGAATAGTTATTTTCCATCCACAGTTTCACAACAAACAGTTTGTTTGGAAATCATTTTATAATTTTAATTTAAATAATTTATTCCAGCGAACACCTTTGAATTCTCCGTCTTTTATATTATGCTTTGTCACTACTGTGTACTACTTGATTTCGGAATTTTTTTAAAATTAAAACAAAAGAAGTTTAATACTTGTATTAAATGGTAATATAATCGCTCAACAAATTTTTAATTTTATTTGTTTTTTCAAATTGTATATTCTGACCGTGCTATTAAGGCATTCTCAAGGTGCATGTTAAAAAAACATGTGCTCACATTACAGGCACGACACACAATAAAATAATTTTACCTATTTAATTTTTACACATTATTTTAATTAAAATTTAATATATTTGGTTTTATAAATATTAAAAACAGCAATTGAAAAACATATATTAAAATATCTGTGTGCACATATTCTGTTTAATTTGAGAATTTTGCCAACCTAACTGAAAGTGATAACATCGATTTCTAATAAACGCTTCTATGCGAAACTGTAATGGTAGAAATACAGGTATTGGTAAAAACATTGTACCTACTAACAACAATGTTCTTAAAATGTACTTTTATGGTTAGGGTGAATACGAGTAGGGCGTCTGTCTATAATAATTTATTGCAATAGTGAAAATATTTTCAACAAGAACATCCTAGAAATTGACTACGGTCAAGGTATAATTTTAATTTTTTAATTTTCCCTAAAAAGAAATCTTAATTCTTAAAACTTGAGCTAAAAAGGCGAATAAAGAAAATAATTCCACCCCATCGTTATCGGTAGTATTATATCTAAAGAATATTCCATTTGAATTTGGATTATTTTTGAAAATAGTCATATTTTCAATATTAATAGAAATTATCACTGTTTTTATAATGTTTTATAATCTTGCCCTCGAGGCGTATAAATATATATAAAAAAAATGAAAAGAGCTCCGTAATTTTAAGTTGAAAAATGTGTACAATTGTTAGGTGTTTTTCTCGATTTCAAAAATCAATGTGTAGGTATTATTTTTTATGTATACAAGTGTTCCACTTGCATTTCCATATATTGAGTTCAGTGCTTACCTCAATATATGGAACGCGTATTGAATTTGAAAAGTGGACAGCAGCCATTGTGTGTACTAGTTTCCTAGAAAGAAAAAATGCTACTTTTCCACGATACGTATTATAATGTTAAATATTGATAACACCGTCTTATCACAAACTATTTTCATATAGTCAGTGGTCATATATCTGTAACAACTGTGAATAAGTATGTAAGTCGATTTCAGAGATTTTACAGGGGAGCGATTTTAAACTGGCCAGCTGCCATATATCGCCCTGTAATTATCAGGAACTCACATCTCTCTCAAGGTTTTCTTGTTGGTCCAACGAGTTAGACATTTATTCAAGGTGTGCTAGGCGCTTCGGGCTACATCCTAGCGTACTTAGTCAATTTTGACCAAAATTTGACTTACACACTTATTCACAGTTGTTACAGATATTTCATAAATCATATAAATGTTAAGTTAAGTGATGATAATATAATGATAACTCCGTCATATATTTGATAAATCATAGAAAAAAAAATAAATATCATGGACAAATCAATAACGGTACACAAAATAGGCGTCTCCGATCAGGGTACACTTTCATAAGCAGCCGACTATAGGCTATGATAGCGTTATATATTAAGTGCAGTGCACTTAAGTCAGGCAGCATGTTGAAACGCTAATAAACTCTTGTAAAACTAAGTTTTTGTTTTCATAAAACAATTACTATTTGTTTACTTGTAGTGTTTGCTATGGTAATTTATAGAAATACTAAATGAAATATATAACGATATTACGATCAATAATAGTTATAATTGTAGACATATAGAAACGGTTGGTGTTCGCGACGTGGTTAACTCACTTGAAACATTTTGTGTATTGATGCACGAGTTATAAGTAGTTGTTACACTTTCTTGAATTTTCTCGCTAGACATTTTAGTTAGTTTACAGAATTATTTCATTGTTGGAATCCGGTAATAGTAATTATGACACCATCATAGTACCGTTAAAATTATACATATTTCACTATAAAATTTCACAAGCGATGAATAAGTATTAATAAAAGTATACATTGAAACGGGGAAAATGTAAGAACAGCGATATCGATTATTTATTGATCAAATATGGCAACTAAGCTTACTCGTCTGCCATGACGTTGCCGAGTATGCTGGTGTGGCCTAGAACTCGTGTGAATATAACCTAGTTACAGTTTTTATTTGGCTTTCTCTAGTTTATTTAAAATTTTAGTTATAATATCACCCAGATTGAATTTGTTTTTTATACCATTTAGGACATTTAGAGAGTCACTACAGATTCGAAAAATGATTTCACCAAGACATAACAGGAAAATTAACACAATGCAAAAATAATTTGCTTAAATAACGATAAGGAAATGTTACATAAATATGATTAAGTATTGAAAGTGTCTTCGTAGTTACGTAAAATATAATTTTAAAATTTACTGATTTACTTAACCTGATTTAGGTCTTATAAACAATAACAATCAAAAATATTTTTTCGGTATATTTTTATTATTATTGAGTTTCATTACAGAGATTAATCAAGTATTATACAGCATATTATAATTTCTATAGTAATATGATGGCAGAATAGTTAATATTTTAAATATAGTTTATAAATTATGATTATCATTTTAGCGTTCTTTTTATTATTCTTAAATTTTATCCACTACTGCCTGGACGTATTTGCATCACAACCAATATGGAATACTTAAAGTGTTAATTGCCCTTCTATATCCGTGAAAACTTAATCGGCGTCCATCAGCTGAAAAACACCAGCATAATATAAGTGAAACGTATAAATTATATAGAAACAATATAAATAGATATTACAATTTTTAGTGCAACAACATAGCACAAGCAGAGAAGTATATCAACTAAAATTATTTACATCCGCAGAGTTTTTAACCAGTACATTATGGTATGTAGAATTAATGTTTAACCAATCTGTAACTAAAATTGGGCTGGTTATACAAGAGCGAAGCTTCAATCACACGCTTAGTTCTTAAAATAATTTTTTTTGTAAATATTTTTTTTTCATAGAAAAGAGCATTTATGAGTTTTTAGCTAGAATTCAATTAATTACTAGGTACTACAATCATGTGAATTCTTGTAATTAATATTTTATAATAGCAATATTTAACAGTCATATTCGCATGCATAATTAAGTATAATATCTTTCATATACAGTATAGTTATGATACAGGTTAAGTTGGGTTGGGTTAGGTTAATTTAAGTCGAAATAATAAACCAAATACAATATAAGAACGTCAATGGTGCTATATCTTCATAGCTAAAGCTAATTACAAGAAAATGTAATAAAACGATTATTAAATTTAGTTATTAAGAATAATACTTACGGCCATCGTGTCCGTAGGTAGTCATAACAAAATCAATTTGTGTTTCAGTCATATACGTTGGATAATGAAGACGAACCAAATCACGGCGATTAATATAGCCTCTTGGTGCGTTATAATCGCGGGTACCAAAAAAATATCTTGTCATATCCTAAACATTTTTTAAAACACTTATGAGCATGTAATATAAAACACATTAGATAATAACTCTGGCTTAAGGATTATGTACATTTTAAACACATAAGTGAATTTTTCCTTATTAATAATTATAATGTATTAAAATTATATGGGCGTGTGTTTAACTTAATAGTAATATTTAAAGGCCAAAAATTCGCGAAATTTTGAATTTTACAAGATACATTTGTATCTATATTTATAATATATAGATAGACTTTTGACTATATTAGTTAAAAATATATAGTTTATTGCACAACAATTGCTTTTGTTTTTTTCTGATCTATATTAGTTTTCATGGCGGAACACCTACACCAGAATATTACTGACAGAAGTTTTATAGTGATATTATTGATCAGAAAACACATCGACGTAATGGTACTCGTATATAAATTTCTGACAATATATATCGATGTAAAATAAGAAAAAAATTCAAATTAACTAATATTCTTCCAGTTTAATTTAATAATACCCCGAAAATAAAGGTTGTGTGCACACAATAATTCAATCAAAATATCATAATTATAACATTACATCTATTTTATATTTATGAATGAGGCCTTCCCTCATAGCCTTTTGAAATTTATCATAATACACTCTTCTTTCACGATAACCGTTTTCACCAGTGATCTCGACTCCGTAATTATCCAACACGTACTCGAGTTGATCCATCTCATGAAATTCATATATTTTTCTTAGTCCAGCGAAAGTAACATACTCTTCATTTTCTTTCTTTAATTCGTCAAACCGTTTCATAATTTCCTACAACAATATACAAAGTGTTAATTTTGTTTTTAAAAATAATTTCATAAGCATATTTTTGTTCAGTCATTAAAAAATATAGAACGAACATTTTGAAAGAGAATTAATAATTGTACGTCACATATAAAATTAATATAGGTATTCGAAAATATATTGAAAATGTTTTACGATTCTAACAAGATTTTGATGTTCGTAATAAATCCTAGCGGATTTAATAGTTTAAATTCTTATTTTTTACATAATTCGGTAGGCTAATAAATTATGTTTTGCAATTGGGCGATAATTAGTTAAGATTTATGTACAGACCGTTGTTAAGTAAGTTAAAAATTATAATATATAAATTATTTATAAATATAAAAAAATTATTTTTAGGAAAATTATAATTACCACAACAAATGCATCATAAGAAATGACTTTTGGAATATAATATAACGTTAAACAAAATAAAATGATGTGCTTAGTATTCATTTTAATACTTTCAAATAAAAGTAAAACAATTCGTGTACAAAGATTTTAACTAAATAAAACCTAGCAAGCAAATAATTCTTATACTCAAAAATGTATAGAATGTTATGATAAAAAATTGTTGGCGTGACTTTTTGCTAAGTCTACTGCACAACACTTGTGCATCTATATACATACCTATATAATAAAATTACTATTCGTACTATTTGTTTAACATGACGTCAATGCGTTATTAATTTTTTTTGGGTGAATTGTGACTTATGGTATGAACGTACAGAAGCTATAAGTCATAAAGAAACTTAATGTCTAAAACCGGTCCCACACGACTTGCGTATTTGGCGAATAATTTTCAACCGCTATGCCTTACGATTAATTTCACTTTTCAGAATTGCAGGTTATAGCAATATAGTTGTGGGGACAAGTATACTAATTTGTTATATGCTATTTGGCTTACACAATGGCTTATAATTTTTAAAAAATTACAGTTACCAAATAATAATTATCCAAAGAAAGTACTGTTGGAAAACAATAATATGTTGAACAAAATAAAATATTGTAATTAGTATACATTTTAATACTTTTTCGAACTAATAAAAGTAAAATAATTAGTATAACAATATGAATCCTAGCTCGTAAATAATTCATATTGTTTATAATAGAAAGACTGATATTAAATTGTTTAGGTACCTACATAATTTAGCAATAATTAATAAATAACCTAACTTAAAAATTATAGTATATAAATTATTTATAAATATAAAAAAATTATTGTTAGGAAAATTATAATTACCAGAGCAAATGTATCATAAGAAATGACTTTTGGAATATAATAATTTGTTAAACAAAATAAAATTATGTACTTAGTAATTATTTTAATACTTTCTGTAAAAGTAAAATAATTCGTTTACAAGGGTTTTAACTAAATGAAACCTAGCATTCAAATAATTCTTATACTCAAAAATGTATAGAAAGTATATTAAATTATTAGCGTGCGTTGATGACTAGAGTTTACAAGTTAACAAGTTGTTTCTATTTTTCAACATTTCTATTGATTCCCTAGTATTAAGGTCTTTAGAGTTATTTACATATTTTAGTAATTTACTGTGCAAACATATTAAATAGGGTTTATGATAAATTGTTAAAAAAAAAACAACTTCAAGAAGACATTTTAAATGAAAATACCTATAAAAATGTTAGGTCGGTATGTAGGTAGTTATAAATTATATGGTTTTCCCTCCCATTTTTATATAGACAATCTGTACCTACCTCTAGACGCAATAAGAGTATAAGCTGAGAGAAATATGAAAAAGAACAGCTTGACGAAAGTAGTCACACATTGATGACAATTCCCATTTGTGTTTATTTTATTATTATTATTATTAATGTCTAGAAAAGTGTGTTTGTTGCATGTGTTATATGTACAATAATAATAGATACTAATAGATAGATTTAATATCATGCATTAATAAGAAAAAATAATTATAAACTCAATAAACTTTCTATAAACAATTTTTATTTACAATATAAAACAATATGTGTAAATAGAAACAATAAGAACATAATATATTTTTGTAATTTAAGTAAGTAGTGCAAGAATGATGTTTGAACACAATTAAGTAACATTGTTTATAAGAATTAATTATAATATTATACCTAATTTTTTTACTGCATATTGTTTGGCTGTGTAATGTACAATGCTGCGTTTTCATACGAATCCCTGGTCGACTGATTTCCCAGATATGGTAAGATTTTCACTGGATTTGTTGGGTTGGTGCTTGCTTGTAGATTAGACTAGTTGAGTGGCTGCAAAGGGTCAACAATGGTATCATCAGATACGGGTTTGTGAAACGTTTGAGGTTAATTTTGGTATTTTTTAGCAGATCCGTTTAGGAATCACGCAAGTTGTTCCATTTATTCTTCCCAGTTTCACCTGTTAATCAGAACAAAACATAAAGATATTATGATTTTTTTTTTTTCAATTACTTACAGAACTGTATTTGTGTAGTAACCTTGTAGTAAATGTTCAAAACTTTTTCCCAAAAATTTAAGTTTCTATTGTACAAAAAAAGAAAAAAGAAAGTCAACAAGACGTTTTTTAATTACAATTATGATTTTTACTTACTTATTTGATTGAGTTGCTAAGAAATTTCAATATATAGCACAATGCAGCACAACAAAAACATAGAAAACGCTCCAGGGGCAATCCAAGACCTGAAGGCACAGATAATCAGACACATTCCTCAAAACTCGAGGACCAAATGGAGAGTTTGAAACTCCACAAAATACTTACTTCAACAGCATCATCCGAAGAGAGCAAACCAAAATAAAGAGAAAATAAAGAGAGAAAACCAAAAAAAGAATTGAGTAAACACCACTCGTGCATCATGAACTAGACGTGGAGACACTGGAGCCTTAGATGATGAAATTTGGCAAACGGCAATGCTTCTGGGCGTTCTTTCACTGACGGCTTGGAAAAACTAATTCCATCGCCTGTTTCAGAAGTTCAAAATTAATTTAATTGGGTTACAAATTGGCCACAAATAGTAATTATTATAAAATCTAAGGTATATAATACCGCAACATGATTAGCAAAAATATTAAGCTACAAAATTAATGGTGTGTGTTATTAGACAAATTTTGTAAAATATTGTACTTACTCGCTCTACGATGGCTAGTTTAGCTTCCAATTCTTCTATCCGATCGGCTGCTTTGGCTAAGTGGTGTTCGGATATAGCCTGAACGGCTCTGACCACGTGAGACTTGGCTCTCAAGTTGGCTTTAAGTTCAGCGATCTCTTCTTCTTTGGCGATATCTAATACAAAAGAAAAAAAAATACTAATAATGAAATACGGTTTATTTTCCAAATCCTCCCTGATAAACCTTGTCGAATATATTGTACTTACCGTCCTTGACCATGTTCGCAATGTCGCGTTCAAGTTTAAGTGCAAGTACACTGTGGTCGGTCATGATTGATTGGCATTGTGCAGCTTTTGCAACGATGCCAGTTAAACCGGCCTTGACCACCTGCAGTTCTTTTTTCAGCATTGCGTTTTCTTTCTGGACTTTAGCATTTTTCATGCGCAGTCTTTTCATTTTTAGCTGGCCGTGTACTTGAAGCAGAAAAAAAATTGTTCAAAATTACATTTTTAAAGTTTTTTTTATTTTAATATTTACCATTGCGTTTGCGCTTGACAGTCACCAGTGTCATTTTAAGACTTTGATTTTTGTCCACAAGTTTTTTGTTGCCGTTCTTGACATGGGCCAAATTCGATTCTAGTCCTTTTAGTTGGTCTTTTATTTGATCTCGTTCTTGAAGCACATCATCTATCGCTCGATTGCTTTGCAGAACATACCTGGCTTCGTCGCATTGGGCCTTTAACCCAACGACAACGTTAACAAGCTGTTGCCTGTTAAAGTTTTTGTTGGGTTGTATGCCCAATGCGACGCATAAATTCTCTACAAGCCAATCCAACTGTTTTCCCGCCTCTCTCAATGGCTCCTGGTCCTTCATTTTGTGGTCTACAGCTCCAATTGCGTTTGACATTGTTGAAGATACAGTTATAGTTTCGAGTTCAGTCCAAGAACTAAAAATCGAAGAATATCTAAACAATTAATATAGCAAAGAAAGAATTATACCAAGACTATAATAAAGTCAAAAATACTTTTGTTTGTTATAACATAAACACCAAGCTTAGTGTTGACAACGACGCTTGTAAACGGATAAATTTGAACCAACAATTTGTTTGTCAAATTTATTTAAAAGCTGTTTCGATTTTAAATTAGAACCCCCCCCCCAAAAAAAAAAAATTATTGTAGATGTCTACATTCGGTGTGCGCTGGACAGTAATATAAGTATAAATTAATTTGACTTCGGATTTTTGGGAAAATTGTCTATTATGTTACAGCCCCGTCGTTAATCTGCTTTAAGCTCTTAAAAAAGTGGAAAATAAGACAAGGTTACATTTCGTCTACCACTAAGGGTACAATTATTATTGTATTGATAAATACATAATAATATTTTATGTAAGAAATAACATTCACACGATTCATCAAATCAAAACATATTTTATTAGTACAATTATAAAATTTTTTTTACAAGTACAGTATGATTTAAATTTTAATTGAAATAAAGATACATGTTTTGAACGTTTTACATTAACGAATAAAGTATAACCAAAAATAGGTGTAAATAATTGAAAAAAACAATTTTTAAAAATGATTTCCAATGCAATTGTGCAGTTAAAAACCCACATTTCAACATGTTGTTGTACTGCAGTTTTGCAAAAACATGGAAATGCGAACGCTATAGTCATTGATAAACTTTATATAAGATTGATATAAATCGAATTCAAGAGTATCTTTATAGTACAGTTGAATTTCACCAATAACCGTTGTTGCTTTTTCCGATTGGCGCTGAACCGGGTGTGTCGAATATTCTAATAGTGGGATATTTAAAACACGGCACAACCTTTTGTGTTCATGTTGGACTTTCCAGACATACAGTCTGTGTTTTGTTTAAAATAATCTGCACCATGTTTCAAGATGATACTGTTGAGTTCACAGAAGACATCGTCGTCGTTAAGTGTAACGCATTAATAACGCGCGGTAAAACCATTTGAAAATCTTCAATCAAAAAATCAATGTCTTCGTCTGTATCATAAGCGGCTAGTTTTGGCCTTAAGCTTATCATACGACTTATTTGCATCAGGAATTCCCACGTGAGTCGTACCAACATAAATCTAAATATGCCAACAATGATAATGTTAAGATTGCCAAACATGAGTAATCCTTGCAACCCACTCTTTTTGGGAAACTTTATACAACAATTCATCGTTTGATTCAATGCATTCCAAGTGTCCGAATCCACGAGCGAAGGCGAATACAATTGGAATCTGTTGATGACCGCATTTAAGCAGGTCGAATCTGAGAGATATGTTTTCCCTTAGCTGTTCATTGAATAAACTAGAGAAATCGGGTCTCAACTCTTCGGTCTTATAGCCACTTTTAAATGAACTCACTTGCTTCCACTGTGTTACTAGTTTCCCATGCTCGACCTGTTCGACATCTTCGCACAACAGCGGCTCGTGTTGGATCATAAAAATAATTACAAAGAGTACACAACATTTTGTGAAAATCATTTTCAACGTAATGTCGCTTTCCAATATAACACAAGCCAATTTATATACTTTGAACAAATTTGCCTTTCAGAGGCAAAAATACGTAGAATCCAAAATTGTTTATTTTATTATCTGAGTGGAAATACGATTAGTTAAATAGATTTAGTTACAGTCCATTTTTGTTTATAACATTTATCCGTTTAAACTGATGTTGTGCATTTTTGTGTTTTCGTCGAACAAATTATCCCCCCCTGAACCGGTTAGTTTTGTTTATTTTTACAATATAACATGTTGATAAAACATGTTAACTGAAATGGCTTTTATACTCGTAGGAAAAATTTTTGTTTCTTTATTTGTTCTTGACAATTGAGTACATAATAATACTTTGGTATAATATACATATTTAAAAACACCTTTACATACGTAGACTAGTGTAAAATATGGTGTCAACTTGTATGTTACGATAAACCACAATAGATTTACAAGACAAACATGACTAAACTTTTTGTAAACAATATCAATATTATATTACTATGGACAATTTTGTAAAGATTATGTAGAAATAATTATTACAGTATTAGTACAAGACAAAAATTGCCTTGACGACCAAACGGTGATATTATTATTAAAAATTTTAATGTTATTTTATCTAAAAAGTGACAATATTTTACTTAGTCCTAAGATATAATTAAAACACTGTGTGACTTTGATTTGAGATAACTTTAAGAGTATACAAACATAGGTATTCGAAAAGATATTTTATCTTTTGAAAAAAATGAACAAGTCTAGATTTTTTTTAGTACTACCAACAGTACACTTAAGGTTCTGTGACTATTTATAAACTGTCCTTTAAAAATAAAGAAATACTAGCGAGAACCTTTGTAAAACCCAACAATATAAGTCTTTTACGGTTTTTTTTTAAAGTTAAATTAAATAAGTACGTCCTAAAAAACTTACCCTAATCGCACGAACACAAACAATCATATAAATGTGTATAATAATAATAATTAGTGAACGTGACGAGATGTGGAAAAAATTATAAAGACACTAATATTAATTGAGAATAGTATTATACCATTAGTTTATAATAACATCTTATATATTAAAAGTTACCTAAGATCGGGAAATGTATCGTCAAAAAAAGAAAGAAAATTAACAAATTAACACAAAAACAATTACTTACTTACCTGAATACTAATTCGGAACGCTATAGTTTTGTTGAAGACAATATCCAATATTGTTAAGTTTCAATTGTTTTTTTCGAATTTCGTCTGTGGAGAATTAAACTTTTTCAACTTTTACCCCCCCCCCCCCCAAAGTACAAACTAGATAAAATTTGTGATTTATAGAGTTGCTATTCGTAGGAATTGGTCTAGTATTAAAAAAGTTACAGTGCGTACAGCTAAAAAAAAGCCCACATCAGAGTAAAACCAATATCTTCTCGCTTTGCATCGAAGCTAAAATGTGTTCATTGTTTAAGATTTTTAAATGACTTTTATACTTGTATTTTTAATGCCTTCGAAATGTTCACTAAAATATACAATAAAGGACAATTAAATATTGATAGCTGGCCAATTATAATGAAAAATAAATAAAAACGTTTGAAACAGTCTCTATAATAGTTTATAAAAAAATTAACAATCCAAAGTACTTCTAATTACTAATATTAATAAAAGTACGGAAACCCGTTTTTTTCTAATTAAAACGTTGAAAAATGTTGCCCAACCCTAACCCTTTAATCAAATCGAAAAAATTGGCCAAGTGCCGTCTTCTAACAAGTGTTTAACAACAATGTACAAGACCTATGCTAATTATTATAAGTCTTATAATTTATAAACAATAACAAGTACAATTATTATTTCGGTATATTTTTAATTTTATTGAGTTTAATGACAGTGCCTAATCAAGTATTAGATAATATATTATAATTTATATTAGTATTATGGCGACTACATTGTTAATAGTTTTTTTTAATATAATTTATTATTTATAATCATTATTTTAGCGTTCTTCATACAACTGCACTTTATTGGCCACCGTCTGAACGTACTTGCATCACTACCAGGCTGGAATACCACCAGTGTTAACAGCTCTTCTAAAGCCTGGGAAATCTAATCGGATTACACGAACTGGAAAACACCAGCATAATACATTTCAATTATACTCTGAGCTCCTCAAACAAATCTTACGTAATAGATATTTATGTGTATATTTTTCCCCCTAAAAATTCAATCGTCAGTCCTTTTTTTTTTTGTGATTAATCGAGTAGCTTATCATTCACATATTTTTATAACGACTTTTTTTTTTTAGGATTCATACGCTCAGACATAATAAACTGTAACGTGTATTACCGAATTCGCTGTTAAAATACAATATGTCTGTAATGGATCACGTAGAAGGTATTATTAACGTAACAAATAAACAACTTAGACATAAATGTTAAGCCGAAAACGATACTACAATTAATAAAACGCAATAATTAAAAATTATATTTACAATTCGGATCTCCGAAGGTACTCAAAACATTATCGATTTGAGATATAGGAATTCTTCCTTCGTAATGGTTTATCAAGTCGTTGCGGATAATATAGTTTCTTAACGTGCCACTTTTTATGATGATTTCGTTAAATAAAGTTTCCACGTGCTATTAAAAACAACAAAAACAATGATAGGTATATACAACATAATATTTGAACAGTAACATTTCCTAATTATAAAACGTCCTAATTCAATGCCTATAATTTGTTTTAGCTACATTTTATGTTATTGAATTATGAATGAAAATAAATATTAAGATGCATTCTGACTCTGTTTGAAGTTAATGTGAATATGAAGCAGATGAGTGAATTGTGTTATTTTTAACGAAAACAATTGGTGACCTTCTCTATTTTACAAAATTTTCATAATATGTTGAAAGTATAATTTATTATTATTTTACTGGTCTCACGTTAAAATCAGGTTTAAAGGAACACCAGAATTTGAATACGAATGGTATAATCGCACATGCATTCTTAGCAATATTCATCGACATAATATTAGTAAAATACCAAAAAAACTGTTGCGTGCACACAATTATTTTATCCGAAATAACATGATTATAATATTACCTTTTTACTAAATCTATTTATGTAGCCATCCATCAGAGCCTCCTTAAATTTCACAAAATAAATTCTTTGTTCACGTTTACCGTTTTCAGTGATCTCCATACCGTAATTTCTTAACAAGTCAACAAGTTCAGATCGCTCACTGCTATGATATGTTTTCCTTAGTGATCTGGCGGTAACATAATTTTCTCCTTCATTTCTTATTTCGTCAAAGAGTATGTAAATTTCCTAAAACAATACACCAGGAGATTCATATTTTTTTTAATTTAATTTGATTAGCATATTTTTACTCCGTTAAAAGTCAAAGAACGAACATTTTAAAAGAAAGTCAACAATTGTACGTCGGTAAGGTTAGGTTAGGTCTTACGATTCCCTCGGGAATTTGTTGTTCGTAATAAATCCTAGAGGATTTAAATGTTTAAATTCTAATTTTTCTGTATAATTCGGTAGACTAATATATTTTTTTGTTGTTGGGCGATAATTAGTTTTGATGATTAGGCGTTTAGGTAGGTTTGTTTGCATCATTTGAATAAAACATTATTTAAATAATCTTACTAAATACTATACTTAATATAATTATATTAAGTATAGTTATTTGAAAATTTCAAAAATAATTATTAGAATAATTTTTAAAAATTAGTATTTTAATAGTTTGTATGTGCTTTTTTTAAGTAATTATATTTAAAAAAATCATTTCGTAAATATAATATAAACTACATATTTTACAGAATATATAAAACCAGTATAATATTATATAGGAAAACATTTTTCTTACTCGAATAATATTTAAAAAATCGCACAATCTAAATAATAATAAATTCTAGTATAATATTATATCCATTCAACTAAATTGAAAAAAAATATTCGAATAATTTTTTATTAGAATAAATTGTGAAATAATTGTTCCTATAAGAATTCGCACTAATCTGTCTATGTGTAATAAAACGGGGAGGTGAGGTGCAACTAAGTATGAGTATACTAACAACAAAAAATAAATTAAAAATTGTCAGTTTTTTTTTTGACAAATATAAAAATAAAGCGATACTTTTACGTTATACATTTTCCTAAGATATTTTATAATGGTGGGATACCATTATGTTAAATATCTAGTGTATTTAGCTCTTTGATACCTATATAATTTACCAATAATATATTTAATAAATTACTTACCATTAACAATGATAATATTTAAAGATTTATAAATACAAATAAGTTATTGGTATAAAAATTATAATTACCGATTCGTCAAAAGCAATTACTTTTGGAATATAATAAGATGTTAAACAAAATAAAATTATATACTTAGTATACATTTTAATACTTTTCCGTGCTATAAAGGTTATAATTCTGACACTAGTATTTTAACTAGTTAAAACCTAGGACGTAAATGATTTTTATGCTCAACAGTAGACAGTTATATAGTTATATTATCTTAGAATAATATTAATTGAAGCATTTACTTTTGTCTAAGTAAATAACATTATAGCTTACTGTACAAACACTAAACCAATATCAAACGAATCTGTACTATTTGATTATTATATTTCCCATCTGGCAAGATAGACATGCCTACGCACCCACATTAAAGGGGCTTTATATGAAATACACCCTGTTTATAGAAAATATTTTTTTATAGGAAAAAATGTATTCATGTAGAAACTATAGAGAACATATTTTTAATAATATATTATTATAAATATTCAAGTTGTAGTTTTCCTTATGGTATACCTAACAAATAACAATACAAAAGACATTGATTTTTTATGACTTTGATAGTCTAATTACAGGTGCAATATTAGATTGTATATTATGTTACATTACCTGTAACAATAGCTACTAATGCAAACTGTAAATTATAAATTATATTGTTTTTATTTATTTAATGAACATCTGAAGGCATAAGATATAGTTTGCTATAAGCAGACGTTAACAATAATAAAAGAAAACTACTAATACGTAAACTAATTGGGAATACTGAATTCAAAATAAATTACAAATTATAAAAAAAAAACCTGTACAGTTAAAAAGTTCAAATGGGTCCTATAGTGGTAGTAGTAATGTAATAGTAACGGGCAAAACTTATTTGGGGAGGTATTTTTTTAAAATTAAATGTAAAGAGCCCCCAATGATATTTTCCTTATGTTTAATGTCTATAAATCAGGCCCATATCTTAATTTTATTAGGAAATCTGTAGTGTGTCATATTGTTTGGGTTACTTACAAAACCAATAAGACAAAATTTAATTTTATCATTTATAAATTAAAAAAAATATCAACATACATTTTTTTATAACATATGAATTCAAAATAAATAAATGATTAAAAAAAACAGTCGGTTTTGTGCCTTCTGCAAACTTAATTTAAGTATTTAAAAAATATGTTTAGTCTTTAAAATTTGTAGACGACTACAATATTTTAATTTATGTAAACATTTAAATCGAAGTTGTACAAAACTCTCGCTTTTTCATTAATACAATGAATACAATACAACTATTTTCAAAAGCCCTATCCACAGGTTAAGTATACAAGAAATAAACAAAGGTGCCAGGTGGTCTTCTAAAAAGTATTGAAGAATGTATGATCCATAAAGCTTAAAAACAAATAGGTCACTCGATGCGATTTAATATTCTTTTTAGACGTTTTCTTTAATTTACACAATTCTTCGTCTAAAACTAAAACTATTCGATAGTTTCTTAGTTTGAAGTTTGTTTTATTATTAAAATTATTATGAATCCCTATTATACGAGCATAGATTTTATGTATTACTATATCAAACGAAAGAATAATTTCTTGGGAGTCCAACAAAATTGACGTTCAGAAAAAACCAAATAGTTTTAGGATTAGTCAAAGAGCAACCTGTTAAACTTTACTGAATGACCCCAAATTTTGATAAACTTATTTTCTTACTATACAAATTCATTTTTAATGATTGGCATATATATTGCTATTTCGTGGATTTCGGAATTTCACGTACAATTACAATCTTAGCGATTTTATTTTTCTAATTTTTATAGCACTCCGGCTATCTCATAAAAAACAATAAAAAAACGGTAGGTATCAAACATATATTCGGTTCATTTTTATTTTCATAAAATATAATGCAGTATGTAATTAAGAATTAGAAGACATATTAAAATTATTAATTATTATAAAGTTCAATACTATTTTGAATAAAATTTTAATGGTAGAAGTTCTTCAAGTATAATTTTTCTATATTGATGGAAATATAATCTGTATGCTCCTTCTGAATCACACCATCATAACATAAACAAAATGTACAAATAATTTTAAAAATATATCAAAATGCTTCATTTTTACTATTACAAAGTATGAACTGCTGAAGACTTTGCCTTAACTAGTTTTCAACATTTTTACTAAACCAACCTAGTCAAAAGTCAATGTGAATAAAGGAACATTGGATTTGTTAACAAACGTATACAAGGTGTGCATAATATCATATAAGTACCGGTTAACGATCCAAAATAGATAAACTTATTAATACTGTGCTTATGTTGTATTAAATTTGATTATTGATCGGTTAGATTAGATTGGCTAATAATGGGTTAGAATAATATACCAAATAAAAAATGGTTAAAATAATGTGAAACCACTGTGTTCTAATAGTTTAAAACTATGTGTATAACATAAACCTAAGATTATTTTCTAATTATAATTTTTAAAATGCAGTTATTGAAAATAACCTTTATAAATCTGTTCTCCGTAGTTGTTTTTAATAACACTTTTGATTTGAGGTTCATAATACGCCATTAAGTCTTTGTGCGTTATAGTGTCTCCGTCCTTTTCTGGGATCATACGATTAAATATAGTACGCAACGCCTAAAGATTTAATTTTGTTTTAAATTTATACAAAATTGATGTAAAAGAAATTTAAACAGGAACATTTATTACCGGCGGAGCTGATATATCCCCACCTAACGAAACTAAAAGATGACCATCGTTTATAGCATTTTTAAAGCCAGTGAAATCTAACACAATTTTTCCGTCTGAAATCAACAACAAACAATTTATAAATTATTAAAAATAAATTTAATAGTAATAATAATAATAATAATAATTTATGATTGTTAAACGCAGTTATTAAACATCATATTTACTGTTATCGCTTTTGTAGTCTCTAATAATATGTTTGAGCTGAGGTTCATAATATTTAATAAGGTCTGTGTGGTCGACCGAGAACTCCGATTCGTCTTTTCCGTTTTTGACCATTGTTTTAAATGCAGTATAGACCGCCTAAACATCTTTATTTTTATTAACCTATACATAAGCTATTTAAACCAAATTTAACAGGAACATTTATTACCACCAAAGAATCCTTTTCGTGGCACACCGGTGCTGGGAGTATACCGACGTTTAGTGCTATTCTAAATTTATCGAAATCAAATACTTCATCATTATCTGAAAATCACCAACACAACATGATTTAAAAACAGTTAAAAATTAATCTCTAAACGTTTTAGAGTTTCTTATTTTCACAAATTTGGTAGATTTTAATGTCATAAAACGCCGTGTAGTGTACGAATTTAATTTTTATAATTAATTACTTACGAAAATTAAAAAATTCTAGCTACAATTACATTTTATCGTTGCACGGCATTTTTTTTTTTTTTTTTGGTTAACAACTTTGGAAAACAAAATAGTTTATCGCAGTATAAATTTATAAATAACCACCATATTTTTATTTGTCAACTTATACGTTATGGTTATCTACGTGTATCATTATTCGAAACAAATGCAAAACACAATATGTTCCGTATGGCAATTTTTTATTTATCTAGCAGCATATTTTTTTGTAGCAAATTCAAGAACAGTATCTGAACACTATTTACCGCCTTTTTAATTTACTGTGCCGACACCTTTTTGCATGTTATAATAAAAAAGTTTTTCAAACCGTATTTGTTATGAAGAAAACTCAAATAAGCATAATCGCGATTAGATGTATTTTGGGGCGCACTAAATTTATTATGTTTTGGGCAAACAAGCTAATCAATTTTCCCATAACATTAAGAAATAAAATATACTGTTTTAGCGATAAAGGCTCTGTGATCAATATTGGTTTGTCGGTTCAGACTTCAGTCCACTCCTACTAAGGTCTATAATCTTCTCTCATGGAGACCATGTTAAAAGTGCATTTTGCCTATTATTGTGGCTGAGCCCTTTACAACATTTTTTTCATATTATATTTTCTTATTGTGATTTCTCTCTATATTTAATATATTGTATTTGTGTTTCTATTTTTTTATGTATACAAGTGTCTTACGACCTATAACATTTTTAAATGTAACGACTCAAATAACAAATTTAAAAAAAAAAACAATCACCAGACTCCCAATTTTTATAGTGGTGCTATGATTTTTTTTTTTGGAATATTATAATATAATATTCCCTAGTTGTTGCGATACCATCTGTTCCTAAGTCTTTGATACAATATTATATTTCCATACAGTATTCATTTCACGCGAGTTTGTATTAAATTGTACATTGTAGGCGTTGTTAAAATAAATCAAAGACTTAGTATAACCTCATATGTCAGAAAAGCCATATTCATTTAGTTTTTTTTTATTTATCGAAGAAAAATCAGGCTATTAGGTCTAAAGCATCCAAATAACCGTCTGCTTTTAATCCCCTTAAAGCTAATAATATTGTTAACACAGTATATTTTCCTATATTTTTGGAGTTTCCAACTGCCTACGCAGAGAATGTAATATTGTTTATACAACAATTTGCAGTGATAAATATTACTCGATAGAACATGCTAATTTAGTAAATTATGAAGTATTTTTATACTTGAGGATTAATCCTTTGGACTTCATTAGTAATGATTTAAAAATTGGATTTTGCCAACAGAATTGTATGGTGTGTGATCATTAGTTTATAATATAATCAAAGGATTATATTATAAAGAAAATAATAATGTTTTTAATTCTTAATTTTAAAAAAGTGTTATGTTTGTTATTGTTAAAGATTTTGTTATTATTTATTAAATACTGGAATTCAGGGGTTTTAAGTAAAATGAGGTAAATAATTTTAAATTCTGGTTTAAGATTAAAAATATATTCCGAATATGAACCCACAGCTTTAAATATGTAAGTTTATTTAAACCGCAAAATGAAAACAATAGGCGTTTGAAAAAACATGCTATTATATTTGCCATTTGCCAACGTGCGAAAGTAAAACCTAACTCCCTTTTTTTGTTTATTTAACCTAGAAAAATATTTGTACAAAATATTGTTGTCGACATTTTTTCGTCACCAAACAATAACCATACGAACTACAAAAATATATTTTATTATTGCATATTAAAGTAATATTTTAACAAGAAACAAAATAATAATTCAAACGTTTTTTAAATATCTCATTGATAATATAAAGCAATTACAATATTTAGTAATTCTTATTATAAAAAGTTAAGCGTGACAAAATAATTAAAATGTAATCTGATGAATACCTCTATTAAAAATTATTTCTTATTGTTCTTTTAATATAACTTGAAAGGTTAGGGGAAGGGGGGTGGGTTAAAATATACTTTTTTAAATTATTATAGTTTATAGTAAGTTAAAAGTTTGTTATAGACTATAGAAGTTTTGCTGATAACGCGATCGGCATAGAAGTGCTGTTATCAGTGTTCAAGTTTTTTTATCAGTTTCTTATCAAACGATCGTTATCGATTCGAGAAAAAAAACTAAATGACAAAACGGATTAGACATTAGTCAAACCTTTAACCTGATCTAATTAGTTAGAATAATTAAATTAAATAAATTCTACATCGACACCGCGTTTTGTGTTTATTAAAATATTTAATTTATTATATTCAAATATTCCGCGTCATGGCTCCGACCTGTTCCGTGAATTTACACGAATGCTTGGATTTGGTTACCCGGCTTTCACGGCAAGCGGGCAAGGTAAACTTTTTTTTGTCATAATTTGTACATTTTACAATTTTGGTGTAACCGTATGGTTCTGATTTTAACCATAAATCTGAAGCCGTACAGTTTGTACAGGCCAAGCCGTTACGGGTGGAGCGCTTGGCCTGGGCCATCTGAAAACTATGGCTGACAACGTAGCCGTTCTGAGTTGTTACAGTTTACTTTAACAAGTCAAGTTAGTTTAACTATTTTACTCAACAAACTGACTTTTAAACAATATTTAATTTCACAAGAATATTTCTATTTCTTGACAACTTTTTAAGTAACAACGTCATTACAAATTTTCTACAATCAGGTTAATTTAAATATATTTGTAAGGTCTTTGCTCGAATAATTTTTTTATGTAGACAAAGCGGTAAATAAACATTTACTCTTAGATTATTTATGACAAAATAATTTATTATTCGTTATCGGTTAACACAATTAATTTAATATTTCTTTGAATATCTAAATAATAATAAAGATACTATTTTCAAACACTTTGTTGTAACTGTATCGACTTTAAATGAACAATTATTTTCTTAGCTCATTAGAACTCGTATCAGACAAAAGAAAACAATCGAGACCAAAGCTACCAGTATTGATTTTGTGACTGAAACAGACCAAGAAGTCGAGAAAATGCTTATCGAAGGAATTAGACAAAAATATCCGACACACAAGTAATAAAAGTAGAAATGATAAATTATTGATAATAAATACTAATCATAATGTAAATTGATTAGATTCATAGGAGAAGAATCATTTGCTGCGGGAATTAAAGAAAAACTGACGAGCGAGCCGACATGGGTCATAGATCCTGTAGATGGCACGACCAATTTCGTGCATGGTTATCCAAATGTGTGCATATCAATCGGTTTAGTCGTTGACTGTGAAGCTCAGCTGGGTGTTATATTCAATCCGATTTTGGACATGTTTTTTAGAGCGATCAAAGGCGAAGGCGCCTATTTAAACGACGAACCAATTACCGTTAGTAGTTCAAAGTGTAAGTCTTTTTCGTGCTCGATTACAAAATAATACACATTGCTCATCCCTTGTCCAATTGAAGGCTTAAGTGATTCCTTGGTTTCGGTCGAGCATGGTTCCATTCGAACTGATGAGTTTAGAAGCATTGTCAGTCATAATATTGGTTATTTTGCCAAACACGCTCATGGGTATGGAATATTTATCGTAACTCATCTTTTGTGATATTAATGATATCTAATATAATTTATGATTTTGTTTAGAATTCGTTCGGGAGGATCGGCTGCTTGGAATCTGGCGATGGTGGCCAAAGGCGCTTGCGATTTGTACGTAGAGATGGGTTTGCACGCTTGGGACATGGCGGCCGGCAATATAATAGTCAGAGAGGCGGGTGGTGTTGTTATTGATCCCGCAGGTAATCGACTTTGAATCCCGAACTCATGTGATTTTTTTAGTATTAATTGTTCCTGGGCAAATAAATTTTATTATTTATTCTGGAGTAAACAGTTATTTTCGCTCCGGAACACAAGCAAATTTCGTTTTTTATTATTTTATTATTTTAATATTTTATTTCATGCGTAACAAATAACAAGAGGAAATAATATTTTTTATTTGCTGAAATCAAATGACGTTTTATATTTAACCAGATTTACATGCTCATTATTTAATATTGAAATATTATAATTTTTTAGGTGGCGAATTCCAATTGATGAATCGAAGAATATTAGCGGCGTCGTCAAAAGAACTCGCTAATGAAATACCTTCTAATTTGAAACAATACTATCCCGAACACGATTAATATAAATAATAGTGTTTATATATAGTATAAAGTATGGGAACATGATATTTGTTATGTATTTTTTCGTTGAATTGTCTAGTCAATTTAAACAAATTTTATTATAAGTTAAACTATTTAGGTTTATAACATGTCATAAGACATTTTTGTCCTATTTTTTTTTTTTTTTAGGTTATTGAATTAATTTAATACACAGTTATAGACTTAGAAGTCTTGACACAAAATTTGTAGTTTATTTATGTTGGCGTCATTTCAAAAAAAATATACATACATACAATATGAAACAGTACAAAAGATACGTACAAAACAATTCAATTAAAAACAACAACAATAATTATTTAATCCAATAATAATATAGTCCTTAGTTTTCTTTTAAATAGGTAAATTTACAATCGATACTTACCAGTAAACAAGCGTATTGATAGATTGTTTTTGTAAGCTTAAACCGATAACTCCGCGTTTTGAATCTCTTATGGAAATGTTTACATTTTTACTTCGCCTAAATAATTTAAAAAAAACAAGAAATTAAATGTACAAATTGTGTTCTACTAATGAATTATTCTTATTAAAAAATCAAAAATAATGATTTGATAACTATGAACACTTTTTATTTTTATCTGAGACAATAAAAAAAAACTTAATTTCCTTATTTTGTCGTAAAATCACATTGCATAATAATTGTTAATCCATTATGTTTACTGTACAAATTTTAAGTAATACTAGAACATTTTAACCGTATAAAAAAGATATAATTTGTTTATTCGATGCATTAAAAGAAAATGTCAAGATATCATCTCGATTGCTATAAAATATAACTTAATACCTGTTTGTAATAAATCATATGATTATCTTTTTTTTGTTTTTTTTTTTTTGTAACAACACGATTTCCATCTTAATTTAAATATTATGCGAAACTCAAAATTGATTTTAGAAAAATTTTAACAATTGGACGTTTGAATGATGTTTGTAATTTTAGTTTTAAAACTGACTCTAAAGTGTTTAAATTTAAACTTAAAATTGTTATAGTAATATATTGTTTGTAATGCCAACCTGTTGTACAAAATCATCACTATGGCGCCGTCCGGTCTCTTGAATCCCACGATTTTGATGATGGACGACTGCGATAATTTTATTCGTACCGAACCTCGGTCGATGAATTTCGAAAAATGTCCAATCGCATAAAACATTGGCTGCTTGTAGAATTCGTCGGCGTCTTTGTTGACGATCACCGGTGCATCGACAAAGTTTGAAGACCAATTCGGCCCACCGGTCAGGTCCAAAGCCAGATTCCATTCCAACCACCCTTGTACCCAATGGTTTAAGTCCTGTCCATCAAATGTTTACGTACAATTCTAACCCGTTCCCGGTTCGGACGAATTGTCGAAAGTCTCTACGGACTGCAAGTGAATAACAAAAAAAAATCCTCCTAACACTGACGTTGTCCTCCAAACCTAATTTTTACCATTGTTTTTTTAATTTTGTATTTAATGCTCATGTAAAAAATAAAACAAAAAAATATTGTAAAAATAAAAACGGCAATTCAATGATTTGAATGATATGAAACCAAATTTGTTTGGATCTTCAAAGATTAATAATAATTTTTTTTTTAATTCTCAAACTGCTTATCGTTTAAATTTTTAGTAATAATAATTGTTACCGTACCACGCTGATATTTTATTTATATTTTTTATGTCTAAATTATGTATAACGATTGTCCATTGATTACAAATATTAATATTTATAATCAATGCTACAACTAATACAAAAAAAATTCTAAGGTGTTTCTTATTTTTTAAATACATAATGCAATATTTTTTTTATGGACAAAAAATAGTTATTTTTCGTTCGAAGTTGTGAAATGAAATTAAATAGTAATGAATAGTATTCGATTACTCGATTTTTTTGTTAAAACTACTTGAGATAAACTAAAATAAATTGAGTAAAAAAATATAAGCTATATTGTATAAGAAAAAGTGACTTGTCTTCTTCAAAATTGACACTATTTCTAATTGGTATATTTAATTTGTTTTAATACAAATTGTGGTTTTCTCATTATCAAGCATTATATTATGTTATGACAATTATTTTCAAGACTTAAAACTCTACGGATAATACGGATATAATAGTATATTTAGAATTTTATTTAAAATAGTTTTTTTTTTAAAACATGATTTTAGAACTTATATTTTCTAAAAATATGTATTAAAGATTCAAAAAAAAAAAATTAAAATAAATCTTAAAGTTTGAGTAGTAGAAAAATAACCAATAACTTATAGCGTGTGTTAATTAAATGGGGAAAAGTAGGTATTTTGAGGAGAATTTCGAAGGATTTTTTTTAATTTATTTGCAGGCCGTTGAAATGCTATGAAAATTCGTCCAAATTCTTTTTGAGACCATGACTAAATTGCGCATAAATTCTAAATAATTGTTCGACAATTTATTTGTACACTCACGTCGATAATGTTACTCGCATAATTTTCAGCTCTGTTCCAACTGCCCAATTGTACTTTTACAAAGTCCCAAGGTTTGTCTCCTTTATAAAATAACACATTATAACCGTTATAATAATTTGTTTATCGACATATAAAGAAAAATATACATACTATATTATGTTTTGAGTAGTCCATACTTTGGATTTAGTAGAATTTCAATTGGGATTTTTTATTGTATAAGTGCGCACGGCACGACACGTACCGTCAAACGGGCCAACTTGGGGCATTATGGGTAATTTGGGACATATGTGTAAAAAAATATACATTAAAATATAATATATTTGACCAATGCCCCAAATTACCCATAATGCCCCATGTTGGCCCGTTCGACGGTACTCAAAATCGAAATTAAATCTGTAACTTTAAGAGCCTTGTTTTTTTTTATTCATTTTGAATCAACTTAAAACTGAAATTCAACCGAACCCAAAATAGGACCCTTCCTCTCCTCGATATGTATGTATAATTATTAATTAATAATTTAATTGTTCACCTTGCGACGCTTCTGTGTTCAGAATCAACATGTCGTTGAAATCGTTGTGCACTTCGTTCAGCACTTTAACCGGTACGATAAAATCTAAGTACCAATGTACAGCAACGCCATCGATATACTTTGCGGCTTCTCCGTCGGCCATCAGCTATACACAATAGTAAAATATAATTTAGAGTTAGGTATCATGTTTGTGCGGAACAACTACTCGAGTTAATATCATTTTCATTAACTATTTTTTACAAATTTTCTCCCGGGTAAACCCTTTCCGGGGACACTTCAAAATCAATCCCGGTGCTCTGTTTTATTGCTCGTTTTGTAAAATAAGATCATATTATTGTATAATGTAACAATGTTCAGTGTTGTTTTTCGTTACCATTTTCATCCACCAAGGCAATACAATCCTCTGGTCGTCGATAGCGAACAACAACGTGTCGTTGTACTTGGACGATTTCAACAATGGTCCCATATAATGGCCTATCCATTCCCGGTGTGACTGCGGCGTCCAACCCATCGAGTTGAACCTGTTTATCGGCACAATACCGTTTAACGGTTCGTTTCCGGTAGTCAACGCCCAAAATTTCAAACTGAATTTGTCGTAGGCGTCCAAAAATCTAAATCGTACAAACACCGAACGATCATTATTATAGGGATGTGTTGAAAAAGGCACTATTTTTTTTTTTTTTTTTAATGACAGTTCAGTATACACGTCTTAATTGAGTCCCATGGCCTTTATTTACTATATAGCTGCCCTAACTGGACGCTAAAATACAATAAAAATCGGGTCGCTGAATTCAGTATGGTCGAATCCCTAGCAAATTTTTAATAAATGGTAAAAAACTAATAAAATAGAAAATTTTGTTTTTGATCGTCTACTTTTAACGATAGTATTTTTGATTGCAATATTATTAATGTTTAAAGTGTAAACTGTAATGATATTGAATTTTTGTTTTGTTTTGAAGTGTACCTACTTTATATGATATTTCGCCCAAGTCTCCATAAAGTTTTGCTTGAGAAATCCGATGCCGGAATAATCGTTGTTGGATTTCATCCATGGCGGAGCCGACCAAGCTGATCCGATGAGTCTTAACTCGTCGGAAGTCAAAGATTTGGCGACTTTTATGAGAGGTATCTAGAAAATAGAGCAGATGTATGTTAACTTATAAAACAGATGTCATATAGGTATGTATTAAGCTAGTTTTTATGTAGACTAGAATGTGTAAGTAGGTTTGAGCTGCAAATGATCTCTTTAGACCTGATAAATCAGATCTACTGAAAAATTTGGTACGGATGTCAAACAAAAATTAATAAATAAACTATGAACTAAAATAAATAATTTTGCGATTGACAGTTTCATAATCGTTTTGAGAAAACCTGTTTCCCCTACGGACGGGACAGGCTCACTAAATGCAGACTTGGTTGTTTATTAGGTATTTGATTTTTTTCTGATCTAAAATGAACAATCAGAAAGGTATAAATTAAGAAATGTCCGCCCCTCTCCAATGAGAAACATATGAATAATTATAAATTTGTTTTCCTACCCATTCCTAATCTTTAATTAGTTAACATTTCACGCGATTCCAATGTTTCTCCTTGTTGAGGATTGGGACAGATTTCGATTATACCGAAAAGCAAATTTTATACGGATCCCTAGCTATAAAATATAATATACTTGGCAGAGCTTAAGCGATAAGGGGAGGGGGTGTAAGGCATAAAGAACGGCCATAAGGAGAGATGATAAGAGATGAGGAACTGTAGTAAGAAGCAAAGAAAGGTGTTAAGGTGGCTGATCAAAGGAATAACAATGGGACGGATTTCGATCATACCGAAAAGTGTTACACACATTCTACAACTATCTCCCCAAACATGACCATACCCTACCTTGAAATCCACGTCCTCGCGGGTCAAGTTGAAGTTGGCCAAGTCCGGGACGCCTCTTTGGTCGGCGTACGTGTACTTGCGAGTGGAGAAATCGCATCCGCCGATCGGCACTCTTCCGATGTTGTACTTGATGCCCGTGTCGCTGAAATACGACCTGTGAGCAGACAACGGAAAAGGGTAATTGTAATAATGTATGATAAACTGCCGTCCATAAGACTACTATGGCGAGTAGCCGGTGAAATGCAATTGTTGTACAGACTTTAACAGGTTCTGTTGCGTTCCTTCGCTGAGCGATTTGATGTTGATGCCAGCTGCATCCGTGAAAGCAGCGCCGAACCCCTCGATGGTCTGGTACGTGGTCTGTTCGTCGACGGTGATTTCGTTACCGGCCCACCACGAGTCCAAGGAAGCCACGAACGAGCCGGTGCTCTTGGCGAACCGACTGCCCTCGTTGGATGATGTGTAAAGCACATACTTGCCGGCAGCCAGTCGGGTCGGTTCCGGAGTCCAATCGCAATGAGACGAATTACAAACGCACACTATGCCATAGGCTAACCGTCTCTTGTGACAGTCGTCAGCCGCTGCAATTCGGACAGATGTTATAGTTACGGTGGTAAAGGGATTTCGGAGTTAAAGGCAGACCTAAGGAGGAGTGGATGGATATTATATAGAAATAACGTAGGACAGAGCCGATTTAGCCGGCCGGGATAAGGCGACGAAGGAGAAGAAGACTTTACATTGAAACGTCCGGTTTTAAAAACCGTAAACTATGTGTAATATATACCTTTAACGCCGATAGCCATCACCGAAGCATAAAGCATAAGCCATTTCGTCAATGCCTAAACGGGTATGGATAAAAAAAAACATATTTATTAATAAATACACGATCGATACAAAATACAAGTAAAAAAATACCCTGAACGCTTAACCCTTAGTTAGGCGTGTGGTCTACAGTTGTACAATTTAACTTTGGGTCTGACAATTTCACTGATATGTTTACATAATAAAAAAATACTGTTCGATATGTAGTGTGTTAGTATTCAAAGGGTTTTTTTCTTGTAGTTGGAAAATTATCTACTCATCTAATACTAACATGTTGTACTAATCGTACGTTTACTCAACAGCTAATACATCAAAACGGGTCACGCTTTGTATTTTGAACATAATTCCAGCCATAACGTTTCGGCCCATACGATAAGTTGACATTTTTTTTAAAATTAAGTTGTAAACAATAAAACCGTGTAAATAGAACAACCATTAGTTCAGCAAAAATATCACAACCGTAAAACAATCCTAAGAATTCATGATCACGTCCAAAGTCCTAACTCGTGTTCTGTTGTATTTTTTTTTTGTGACATAATAATTAGAATAATTGTAATTGTTTTCTATTCTAATTTCTTGGTTTATATAACAATATAATCACCGTACAAAAATTGAACTACAGTATTTTATAATATTTCATCAGAATAAAATTGACTAATAGTTCTAAAAATTATATCTGAATGTACCAACAGACAGTTTATCGAGCCAATAACGCATTAAACCTTACATTTAGAATTTCGTTTATATATTAGTATAACGTATTTTTTTTTTTTTTTTGAAAATAAAGGTGACTAGAATCATTTAACGTTATAGCTTTAGTTTGTGTGGGTTTTCCGAACCTATTATTCGTATGAAAACGTCATTGATAAAATATGAATTATAGGTCTACTATCAATTTACACAGACAACAGCCTTAGATTACATTTTTATCTTGAGGACGCGTTCACATCCAGTTAAACGACCCTCGTCGTTTTCCCACCTATCATCTGGTCCATCGGCCAATTGCGTTTGATTAAATTAAAATCTACTGTAACTGGTAACACAGTCGATCCATTGAAGGCGGATGTTTCACAATTGCCACTGGCTTGTATTATTACATCACAATATTGTATTATTATTATTTGTACGGACGTTAAATTTATTTTAACCAATTACGATTATTTAGCCGGCGGTCGGTGTAAAAATCTACTTGGAAGCATAATTGTTATATACAAACTATATAAGAAACGAATACACAATAATTGTATTGGTTTAGCAATTATTGTTGCACCTACTTTGATTTATTATTTATTTCAGTCGTTTTGTTTCAATCCAAAGTTTAAACTTAAATGTACATTATTGTATTGTCATTTATTATATTGTATTAGTTACTACCAAACAGTACTTACCATGTGGCGGCGGCTCGGGTGACAATAGTGTATGGTATATTTTAATATATATTTTTGTCAATAATAACTCGTGTCGGCGGATTGGAAGTTAAGTGCAAATAAGAAAAACACACGCACCGAGTTAGGTTTTTTTTTTTACCGTTTGGCGAACATACGAGGAATGTTTAAGCAATTTTTTTTTTTTTTTTGTTACATTTCTTTAGTTTATTTAAGTATATCTAAAAGACTCGATTATGATAATCTTTTTAGAACGTCTCCATCGACGGGCATCCGTACGGTTACTAAACCTTGTGGCTAATCTCATTGGTCGGCGATCACCGGTACCGTGACTTTGACCTGAATACTTGATTTACCTATATAAAAAAAATAAAAACAACAAAACATACCGAAAAATTAAAACCAACGGTGTTCACACCACATACAGACGGTATACTTTTAATTATTCATAATAGTGTTGCAAAATTGAATCATTATAATTTGTACAGGTAATATTATTTTATAACTTATAACAAACAACGGCCGTCACGTTTACTTATTTTAACTATTTGTAAAATATAAAAACGACTGTTACAAACGATTGGTAAACATATAACATATATACTCGTAATAGTGTAAAGAATGATATGGATTATTAAAAAAAAAATTAGGTATTTTTTCGGAGTCGTTCACCTTTGTACTAGGCCCGTTGCACATTAGGTATTGTACTATGTTATACGAGTCTAATATAATCATACTTATACTATTACTACTACTATACGTCTTATTATTATAAGTAGGTAGATAGTCGATACAAAGGTTAGGTCTTTTGCTTCATAAGCCTGACAATCCGGTCGAACACGATTGTGAAATGCTGGTTTAATAAAGTTATGTACTGTATTGTATGTAACTACGGGTACAACAATACCGTATAGTCGTTTTATGTCCACAATTTGCTACATTTAACCGTACAAGTTATTCTAAATATTTGTAATTATTAAATATAATACAAATCTTGCTAAAAATGTTTTTAACTGTTTATATGCAATCAATTTTAAATATCTATTTATGACAACAAGTAGCCGTTTAGTAGGGTTTTGAGCGACACAAATATTTACACTTAATGAATTTTCACTCGGTCGATTTGCAATTAATTCTGAGTGTGATACAAAAAAAGCAAATAAAAATTTTTTACACTGCGTATCTAACTAACTGTTGGGTAAAAATCACTTTGACATTTTTGCAAAAATATTTTGTGATGTAAATTTTACAATTTTTTTCCCACCTCCAAAGTTAGTAGTTATACTAGTACGAGCCTAGACAAAAATCTCCAGTTTGATTAATTTATCTAATTTACCTAAAAAACAGTTTTAAATAGGTAAAAAAACGTTAACAAGTTTAATGTTTTAAAACCTACAGACTCTTGTGTTTTAATTAATTACTTATTGAACAATACAATAAATATTATTTTCATTATAATAGTTACGCGTATGCTGAATAAGCTAATAGCTATAATAAATGCTGGTTTTTATAATTATTTCTGATGAAGCAAGATGGATTAAATTATGATTATATAATTTTCTTAAAAACAATTATTTTATCTTGAATTTTAAAAATATGCTTATATTGAAAAAACTAATATCCGGAAATGTTTTGAGATATCCAATACAATTATTATTTATTACAACATTTTACAAATATAAATTTGGGAACGCTGAAACATTAAAAGTGGAGTTGTTCTTATGCAAGTTGAATGTTCTGTTTCTTTTTCAACTTATGTTTAGTATGCAATACGCAAAAAGAAGTATTGTGTAATCGATAATAGTTAGTACATATATTATAACAGTCAACGAGGTTTTAAGTTAACAAATGCATATGTTTTGTTCTTTGCAAAAAAAACTTATGATGATTTTTTGTTATTATCGTTTCTTACATTATTTATTGGTACATTTCTGGTATAGGTAAAGTCTATTGATCCATAACAGCAAAACTTAAGGGTTAGGTAAAACAAATACAAACACAATTAAAATAAAAATCAGCTACCAAGTTTTTCACATTCTGTTCACTATAGATAGTATTTACTCAAAGATAAGTTAATCAGACTGTTGATTTGCTTAAAATTGAATCGTAAAGAAGTGAAGAACGATTGCCGTTCAGTTTTTCCAAAAACTATTTTTATTTATTGATTATTTTTTTACTTAAGGTATTGGAATACATTTACGGAAGAAGGGGAAACAAGAGGCCAATTTCCTTTCTACCCTTTCAAGGTCTATTTTTAAAATTATGGCTATATTGTTAAAAGAATATATTTATTTGGACATTAGGTGTAAATTTAATGATGACAAAAATGATCATCGTGCTTAAAAATTAGAAAATCTAACGTTTAATATTAAAATTGACGTATACAATTTTTTTTACGTAATAGGTATTATGAATATTTCCAATGCTATTCATTTTATGAAAAATATCGAATAACATAGCTGGGATGTATGATATACCGTCAAAATGATCTCTATACGACTACTATGACCCTCTACTACAATTAACAAAACGGATGGTCAGAGTGTAGATGGTTAACGGTACTATTGTAAATTTAAGGACCATAATAATAGGGGAGCCAGCGTACATGTTTTGTTATCTAAACTGGGCACATATATAACGTGGGAAAATGTAAAGAGAAGTATTAAATTATTTAAACTGTAAACCCTTTCTTATTTTAGTGTGGAAATAATTTTTATGTAAATGTGCAATGTTTTTTTTTCAATAAAATAAAACGGTTATATTAATAATTAGATATCAATAAATATAGTTTTATTACACAACTAAAAAAAAAATGACTCTGACAGAGAACCTATACTATTACTCATATAGCTAAAATTACCGTCAATTTGAGTTTACAGTTTGAACTAATCACACTCCAGTATAACTTTTCGTAATTAACTAAGTATAATAAAACAACATATCCAAGGTAAAAGAAATGTTTCCCGGCTACCCAAGCAGCGACTATATGAGTTCTTATTCTTTGAGAATATGAATGAATAAAAATGAAGTGAACCTGGAATTCAATAACAAAATTGAATGCTATGTACCCAAAACATGGTCTAATAGTCTCGGTTCAAAGCTCTGGCTTATACTATGCTAGTTTATACTGTGATCTACACTTGGTTTTGGGTAGTAGTAGTAGTAACACCTAACAAAACGAGTGTAGAAAACCGATGATTTATAAGTGGATTAATTTAAAAAAAATATATATATATGGTTTTTTAGCCACGTCATGTTACCTTATGTAAATAACTTCACAACGCAAATGGTAAAGTAGTTTTCTACGACCAAAATCCGATTCTAAGAAACAAAAGATAATAGTGAAAAACTCATTACGGTAGGATCATCAAACGTGTAAAATTTAAACCTAATTAAATATTTATATCTAGTCTAGTGTTTAGTTGTTACAGTGTAATGGCAAATTTCCTAGTAAATATGATATATTATGATTGTATTATTATAAAACATCATCATCATGCAGCTTAACGGACTACGAAGGTCCAACACTGCCATCATGAGATGGTTTCTTGACAAATCCCCTATGCGGGACAGGTCGTCAGTCCGTCACCGTAGAGGGGGAGGACGGCTTCCTTACATCGGACAATTGCTCGCCTAGCAAACGAGAAGCGCCCGAAGCGTCTTCACTACCCCTCTAATTATGTTTATGTTAATGAAAATTTTAAGATAATGTATGTATAACATAGCTGTGATAATGATTGGAACGCAAGTCCCTTAAAGTGGGACTTGTTAAACAAAATATTGTTAAACGTTATGAATATTGTTTCTGTGGGATTGACGTTATAATAAATTTCAACGTCAATAATTTTTCGCCTTCAACGTAATGAGGTACTGTATATTTTGTATGGTTACCGCTAATTGTATAACAATACAATCAATTCATTAACTACTCGAAGGGAAAATATAAAATTATTGTTTTTTTAGTAGGTGAAAATATATAGCCTGTAATTTGTTTAAAAATTTGAATTTTATACAATATAAAATATATAGTATTTAAATTTACTGAAAAAATGTCCTATGAACGACAAAAGAAATTGAATGAATTCATTCTTTCAGTCAGATAAAATTGAATTTATCCAATTGAGCGTAAGCCAATCGGTCTGTGTGAGTTTTTACCATTCCTCTATACGAAATGCCGGCTAAAATGGCGTTCAATACTGCGCCTCTCTAAAAACAACCTATCCTTTTCTACTGCGCGGTTTTCGAAGGCTTTGTTCATCTCCTTCCTCGAGTGGCAGATCTGCCAGCTAACTGGTATAGGTTTTTACCCTCGTTATTTTATTTTCATGTTTCACCTTGCACGTCCGACCCTCTTATTGTACTGTTATCCGGGGTTGGCACATGCGCTCTCTGCTAAAGGTCCCCGTACCCCACCCGCCTATACACACAATCAATACCTCGGTAAAATGCCCGGGCACCACGGCCTGGCCTTTTTGTTCGCACTATATACAAGTCCGTCGTCCCGTCCGGAGGCGCACCACACCCAGTACTGTTGTTCGAAATTTCAAGTGCATACAATTTTCTCACTCTTTTAAAGTAAACCCACGGTTTAGTTACACGTTGGTTTGCCACTGCTACTCCCGAGGAGAGACAAATTAACGCGTGATTGCCAGGATCCGATTTTGTAAGGATTACAAGTGAAACGAGCAGCGAGCGGCAGATTTTACCGACTGAGTAAATTTTCGTTAGAGGTGATCTTCAATACATGATTCTTTGTATTACCATTGTCTCAGACGAAAATTAAAGCCTTTCGCCGCAGCCTTATAAAGTTTGGGCAATTCTTGGTCAGCACTAGGACATAACGTCGTCATTTTCAACTCAAAAGCATAAGGTTAGTTCGACTAGACAATATTTAATGATAATAATTTTAATTACAATTACTTGATTATTAATTCTATTACGTGGATTTTTTGTTTTAAAACGTTTGTGTTCGTTCATGTTCTTTGTATTTTATGAAGTCCATGGACAGAAAACAGCGCGCTCTAGTAGTGAACGTGTGCACTTTTTTGGGCCGCGTGTATACACTGATAACTTATTGAAAACGCTATGATTTGAAAACAAATCATTTTTTTACTAATTGTTATTCATACTTAAACAGGGCCTAACTATAAAAATAAATATATCAAATATTCAAATTCATAAGTATGTCAAACAATGAACAATATTGAATAATATGATGCTGTACGCATAAATTACGCATACATTTATGAAACCTTTGCTTAAAAAAAAAATAAGAAATACACTTAAATTAAGGAAAAAAATTCAACATTCAGAAAAATAATCAGTTCAATTTTTTTTAGAGGATTCTTTAAGTATATCCCTACCAAACATCAGACTCTTCATCGGTAAAATATCATATATCTTTAGTACAGAAGAAGGGGTAAAATTCGATTTAAGAGCGTAGTCATCCGACATTAAGTCTCAAAGCCAAACCGAGAGTAATGTACGTAAAACTCTAGCGTCAAATTAGTTTTATTTATGAAAAATAAAAAACCATCAGCAGATTCCCAGTACGCAACCAGTGTTTTTAACATTTTACATTTCACTAATTGCAATCATAAAATTACTTTTAATAAAATCACCCACACTTGGCTAACCTGGCTATCGTTAATATAATATCATTATTGTTGTTTTACTATTTTATAAATAGCTGGTTTATTTTTGGTGTTTAAGGATGTCTGATGTAAACATGAGAGTCGAACATCACAAAGAAATAATAAACGGGGTTAGTCGCGTTTCGACGATATGCATTGAAAAGTATGCGTGGTGCACTGCTGTAGTAACTAATAATGGCGTGAATAAATATATATACTGCTGTCCAGGCTGTATATCGCCATTTGACACAACCGATGAAGTTAAACAGCACATGGCAAAATATTTCGTTGATGGCCGCTGGTAAGTAAATCATTGCCCCAAGACAAGTTAGTTAATTGAAGTCAACTATTTGTAGCTGGTGAAAAAAATGACAGACTTTGTTTTTTCGGCTTTGAGATTTGAGAATTGTCATAGTGCAAAGTGTTTACAGTACAATTTGTTTTACTATTTAACATTTCACCTTTATTTCGACGTGGCCAAATCACCTTAATCTGTTTTCTTATATTTTTCCTAAAATAGGCGCAGTTCCAATCTCCACTAATATCAACTCATTCGTTATTTTGCTTAACATCTTCACTCCATACTAGCTATCTTTATTCTACTCACCACATCATCTTCAATTGAAGACTTGGGGGGCAACAACCAGGCATGTCCGTTTTTTAATTGTTCATGACGATCAAAATAAAATGTTTTATCTCATTTACTTCTATTGACAGAGAAATTGCGTTCTGTATTATGCATGTAATTAAACACATTTAAAAAAATAATTTGCCCCATGAATGTCCATGAAAAATGTGATCAAAATACCAGACATTTTTATACTTTAAGTAATTTTTAAATTAATACATAAATCATAAAATTACCATTAGGAGTATCTACATAATATATATGGTTTTTCAGAATTTTTATATTTATAGCTTCTAGTGGGACATAATATCCTATTACTACATAGTATTAACTAGGTAAAAATAACAAAATGTAGAATTAATATCCGCTATTATAATTAGCAAAAAAAAACACGAGGAGCATATACACGATAAATACAAAATAGACGTCTTTTTTTTATCTACATGAAATTATCATTTTTTAATTTTTTTTAGTGCTGTTGGACTTAAACATGAACCTATGGATGGGGTAGTCGAGGAGGAATTCTACGATCAAAGTGACAGTGAAGAAGATGAAGACGATAAATCTGATATATCACTTTTTGATTTCTCCGATGATGATGTCGCCGTCGATAATTATGACCAACCTCCCCAAATTATAGACCCTCCTCCCCAAATTATAGACCATCCTCCTCAAATTATGGACCAACCTGATGATATCAGAAGAAACCCGCGTCGTTACGGTTGAAAAATCATGCTATAAGTGGTTAAACCTTATAGTGCTTGTCAAACCTCTGATTTACATATAATAAATTAACAGATTTAAAATAATATTAAAAATACAATTAACTAATGATCGTTCTCACCGGTTGGCTATCGTCATTCAAGAGTATAGCTTAGCAGTAGTATAACATTTTGGCACTGTTAAACTATAAACTACATTATATTAATTTTCAAGCTAAACCGTTGAGAGCGGCCATGTCTTATTAAAAGTTTGAAACGTTTGTCAAAATCACCCTAAACTTTAAACCAAAATTAAAATATGAAAATTAATAAAATTGGTACGTTGTCCGTTTTCGAATTTTACTCGAGATGGCATTATTGTCTTAAAAGATATTACTCTGTTATAGACTTGCTGTTACTCAAGCAAACAGGTTGTGCATTTCCTTAATACTAATATGATCGCTTCATTAAAAAAAAAAAAAAAACTACGACATTATATGTAAAATTCAATTTTTTCTTAACGTTATTCTTCTATTAAAGAGGTGTTTCAGTTTGTCTTTTGCATTTTGGAAGTTTGTTTCCGAAGTATGAATTTATGAAAATATGAGTATTACTTTTTTCGATTGCTTCTAACTTGCTAAAAAATTGAGTAACAATAACAAACAATTGCGTACAAAATAAAACAAGATTATAAAAAGAATTTCGTTAATATCAACTTATATTTACTATTTCGTTATTTCAATACATCGATGAAAAATGATAAAACACAGACGGCACTTTTGGTCACTAAAATTTATTAGTAACAATACATTTTCCTTTGAATTGACATTTTAAAACTTAAAATTTATTAAGTATAAAACCGTTTATGGTTTCATTTACATTATTTCTATTGCACACAAACCTGGGCATTATTAAATCATCAGCATGTAAATAATTTTTAAGAATGGGAATGAGTTTAAAATTAAAAATAAAATCATAAATAGATTTTTATTTCAATAGAGATTCAAATTTATTTTTGTTTGTAAGAATCAAAAAACAAATACAAAATGTTTAAAATAAAAACATAAATAACAAAATTAAAACGAATATTAATTTATTTATGTGAACAAATGTAATTTTGTAAACTGTATTAATATCAGTATATTGAACATGAGAATATATCAATTAGAACATGTAGTTGTTAAAAAACAAATAATTTAACAACAGATTAGTCGAGTCATTCACATAATTGATATAATATCAAACAAAATTATATTTAAAAAAGTATTATTTGATAAATTATTTTAAATAATTTATCATAAAAGAACAACAAAATGTATTTTAAAATAATTTAGATTTGCAATTTATTATTTATTTAAATACAAATTGCCCAGGTTTGAATTAATACACAACACATTAGGTTTGCACGTGTGCGGATTGCCTAGTTTAAGGCCGTTTATTTATTTAGATTTTAAAAAACATAATAATCAATAATAATATTATATCCAATTTTTTTTATAGATTCTTGATATTGTGTATCTTTTTTTTTTTTACAACACTCGTTGTTTAAATGTGTGTAATTTTACTAGTTTAAAGGCTATACTAATTATAGTAATAATAATTTATTGATCTTGTAGTTTTAATCGAAAGCGTGAAATAAAATATAAATAAAAAATGTTTTGTCTTACCTGTTATTGCATCATTGCCGTTGCATACAATAGTCTTGTTGTTCAAATGCCCTAGTAACGACGGGAGTCCTAAAGGACACCTGCAGGAGACTTAGATAGGACAATGGAAAAAAACGGGGACACTATTTGGACTCACCCAGTTTAAAAAAAATGCGCACGGAAGGACAACTTTTTTTAAAACATATGTTTATTCATACAACTTTAACTTTGTATAATGTAATTTTATATCGCCTTGCTGTTTCGTACAGTATATTACCAAACAACTATATTATTATTACCATTAATCAATAGAAAAATAGAAAAAATCCTATTTTGATTATATATTTAAGATGGCGCGATCCGTTGCACATATAATGTAGACAAAAACAACAAAGAAACAATGTTTAAGTTTGCTTTGATTTTTAAGTAAAGCGTAAATTGTGTAAATATTAAAATAATTAACTAATGAGGTACGCCGTTTGTTACCTATGTGGTAATTGTTAGCAATACATTGTTGTTGGAATAAACGAGGAAAAGTCTTCACGCTAAATAAATTATTTTTATTTAATTATAAATTATGGTTTTTTAGCGATAAAAACACATTTAAAATGTTTGTTAGTATTATTTTTCATATTTTTCATAATAACGCAATGGAGATATATCATAATTATTATTGTTATTACTTTTTAATGATATGTAATGTTAATAACACTATTATTTTATTGTCAATTTTATAAACGACTTATAATTGCTAAATTGTAAGAATAATATGTAGGTATAATAAACGCTTTTTAAACAATAATACTAATAACAAAAATATAAAACCTGGACTAACCGGGATATTATTTTAAAATAAGTATTTAAATAAACTCTCTTAAAAAATTAAAATTATGTTTATCTATAAACAACTTTATTTGAAAAAAATATAAGCGGACTGCCCGCTTTGCGAGTTGCCTTTACGACACAGGTTACCCTTGTCAATACAGCGTACATAGTAAACATATAATTAATTTTAAGCTAAAATCATATAGAATAAAATAAAATATAAAATGTTTTGCCAAAATTGAGTAAAAATTGAAAATCGAATAAAAATTGAGTTAAATTGTATTTAAATGCAACATAATTTGCTATAGTAAATAAAAATTAAACTACAAAAAACTAACAGCCGAACAATAAAATAACAACAATAATTTTACAAGCCGCTAAAATTAAACACAATAAAATGTAAATTACATCGAGTTGTAAGTATTTGTTTGAATATTAGTGTTTCAATTTTAAATCAGTATTTGTATGTAATTAACTGTAGATTGTTTATTTTTGTAACCACCATCAATGCCATCCGTATTTTTTTTAAAGCTCTACCACAAATTATTATGAAATTTAAGATTATGAGCTCTCATTTGTAATCATAATTTAAACACATGACAACAAAGAAAATATTTTAACGATTAAGAACTAACGGCCTGATTTACAAAAAATTACCTATAAAATTAAAAAGTTTTTTCTAAACGACAGGTAAAACATAACATCAATTTTATATGTACATTAATTTGTAATATTATCATTTTTTTTTTAAATATTTATATCCTACTTACTTCAAAAGTACGTCGATAACAATAGTAACTATTTTTCATAAAATTACTTATTGTATAATGCATAAGATTGTTAATTATTAATGTAAAATAATGTCAGTCCAATGGCCACAGCTGTCGCGGACTTTATTTAATAAAAAAAAAAAAAAAAAAAATAGTAACTATTACAATCATATAATTTAATTTGAAAGAAAATACAGTTATACTTGAGTGCAATATTTTGCCGGTATAAATATATTACTTCAACCTGTGTATTTGTGTCTATCATTGACCCATTAATTTTAATATCTAAATATATAATCACATCAGGTGAATGGTGTCCAAAATATTATAATATTGCCGGTAATTTCATTAATGTCCATAATAGATGTGGATATTGGCAAACAATGGCTGCCTAGATAAAAGCGGGTCTATACAAATCTCTCTATACAATAAGGCCATCAACTATGCATTATACAGTTTTCATTTTAATCGCAATATTCTTAATGAACGGTCCCTAAGTAGTATAATGTAGAAACCGAGTGAGCAATAGTGAAATTTGAAAATCCTCTCTACGCTGTATTCGTAAGCGATATTACTTTTTATCGTACGATGTTTTCGTGACAAAAGACAATATTATAAGACAACTAGGACGACACATTCAGCACTACAGACGGAAACAAAAAAAATCATCCACGCCGTGGACATTGCCTGTAAAAATTATTTTTATTTATACAGTTAATATTATAATATAAAACAAACTTTGTTTTATTATTTCATAATTCAAAAATCAAAAGATAAATATTATACACAGATCTGCTCGAGTTCCATCTTGATTTTCTAAAATAATAGTCTTATCATATTTTCCACAAAGTTACTCTGTTTTTATTTTTATTTATAATAGACTTATCACTAAAATATAGAAAGTATCGCGTGTAGTAAAATATTTTTTGATAATATTATTAAAAAAATAAAACAATATCATTTATTTTATATTGTTCTTCTCTTTTTTTTGTCCATATTTTCTCTATTACAATTCATATAAAAGGTACCTAACGTTTACCTTATATTATTTTATTTTCGGTTTGAAGCTGAGAAGGAATTATCATTATTTTTAAATTTCCATATTTTGATGCCTGCCTAATCTATTTTTTCAGTAATTTTGATTTCTACCCAGAATAATAACAATATTGTTGCATTGTCCGACAAGAATGTCTTCGTTCAAAGCGTTCGGTTTTCGAATTCGCTCAGTTTTTACTTTCACTTCGTTCTTCCGGTTTAACACTTAACGCACACTGAACCTCAATAACTATATTATATTATACACTAATTGTAATGATCCCGGTTATCTAATCAATATCATGCAACACCGAAGTCAACGATTAATATAATCGATCGGTGTAGGCACCTATCAACGACTACAGCTGAACTAGGCTCGCTGAACCCGTGACAAAAGTCATATATACACGAGACCGGTAGTTGGTGTCTTACATAATTATTAATGTCCTTTAGTGTGGCTTACAAAACGTTTTTTAATTACTATATTATTTTACTATTGCGTACTTTTAAATCTAAAATCGTTTTTGCTAAGAGTTCATCTGATTTACTTATTGCTTATTATCTACTGAGTTACACGTTTGCACATAACAATTAAAATTTCAGTATTGTGTTAATCACAATCAATAAAATATATACGACTATAATATGTGTAATTTTATATACGTATTATTTCCGTATATTTTTATCTATAAATTAATACATTTCTGAAGTTGTGTTTAAATATTTTTTTTAACAAAGTATTTAAATGCGTGTTCCGAGACGGCGATTGTAATATAATTATTCTTTTAGAAATGACAAAGTGTAATATTGTGATGTGTTGCATTACCCAAGAATAATTATTATGAATGTTATCAGACACCTCTTTGTTTTTCTTTCGACCGAACCGTGTATTCATTGGACACGAGGAATTATGTATATTGTGTTGAATTCACACAAATGGCCGGTTTCACACGCGGTCATTGTTAAATACGACCATCATCATAATAATAATAATATTATTGAACGAAATTTGATTTCGGTAGGTACTTACTTTTTTTGTCCATGCCACGCTCGGAGCGTTTACCCGATCGCGCGGTAAAAATTGTTGTTTTTCTTTCAAATTACACTTAAATAATAAAAGTAAACAGTTTGGCTGGCCGTGGGTTTGTCACGGACTGCGAACGGAGACGCTCCGCATTCGTGCCGATAAAGATGATTGTTTGTGTCCAAACAATTGCTGTTTGGATCAAATATTATTAAACAAGCTGCAACACGAGGGTCTTATAAAAGCGATAACGGCCTGGGACACGAACAGTCTAAACTTAACTCGTATCTTAAGCAGAACACCGCCGGCGAACTGCCCACCGAAAAAAATCTCGCTTTTTTTTTCAATCGGTCAGCACGTGAAATCGTTCAGGAGGGTCAACAAAAATGAGTCGTTTAATCGTTTTGTCTTTCGCCCTGTTTTGCGTGTCGACCGTGTACACAAAAGCTCCAAACCAGAAAATCCAATTCACCAGCTCCTCCGGATCGTACGTGTCGACCTACGACCATTTGGACCTGACACATTTGCTGAAGAACGACAAGCTGGTGTCGGCATACATCAGGTGTTTCCTAGACGAAGGGGTTTGCACGTCGGAAGGCAAACAAGTGAAAGGTACAGTTAAAAAAAAAAAACAATTTACACATGTATAATAGTTTCCGGTATTTGATTTGAACACACACAATTATTTACATATTATATGCACCGAATAAATGAAAATTGGTGTTTTTTTTTTTTTACTAACTGATTGTCGTTGATTTTTTGCAGCCGTCTTGTTGCCGGAAATTATATCTACCGTGTGCTCCAAATGTTCAGAAAAACAAAAGACCATGGCCAGGCAAGTGTTGAACCACATCTACGTAAAGAGACGACCAGATTTCGAGAGGATCATGCAGAAATATGACAAACAGGGTAAATACAACGAAATCGTAGCGTTCATGAATGAAGGCGAACGCACCAAATCTGCCTGAACAACTTTATAACGTTTTTTCGAGACTGATTACCGTTGTTTTTAACATGACCAATATGTATACCTAGTAGTTATTGATGATATTAATTAGGATTAATTTATTAAGATAAGAATTTTTATTTATTTTCATTTTTGTAATACTTGTATCGCGTTATGATTAAAATATCGAATACACACCAGGTTGAAAATACTACCTATGTAAATGCCTATAATATAAATATATATATATATTTTGCATTTGAACAAAATTGTAATTATATTCCATGAAAAAAAAAGACAAAAATTAACGAAGGTAGTATGTATAAAAAAAAATGTATTGCTTTTATTATTCCTAGGCCTGATCTTGTATAATATGTTGGATATGGCTAATGGTTTTCACACTTTTTTTCACTTGTTAATGCATTTTAATACTACGATTGCGCGCTAATTTTTTTCTAATGTACTAATAGACAAGTTAAAAATAGCGGCAAATAAGTGTTGAATAACACATACGTACATTTCAGGTTAAAAACAATTTTTTTTTTGTAAATTATGCATTATAAGTTAAGTCATTTCAATTTTATATATTTATTTAGCACGCCAAAAATTTTTTCATTTTAATTAAGTTTATATTTATTGCTTCAAATAAGTTGCTGAGGTAGGTTAATTGTATAGAAATATTTGGCAAACGTCGATACGAATTTGTTTTAAATAAAAACACGATCGATTGTTTTTTGTTTACAATTAATCACAAGCCGTACTAATTATTGTTGATCTATTTATGACTTTGTCTATGGAAAACAATTGTTTATACTTACACCATGACAACTATATTATACTCTGTCTAAACCTAAAATGTTGTTATTATATTATTATATTGCAAACCAAAATATCTCAAGAGTTCAATAATGAAAAAAACATTGTGGTAGGTATGTCTAAAACCCGGGACAGGACGGGATGGAATGGACATGTTTCCATAATGCAGTATTGCCACTGGGACAAATAAAATATGTTTTTACACATCACATTTTTATCCCCCAAACCCCTAGAAAAGTTATTTTTAAAGGGCCCCCGAGTTTAACGGATCGAATCCAACTAGTGAATTCAATAATAAATTCATTGTTGTTTCAATATAAAACACAAATTTATTTATTTATGTTTTGAAAATATTTTAAGTATTCATTTGGGGTGCATAAGTGACTCCTTAATAAGTTGTTAAATGTTAATAGTTAAAATAATTTCAGATTTGTGACTAAATCTGAATTTAAGATTTGTAATGTAACAATAAATTAATTAGTAATACAATATGCATGTAAAATTTTTTTAACAATTACTGTATTGTGTTGCAGATGAAATAAATGATTTAAATTTTGTAAATAATTAAAATAATATTATAAATGCTGTAATTTGTATTTTTCTTCAAACGTCTTGATAATCTAATTGTATAGTGAAATTTATATATAATTATGTGCAGCTAAAATACCGAAATAAATAATTTCATAACTAAATATTTTGTTTATTACGATTACTTTGTTACTTTGTACAATGTTTATTACTTGTATTTTATTTATGTCTAACAAATTTGTCTACAAAACTTTTTGTCAAGTTGACACCATTTATATGATTTTTAATCATTTATTTTTGACACGTTATAATTTGAAATATGGTAACTTCAATATAGTCTGATATAAGTAAGACCACAAAAATCCTCCTTTATCTTGTTCTGTAAAAGATTTCCAAATATAATTATTTTTTTTAAATGGTAACGCGTTTTTTAAACGAGCGCGTTCAAAGTTATCAATATATATTAATATAGTATGATGTGAGACTTAATTATACTGCCTCTTTTCTCTGTATAACCTTCATGAGACACTATAAACTAAATCGTATGTAAATTGTGCAATGTGTGATTAGACTGCAATTCCATGTTCTAATTAATCATAATAATTATTATTTATATAATTATTCAAATATGGATATAAAATGGTTTAGTATTATTAGAACGATATTATCCAAGTACAGTCAGACTATGGAAAAAAAATGTAATATATAAAAACATATTTTTATTTGTCCCAGTGGCAACACTGCATTATGGAAAAATGTCAATTCCATCCCGTTCTGGGTTTTAAATATACCTACCCAAAAAAATGTCACACATTTAACACATTCTAATTATTATTCACATTCTTCGGACGGCGATTTCTTTTCATATTGATGTTCAAGATATCATTATTATGAGTGTACTTTCATCGTGATGACTATATTATTATTGTTAATGTCGGCGTGTCAGCAAAGCTTTACCGTATCATTGATCTGTACGAACAAAAAGTTAAAAAAAAAAAAACCCAAAAAGAAATCGACAAAGTCACTGTGACGGAAGTGTTTTTTTTTACTTTATTTTGATGAATTCAACATCGTTTCATACTTGACCGTGAACTTCAGTCCCCGCCCTCGTTTTGTGTCACGTTGCGATAAGAATTGTGCATTGCATACACACACAGATGTACCAGATTTTATTTTTAAATAGCGCGTTTTTTCTTTATTCATAGTATTATCATATTTAGACATGCCGAAAAACGACGATGCCAATGTTTATGTTTTCAAAACGTTTAGGCATTCATTTAACACTAACAATATTTATACTAACGTTTTTGATCTATGCACTTAGGTATTTTTTTTCCACTGTTTTTTATTTTTTAAATAAGTATAACAATATTAGCAGAGTCTTGTTTTCTTTAAAACGGTTAAAATCATATTGACATTGACGAATTAAAACGGTACAACTATCTATTATATAATAATCTAAATAATTTATTGCTATTTAAAATTTTAAATCTTATTTTTATTAATTGTCCGCCTTCTGTAGCTAAAAAATGCTATAGAAATTTCACAATTTGCCGATTCTGATTGTATTTATTAACAAAACTCTTTATTAGTACTTAGTAGAATAGTGAATTGAAAATTTTGTTTGGTGATCACTTTCTGTTGAGATTTACTGGTATACTGATGAAGTGAGTTCATATTTGCTAGTTCATATGACTTTTAACTTTGATATTGTGTTTTAATAACTATAATTGAAGTTGATTTATTTTAATATTTTCCTTCTCCAATATTGCTAAATTGTTTTTTGCTTCGTATGAAGTAGCTTAAAAAAAAGAGACTTACATTATTTTTATAATTTTGCAGAAACTGATAATTATTGAATATTTCAAGTATTTAAGGTTTGGTCATTAATTATGTCGAGTAAACTTTTTCTACTTTTTTATGAAACATGGAAACTGTATTTTAATGTAAAATTATAAGATGCTTCTTATAAAAAATATTATTTTCAAAAGTTGAATAACATTCATATAGTTGTTATTTGTTTAATATCTCGAAGAAGAATTGTGTAAAACAAGTATAGGTAGACGATACGTCGGGAAAAATAAATTGTATGATCAAAATGAACAAGTTTTGGACAAAATGGAACACTCCGACCCTTTATAGTTCTCATCACTTCAAATATCTACAATCACTTCAATATATAAAAAAAAAATCAAAGGGATTATTGTAGGTTCATAACAACATTGGAGAAGATTTGTTTTTCCCATTTTATAAATTCGTTGTAATCGTTAGGGGAATGCGCATAATATTATCATACGAGATGTGATATCAAATAATCCTCAAATTCGATACGTCTAATCATAGGCGCGTTAAATCCGTGTTATTGACATATTACATTACAGAGTAATCGATCCTATTGAAGCGTGATAAGCTATTATTATATTTTTCAGTTATCTTGATTGAATTTAATCGCCAAAGCTGCCTTGTTATGAAGTTATACATATGAATGGATGTCATACATGTTCAAAATGCAATTGCCCAAACGAGATGATGTTTATTTATTTGTAGACCTGACTTCTATTCCATTTAATTTTCAAAATCAATGTCATTTACCGACGTTTTCCTTTTTTGAAATTTTTAATGTATAATAATTCTATTTGACCCCAAATACTCGGGAAAATAGGTGTAGTTGAAAAACATTGATTTCAATTTTTATAGCTAATTATAATGGTTGAGTTGTAAACAGGTTTTTGATTTTTGTAGTATGTCTAATTTATATATATTTTTTTTTTTTTTAATAGAAATTTTTGGTTTTTTTTCTGGAGATTTTGTATTATAGTGATAATATTTGTTGATGATTTTACTGTTCTTGCGCCAAAATCATGGATATTATTAAGAAAATACTGAAAAATATCGAGTACACTTGTATCTAAAGACTTAATAAGGGGTAAACAAATAAATCATATTGTTTGTACTTTGTACTTGATTTTTTTTTCCAAATTATAGTTTTCAAAAGTCTGTAACTTTGTTGTTAGGCAATCGATTAAAACCAACCGGACGGTCCACGTTTGTCGGTTGGTTATCAAATATATTTTACGTATACCTAATAATAATAATAGTTTCTATTTAATATTTACGAATTTTGTTATACCTCCGTATTGGGCAGCTCGGTTACTAATTGTTATTTTAAACATAATAAAGCAATAAGGCCACTGATGCGAACTGCATTACGATGACTTCCTTGTTTCCCGTCTTTTAAAATACCCGGACGTTGCCGACGCGCGTGGTTGTGTGTGTATAGTATTATTATACTACACTAAGTATTATTATTTATTACTATTATCATTATTATTATATTGTAGGTAGGAACACTATTAATACTTGGATATGGGATGTGTATGAAGAGTGGCAGACCTCGACCGTCGTGTTTACAAATACGTATTTTTCTATGTCAAAGTTGCCGCCGCCGTGGACCAGAAAACGTTTTTTTTTTTCAAACAAATCCGAAGGTTAATCGTTTCAATCCTTAGAGCAGGTGCTCACGAATAATATAATTCGCGTATTAATATTCTACACTAAAAGTCGACTGTCGTTCCACAATCGAATAAAAAACGTCTAAATCAATTTGACTTACGGTTAGCATATTGTGTAAAAAATAAGTATAACCGGAAGAATTCGTTTTCAAGAAATAGAGAAGATGGGATGCAATGTACTCTGATAAACAATGTACAATAATAAACAATCTTGTAAATTATTTGACTAATTGTATTAGTTGTATAGATAAATACTTGGACAGTATTTTTTAAAATGGCTTGCATTTATTAATTGGTTCGGTGTTGGCAATTTTTGCAAAAACGTTTTACAATTTTTATATTAACAATCAATTTGTAAAGCCACTTGAATCATTTTCTTAGCGTCTATTATATTTTGAAGTAGAATATAAAAACCATGCTTCTGGACCTCCAGTAGTTAACAAATAGTACCTTAGAGAAAAAAAAACGCACAATGTTATAAATAATTACTTTTACTTTTTGCTTTTTGTTAATAAGTAATAACACAATGCTCGTCTCACAACAATATAAATTTTAAAATTTCTTTTTAATTTCAATTAAATCTCTATGGGTTTTTTACCCATAATCGGTAAAGGTTTTTTTAATTATGCTTGCCGACATATTGTACAGTGGGTGATCGTTTAGACGTAAGACAACAATTTTCTCTAAAAATAATTGCAATTTTGTAGTTTTCCTTTTTGAAGACATTGTGGTTTACCCTAATTATTTACAATATAATATACCTAATATTTGTATTTTTACATTTTTTAAGATTTGTTATAACTTTTACAACTGGCAATGAATATATTTCTAAAACTTTTTGAATAAATGTTTTCAGACAGATAAACTATAAAATTGCAATTTGTTTACCAGACATTTGTTGCATTAGGTTAAATTAATCGTTCTGTATTTACCAAATCTATCGGAATTGAGTGGATATTTTTATCGTACAAATTTACTGTACTCCTTATGCAAAAAACCAGGTTTAATTTCAAGGCATCTTTTTAATTCAATGTCAAACATATAACTTTTCGATGATTCAATAAGCTTGAACACATTGTATTAGAGTCTAGGGCAGCCTGCTTAAAAGAATAAGTTATTATTTTGCGTAAAGCTCATATTACTGCTATTCGTATGCACTATAGGCTGTATAATCCATTTGAAAAAAACATTTTATTTAATAGTATTTAATTGATTTGATAATATTGTTCCTACAATTTATTATGAAAATATATTGCACAATAAAGAATAATTGTTGTTATTGCTCAATATTGTCAATAACGTAAAACGTACATTGCCATTATAGTAAAAAAAATACCTCAATAGGTAACTTATTAATCAATAATATTTTGTTTTTTATGTATATATATTAATTATTTAATAATAATTGCTGCTTTAATTATTACGAATTTTGTTTTCACTCGGTACATAATTTTAGTTTTGATTACCGTCCAAAGCTATGAATAATCAACAAGTGTTGAGCAAATATCAGAAATTATGCACTTGTTAATGTTTTTATTTTTTTTTTAAGTTTTAGTTCACTATATTTTTATATTTATAATAAGCTTAGTATTAAAAGATATTATCAACTTTAAAACGCGCATCCTAAATTGAAAATATATGTTTTTACTGAACATGAAATAATAATATATTTTTTTTAAATTTATTAAAATTCGTGGGAAACACCCCTCATTTCTCCAAAAAAAAAACCTAATTTGAAGAGAAAGGATCAAAGAACCTCTTAGTAAAAAAACGAGAGACAACTTGCATTTGGCTATTGAGATCTTTAGGTCTATATTCTCTGACTATTCAACGCACAGATTACTTCATTAACTATTATGGTAATGAAAATTGAAATTGATTTTTTATTTTATATACTATCAATGGATAGTAAAATATACCAAAAAAAAAAAATACCAAGCGGTGAATAGGTTATAAAAACTACTGGATTATGGACGGCTTAGTAATAATAATATATTATTGGCGGCGTTAACGCACGACAGGTTCTTCTAGAAAATATATAATGACTGAAATTTGCAAATAAACAACACGATTCAACGATAGGTGCACGCTGAAAAAATCTTAATTATTGATGACATATGTGTAACCAGTATGTGATTAGAAAAATAGAAATAGTAATGTTATTTCACCAGCTATGATCATGAATAAACCATTGGCCAATAAACCATTCGATTATAATTACGAACAAAAATTCACTGTTAACTGTTGCGTAAATTTAACTATGTTTAGCAAACAATATAATTCAGTTCCAGCGAACCCTGTGTAGAATAAATATTGCTAAATTATAGCCAGAAATTATATGATAATGATGAAATTGTATTGCAAGTCTAAATCTAAAATGCGATTTGCCATTACCCGTACTTAATTCGTAAAATGTCCCACAAAAACTAATTGCCATATAAAAATACACAATTAAAGCTAATCGGAAACCATTTAGAAAAAATATATAGCAAAGTATATTATTGTAATTATTTGTAAAGCGCAGTAATTGTTTAAAATCGTATATCATATTATTAAAATGCTATATTAATCATTATCAAACAGAAAAATGTACTTCGACGTCCTTGATGATACGTCGTTCGAATAGCATCGAAGCCAAAGCTTTTAAGAAAATCTACAGCCTGTTTATAATGTGACCAAGCCCTTATATTTAGAAGAAATAAGATAAAATAATAAAATTTGACATAACTTACATGTATAATAATGCATTGTAACAGTAATAAAAAAAAATTGCGCAATTCAAACAGGTACTTGTGGCACATCAAAATAAGTAACATCTGTGTGTACTTGTTACTTGTAAAACAGGAAATTTTTAAAAATATTTTCTTGGACATTCTCCTATAGCGCAGCAGAAATGAATTAAGTTATGCAATAGGTGCTTAATAAATAAACAGGTGCTTAAATTACATAAATGGCTTTTTTAAATTAATATTAAATAATTAAGAAGTCTCCGTATCGGTAGAAAATAATTTCGCTTTACCACAGTTTAGTGTGAAATGTTTTAAAACTACCTTTACAGATTATCGTTCACTCCAAGCATGCAACTGCTAATGTTAAGAGCTGGCGAAGGGAAAAAACAGGAACTCAGATCCAAGGCCCAGATCAACTAGTTGAATGCAAGACACAAAAATATATTTTAGAGGAAGTAATAAAAAAGTAAACGTGAAAATGTATACTAACTAGTAAACCTGCATACGATTTATTAGCCACGAAAATAATTCAATATTATCTTAATATTATGTCATTGTAATGTAATACCTACAGTAGTCGATAATAATATTATGAATGTAAAATACAAAATATAAAAATTACAAGTTATAGTTTTTATATTATTAATATTTTCTTACTCATTAGGTAGGTATCCACAACGAAATTAATCTGAGCTAATCTAAGGGGCTATGAAATATAGGTATGATAATTTTATATATCAGATGGGAGAAAGAAAAATACGATCGCATGCCTCAAATTAGTCAGCAAAAAACTACTATAATCATAATATTATGATTGGTGATGGAAATGTATCAGCAGCTAGCAACTGAAATTCTATTAAAAGACGCATTATTTACATAACTAATTTGGTTTTTTGTCTATCAAATATATTTTTAAACTTTCTGATTTTCTTACAACTTTTTTTTTTTTTTATTAAATAAAGTCCGCGACAGCTGTGGCCATTGGACTGACATTATTTTACATTATTAAATAACAATCTTATGCATTATACAATAAGTGATTTTATAAAAGAAACAGTTATATTTTACAACTTTTTATTGTTTAATAAGCTTAATATTACTCTTATTATAAGTATAAAATTATCCTAAAAAACAACCACTAATTATGTGCAGTCAACGAACTTGCCGAACGCATAAGAGATTTATATAATTTAAAAATAGAAAATAGTTGCAATGTCCTCATTAAGTATACAATTATACCTTCTAAGCTAGCTTCCTGGTTTCATACAACACCATCCGTAACGCAATTATATTTTATTGAGAGAATTACTGTAAAACTAAAATATAGGAAATAAAAAATAATATAACCATTTTGTTGATTATTTAACGGTCAATTATAAAAATTAATTAAATTACGCACGATATAAATGTATATCATACCAATTATATTATGTCTAACGTAAACAGAGAAAGACTTCAAAATGCCATTTCAGATTTTGTAAACATAACAACAAGTAAAGTTCTAGGCATACAATTTACATTATTAATTTTGTTACGTCTAACAAAGTTTAGGAAATAAATTCCCGGCATATCCGATCGAAGATTATACGTTTTGATTTTTTGACTACATTTAAAATATATTTTCAGAAGGGAAATAATGAGTTAATAATGACATTTATTTCAAGATAAAATCAAAGCAATTTATGCTGTCGCAAAAATTAAAAAATATTTACATCAATATTAACTAAAACTTTGTAATCAGTTTTGGAAATAGTCTACTCGTTACTTTCCTGTACTGTAATAATTTAATTGCCGAATTATTATCTCAGTTAAAATACGCAAAACAACGTATAACATTTTTACTGCGTGAATTAGATCATTATTATATTTTATTAGTGCACGTTATTATTATTTTTACGAATTGCCGTCAACAAACAACTGAAAAAACGCCATAAGATGAAATATTTATCGTTTATTTTTGAGAACAAAAAATCATGAAATCTCCGGAGAAACGAGTAGTGAATACGCGCAATGGCGAGTTTCTTAACACACAGCAGCTAAATACATTTGAAAAATAAAAAATATATAAGTTTTTGTTTTTTCCAAAACCCGTCAGCCGGCGGCGCACGAGGAAAGTAATTTTCGAAACAAGTCGACCTTGACTTTGATCTAAACACCGTAAGTAAGTGCGTGGAGGGACGTCCGGGGAAAAAAATGAAACCCCGACACATTCGTGTTGGCTGCAGTATAAAAGTCGATTTGCCCATCGGTATCGGCAACACTTTGTTCCGAGAAACCATTACTATCACAACCATTATAATACACTATTATTATTGATATTATTATTATTACACTACTACTACTACTACTACCACTACTATCACTATTATTTATTGTTATTATCGTTTTTAATATCGCCGTCGCGGGCACGTTCACTTGCCGCATAACTAATCATTCACCATGAACGGCAAGACGTTGTTTGTCCTGTTGTCCTGCGCCGTCTACGCCTGTGTGGCCGCACCGGCCAACAGCGACGATGAAATCAAAGATCTGCCCACATACATGAAGAGGTTCGACAAACTCAACGTCGACCAAGTGTTGAGCAACGAACGGGTGTTGAACAGCCATCTCAAGTGTTTCCTCAACGAGGGACCGTGCGTGCAGCAGTCCAGGGACTTGAAAAGTAAGTGACTTGAACGCCTATGGGGAAAATCTAGAAAAAAAACAAATTTCATATTGAATCTTCCCCCGAGAATTGTTTATAAAAAAAAAAAGTCATAGCCTTTCTCGCCGGTCGAGAATTAAATGATCAAGTATAGTTTTTAATACAACGGTCGACTAAAATTTATTCAACTAACAATTTCGGTTGTCCTACAAAAATTGCAATCGTCATTTCATATAGACAATAAAAAATGTATAAAACAAAATTTTTGTTTTATCATTTTGTTTTACAAAAAAAATTATTTATACATACACTATTTACATGACTTGAGGTTACTCCCACTTGGCTGTGGTTCGATGTTGTTGTAATCACAGCCCTGAAGATGAAACGTGCAAGTGTTCCGACATTTTGGCGAACTAGTCAAGACATCCAAGTGGGAGTCCCCTCAAGTCATGTAAATAGTGTAAACATAATACCCCACTCAAGTTTCAATAATTTATTTATACATAATATTATTTAGACGATCAAATTATATGTATAAATAAGAAATTAGATTTATTATTATAATAATTATAAAGCCAATACAAAATTTATAAATAATAATTCATTTTTATAAAAACAATCTTAGCTTATTAGTGTTTAAAAATCGAATAAAATAACATTATACCCTCATACTTAAAACATGTTCAAACGAAGTCCTATTATATTGTGAATAACGTATAATATACATAAATCATTTTTATCATAAATTCATATATGAATAACATTCATGTGGTAGACGATTTCTTTTAAAAAAAAAATTTAGTTTGCATAAAAATTAAATAAATACCCATTTTTTTTAATAGCGTACCATTAGACACAATATAACGTAAATATATTTTCGATAAAAATTATTTAAATAAAGACAAATTTGAATAAAAAAAAATAAATTTAACGCAGTATCTAAAAAAAACTTTATAATTAATATAAAATTAAAACTCAGGAACATTTTGGTTACCCGTTAGTAATGCGAACACAATAAATACAAACAAATTTACTTATAACATAATATTATTATTATATCTGCATTAAACTGAAATTAAATATAATGTTAAAATTATTTTAATTTACACATAAAATCTTTTTTTTGTATTATACTTTTAAGTATAATAAAAAAAAATATTAAATATGCATCACCGTCCACCGATATGTTCAAAAATTTTAAGTTAAAATGGTATAAACTTTATACCAGTTACCAGTACCAAAACGGTCATTCTAGTTTAATACCACCCGACTAAATTGTTTTGTTTATTTTTTCAGGAGTTATCCCGGTCATCGCTACCACCGGTTGCGAAGGATGCACCCCCAAACAGAAGACGACAATCAAAAAGTCGTTGAACTTCTTGAGGAACAAAAAACCAGTCGAGTGGCAGAGGCTTGTCAAAATCTACGACCCGTCGGGCAAGAACTTGAACAAATTCCTCGAATCCTAATCTCCAACACGATAATATTATGTAACAGTATAATATGATGTGTGACGCATAAGACCTACAAAAAAAAAAAAAAAATCGTGATATTTATGTATTTCGCGCGACCAGTGTACTTATTATTTAGGTTGTACAATAATATTATAAGTAAAAAAATTCCTCGAACAAAACATTTAATTTAAGTTCTTTAATTTATTTATAATTAAACAAAATATTTAATAATAATAAAAACAAAACAAACAAACAACTGTCGTTTTTTTTTATATTTATGTCGCACAAAACGTTGGCCCCTTGTTTTTTTAAGTCGCAGTTGAGAAAAACTGAAATGATTCACCAGGAAATAACAAAGTGATAAAAAATTTTAAATATACATTTTTTTTTTAATACATACTTTATACATATATTAGTATTACCTATTGCGTTATGTTATTGCTACGTGCATACTAAAGTAAAAATGATATGCATAGCCAACACAAGAAGAGGATACTTGAAGGTGTTATTATTGGTTTTAACACAAATTTCATAATGTTTTCACAGCAATGACTTTGGGGTTTGTATTCATTTGTTTGTTTGGCAACTCGATAATAATAATTGAAGTATTAGATTATTTTTTTAAATTTATTTGTTAACCTAACTAAAAGTGTTTAAGTGGTAAAAAGTAGATCCGCACTTGACTATAGTCAATTACCAATTTTGTAATTGGTAAATATTAAGAATGCTTTGTTGGACCAATCAGTGAACCTTTTGGTCTATAGTATTATCTCGCCAAAGACTATTAAAATGCTTTCTAGCGATTTTCAGATGATATCATATTAATGGTTATTGATCAAACGAGGAATAGGTTCCATTTGATATAAAAAAAAATTATAACATTAATTCATTAACCGAGTTTAAATAGAATTAGATATTATTATAGATGGTTAATTACTTGTTTTCTATCTAATCTCGATTGCAATAACACTATAAAACCTAATCAAATATTGACGACACACTTGTATCATAAGCTCTGAAACCTAAAAATAAACATTCATATATTATAATATTGTTTGTAAGTTATGTATATTCATACTTATGCGTTTGGTTATTTTAAAAATTTATATCGTCATTAACTACCAAGATTTTTATGAAATAATTGTATTTATTTTATAAATAAAAAACAAAGCACTCGAGATTATATCGTTATTATGACAGATTATGTATGGTTTAAGTGTTGTCAGTAGACATCCGGCGGTCAACGTTATTTTACACAATAAACCGGTCGACGACTGTGGTGTCAATTATTGCATCACACCACACTTCAAAAAAAAAAAAAAAATAAATAAATATACTTTATCAAAATCAACCTTGAACGAATTCATCGCTTAAAAATACATAATATAAATTGTCGACATCCAAGTTAAAACGTGTAATGCAATGACCAATAACGTTTGATACAATGTATATCCGGCAGAATATTAACGAGACAACGATATCTACCCCATTCACATAAAATTTAAAGTTTAAATGTTAATCAAGAAGTCATAGATGAGCAACGGGGGAAGGGGAAGAAGACGAATTTGCATACCACCTTGAAAAAATGGTTTTCATGATATTCGCATGTACAAATTACGCGATTATGTCATAACACAACACTGAGATTTAAACTCGAAGCTAGACTGTGGTAGAGTGATTAATTTGTGACAAACACTTGGTAAATTAAAAAAAAAGAAGAAAAATAAACACTGTGTGACTAATTATAATATATTGAATTACTTCTAATTGTAAGTTTACGTTTTAATAAATTATATTATGTTTTAATGGATTTTTTATTAAAAAATAATTGTTAACATTACAATAAATTTGTTTTGTCGGTATAGTTCGACCGAATAAAAAGTAGGTGATAAAAAAACATATGAAGATTTATGAATAAAGAAATGAAGATGGACGGATAGCCAATTCCATGTCCCCCCATTTGTATGGTACAAGGCAAATAAGAAGAAGACAATATTTTTATTTGACCAAAATTATTGCTGAACACCTTTCATAAAACGGTTTAATTATAATGGAAAACGGTGAAAAACGTCAAAAGAAACGATAATGATTTGATAAAAAAATTTAATATTTACCGTTTATTACTCCTTATAACTGCGCTTATAAAAGTACACTAAATTGCAGTTTAAAATTGAGATCTGCAAAAATTTGCCTATAGTGAGCCCCTTAACAAATTAGATGTGTGCCGTCCTCTTGTGAGGGCATTTATTTTTATTTTGTTACAAAACAATAATTACATCAAATGTATTTTTTTTTACAAAAATGCTTATTGTAAAACTATTTAATGAACAAATATGATGTATTATCTGTAGTACACGCTTTACTTTGTTAGTCTAAAATAATTGTGAATATTAATTTTTTGTTTTACTATTTTTGTAATCACGATCAAATAATTCATTCAGCGGTCAACATACAAACTTTTCTGTAGCCTAATCAAATCTTCAACGTATACTTAAGGATAATTTTATCGTCGCAATAAAAGTAAACAAATTTAAATGGACTTACATATTTAAGGGGCTTCGTATAGGCAATTTCTTGTTACAATTTTGTAAATTTTGAAAAAACTTGGCAAATATAGGAAAAGTACAGTTTTTATACATTTATAACGACCACTTTGTTTGTTTCTCCTAACTTTTTATTCACTAATTACACTGTATAACAGACATTTTACTTATTTTTGGGAAGAATAAGAACTAAAATGGTACTTCTCATTTTTAGATTTTTTTTCGAATGTCTAGTTATTTTTGTAATCTCCAAAATTGAAAAATACAGTTTTGTGGTATTCTTAGCATATTCTGTGCACTTAAATAATTACCTAAAATGTATTTCAGACATTTTTTTGCAAAATTCCGAACTGGTGCAGAATTTATAATTTTATTGTATACACAAAGAACATCAAAAAATTATGTTTTTACTTTTGTTAATAGTCTACAACAGTAAAAGTCCTCATTTCTAAAATGACCAATTTGCCCTGTCGACATTATATCAAAACAGCTCTTGATACCAAATGAAAACTTGTCACTACTATGATTTAATGTTTTTTTTTTTTTTTAGATTGATTTATCAGACAAACGTAATCGATTATGTTATTCAAGAATATATTTTTTATTCACTCTAGACTGTCTTTATATGTCGGTTTAAGACTACACAATTTTATTTTTAAACGCGCTTCACTTAGGCATTGACTTTTGAACGATGACGAACTGTATAATGCTAGTAATTGCTGTAGTTTCCAATGAGTATACAATATGGTAATTCGTGTGAAACGAAAAAAACCTATTTAAAAAACGTGCTTATCGACGATGTGGCCTATCCCTAATCAATTTGTTTTTAGTACTGTGTTATCATATACATAAAATAATTGATACCGGTGTTCAATTTAAAATAACACAATAATGTTCTATTATACAAGTGTGTATTTACATTATTATCATTTTTTTTTTTAAGTTTTATTGTCCGGAAAGAGTGGGCTGTTCAATACGAAATGGGTGTGCTACAACATCCAACCATTAAGTGGCCTTTTACTGAACTCTACTATTATTATGTACAATACAATATCCTAACTGCATATTTATTCAAACCACATGATGGTAGTGACCGCCGCAGGATTGTGACAGCAGCCAAACTGTATCAATAAGCCGGTTATTTGTTGTTTTGGTAAATGTGTGTGTGTTTTGTTTTGGCGACAGTCATTGCAACGTTCCAATTTTCATTATTGCTCGATACCACTCGTCGGGTAGGTACCTAAGTCCTTTTATAATGTAAAAATAGTATTATCACATAAGTTTATGTCGTTTCCACTAAAATATTATTTTAGGCACAGCTTTAAGTCGATAAAAACCAATAATTCAGGGCCGGCTTGATACGGCTCTTTGTAATGGAAATTTCAAAATAACCTTTTTTTTATCAATTTTGTTTATCAGTGGTCGAGTTTTTGAAAATTTATTTTGATTTTTAAATATTTTTGACTAGTAAATATTTTAATAATAGTGAGCATTTTTTTTATTATTAAAAAATAAATGTTTGATGGAATTTGTATTTTTTTTTTACAATTTTTTAAGAAAATTTTAATTTAAATTTCTTGTGTAACAATTCGTGGATGCAGCGTATAAAAGGGGTTAATACTTAGGGGGTGAAGTTCCCCCTTACTTAACGAACTTGTAACTTTCGAAGGACTATTATGTTTTGTTTTAGAAATATCGCTATTAAGTAAATGTATACTTAAGTTAACACGAATTAAATCATGTATTTCGAAAATAGCTTTTGTCATAATGTATAATATTTAATAATGTTTATGTAAGTTTATACCATTATTAAATAACCGCAAAAAATACAATACAAGTCGTCATCATCATCAAAATAACGCAAAATCTTGTTTTATCATCTTGGTCATCGATCTTTGTAACCTGTAAAAATCTCTTATCTCATTCGCTTCGTACATATTAGTAGTGACTTTATGACCTTTTTTAAAACATCTACATAATTCTTTTTTAAGAATGACTAATTTAATTTTTGAAAAAGTTGGTACCAAATTATGCTTATACTACATGGCTTAAAACTCAAGATTGTACCAAATGTACTAGATATTCGTTTTTTAATCGAGTAAAAAATGTTAAGCCAATTGCAAATCCTCCAATGTTTCCCGACCTGTTGATTAGATTTCCAAAACATTTAGCAATCAAACAGTACTCATAATAATACTATTCGCATTCTTAATTACTATTCGCAGTAACGATTTCAGTGTTACTTAAATTATTTAAAAACTTACTTAATCAATACGAACTTAAGATAACGTTTTTGAATTGACTATTCGTTTTAACAAATGTAATTATCATGAATATACCTACTAAGCGTTTGCAAAATAAAATGTATAGGTTAGTGGTTACATAGATAACATATAAGTGCTAGGTAGATTAAATTACTAGCATACATAAAACGATGACTAAACGATTATGAGTAGAACTATTGAATCTATCATAAATATACAAAACCAATACATAAGCTAGTAGTCATTTTCTCTTACATTTGTATTGGGTTTTAATTTTGAATTATTGGAGACTTTCTGCCGATTAAAAAGACCATTATGAGGTTAAGGCGTTAAAAGATTTTAAGAAATACGTTTCTTTTTTTAACAAATGCAATCAGTTAGATGCTACTGATGAAATGTTAGGTTAACTATTGTCTTCTCTGGCCTCAACACTACAGAATTATTTAAAATTATCTCCAAATTGATTTAACTTTAAAGTAGTACATTTATGACCAGAAGTACGCACTTGATTTACATCACTATGATTGACGAATAATTTAAAATTACCTTTTTAAAGTTTGGAAACATTTAAATAACCTTCAACTATTTTATAAATTTATTGAAGAATATTAAACATTTTACTTGTTTTGTAGATTTATTTGTTTTGTTACCGAGTTTGCAAAAACATTTTACTCTCTTAACCACAACCGCAACCGCGGTAATGGTCACGATTCAGGCGGTCAAGGCGAATATCCATAGGTATTAGGTACTTGTTTTCGAATTAAAAAAAAAAATGTATTTAAGTCCATACTTGAATGTAGGTAATCGGTGTCTAGTTTGCAAGCACATAGTAGCAATAGTAGTGCAAGTACATATTATTAATGGTGTTATCTATTATGTAGTGCACCAGAAAAACGACATGAGCCTGGAGCTAGACACAGGATTATGCTAGAAAAACAAGAGACGTTTGTCATTTGCACTGCGGAGACGGTGGGCAAAAGAGTTAGGGGTGGTTCTTTTGTGAAACAACATTGACAACGTTTCTATCATTTTTATTTTACATCGTTAGAGTACGATACAATTTTTTTTTATAAACCGACGTTAACCGTATAAGTTATAACATAATGATAATATGATAAATAACATAAATCTGAACATAAACATATATATATATATTGGCTATGATGCGTGCGCGTCTGCTGAAGAAATACTAGTACTTCTGTGTTGTTAATCTTTGTTCGTTCCGAGCTACATGTTATAATATTAGTATTTGCTCTTATTATTATATAGTAGTGTCACCTTTTATCATTCGTTTATTATGTGGAATTAAACGTACCGTATGCTTTCTTATCTCAGGTCAGCCGAACACAAGCCGCCAATAACAATATACAAACATTATACCTATTATACGTTTGAGACTTTCAGAACTAACCGCGTTCGACCAATGTTCGCCCGTTTCGACAACCGTCGGTCGGTCTGTGGAAATAAAAAATCATCGTTATAATATATTTTATTAATAATAATAATATTATTTTAATTATGTAAAACTGATTTAAATAGTTTAAATAGTTTACCGCGTCCGTATTTATGTATATGTGTGTATGTGCGCGCGCGCGTCACAAACCGACCGTCGATTGTTAACGATTAATATTATATTATATAATATATTATTATTATAATAATAATTTAGTAAAAATATTTCTTGCTTTACATTTCTTATCAGCGACGGTGTTATTATTATTTTCGTACGGCGATAATAAATCTTCGATCCAATCGATCGACAACTTTTGTGCTCTCGACCACTTTTGTCGTCGTCGTCGTCGGTGCCTGTGCGACGTGTTACACGTGTGTGTGTGTGTATATATGTGCGATCGCCAGTGATTAAATTAAAAATCAGAAGCAAAAATTAAAATTAAAAAAAAATTTTTTGTGCGTTTTCGGTTTTAGCTTTTTTTTTTTTTTTTAATCTTTTTTTTGGTGCTTTTTATCAAATCGGGGTTTTGTTTTTTTGAGTTGGCGATGGTCACATGACACCGCGAATGGTCTGAACGATGATCGGCAGGTGGTTTGCCGGGTTCGTGGTGTTTGTTGGTTACTTGTGCCTGGGAGCGTTTGTTTTCTACCGGATCGAACGCAGGGAAGAAGAAAAACGACATGTCTTGGAGCGAATGGAACAGCTCGAACTCAAAGGTGAGTCAAAAACTAAAAATAAACTGTTTTCATCTTTTCTCGGCATGATCATAGACATTATGGCTGTTTACCAATGATTGGTCATGAACAAATCAAATAACCCGTATTCCCAAGTAGGTGGGTATTGCAAGCACATACCAATTTTTAGTAGTTGGGGGGTGGTAAAACATCAGACGAATAGTTCAATCTATGAAAGTTTTATCTCATTCATTATTAATCGGTATATTTTGTACTTTCGTCGTGTTTACCTACTTGGGTCCTGACGTATTGTATAGGAATATATTAAAAATGTAAAGGAATGCGGCTGTTATCACGACCAACAACGCGCGGTAGTGATAACAACAGGTTGCCGGTTACAGTCGACTAAACAAAACAAAAATCTAGTTTAGTCTACGTCAGTACGGCAATTAAGTGATTTTTTAGAAACTTTTAAAAATACTTGACACCTCTAACTTACTTAGTAGGTTTTAACTCGGTTAACTTGTTTAACTGGTGTGACTTGGTTAACTTGTCAACTCGATTAACATGCTGTGCTTATTTCTTACAAAAGGTTCTATAACTATTACTCTATAGAGTTTAGTAAATAGTTCAGGGTCGGTCTATACCGGGTGCTAACTACTTACTGTGTGCTACCTATTGATACATTGATAGCATATCATTAAATGTTAAACAGTACAGCTCCATTTGGGTGGCCCAGACCCAAAGAGAAATTTTATTACGTTATGTTGGCAACAATAAAGGAAGGGTAAGAGTTAAAAATAGGTTCTATCAAATTATTAATTAATGTATATTTCTATTTCCTGAATATTTACAAACATTTTTTTTTTTTGGATTTTGTTTGTACAATATATCTCAACGATTTACAAAATTCTAAAACTTTACTTCCATTATAGGACAGTTTTAAAATAAGGCCTATTTTGTTTACATTAAATTACGCTTTTAACAAAAAAAATTCTATTCGTTTTTGAAATTTACGATTTTCAAGCTTGTACACTAAAGTTACTTTAAAAAATCTACAGTTTAGTAGTATTTTTTAAAGATTTTTTCGTGTTTACCACCTATACATTTTATTTTTGCAAATATGTTTTTTTTACATCTCATAGATATTCTATAATATACGATCTACCTCTAGCCTTAATTTCTGCTTTTAAGTCATAAAATACTAAATAGCGCCTATAAAATTAAAAAAACAAACACCCTTCTGTAAAAATTTACAAATGAGAACCCCCGTTTGTCTATCAACTTGAGTTGTAATTATTTTTTTAAGGCATCCAAATTTGTATCGTTAAAGTCCTTATACCAATTTAACTAACCACTACTTTAAAAAAATATAAAATACATAACATACATATACAATTACATAACATGAGGTGCTATCATCAATGGTATCTTCGAATGAATATTTTATGATTTTTATTTTATGTAATCTACAGATTAAAATTATTTTAATTAAAAAATGGAGGGAAAGAGTCATCTGAGTTAATCAAAATGTATTAAACAAATATTTAGCTTTAAATCGAATCGTACAAAATATAAAAAGCTAATTTTACTTGCATTTTTAAAAATATTTTTTGAAAAGAAGTATTTTAAGATTTTAAGTTGGGATTAATGATTATAGAATTTTTATATGAACGTTTTTTTTTGTTGTTTTAACATGATGTGAATTGAATTGTTCGTAAATAATGTTATTAGCTGACATTTTATTCTTATGCGTATAATAGTTATGTAAACAAAGGTTAATATTTTTAGATTGAATAAGAAACGATATTGAACTTTTAACAATTTAAAATTATTACATATTTCGGTAAACACAATCGACGACTGACACAAATGTACTTTCCTAAAAATAATTTTGAAATTTGTTTATTTAATAAGCTATCAAAAAAAAATATATATATTTATGGTTTAAATTAAATTCCTTAATTAGATCAAATATCACTGTGATTTTTGCATTATTATTTTCCAGTTTAAGCCAAAATAGATATTCGATAGAACGAATGTTAAATTACAATTATGAGCTAGCAAACCACGTTATGATAATATTATTTTGTTTTCATAGTATTTGTAAACCTCAGTAAAACTATTACCGCAGTGTTTGCTCAGCACTAATATTATATTTTCGATGTATTCATTCAGTAATCACTTTGTACAATAAACATGTTTGTTGTTATGTTTTTTTATCATTTTATTGTTTATCCGATATCGATTATGCTAAAATGAAAAAAATTGTATTTTATATTGTGTTAAAACTTTGCCGGGTAAGTACTATCGCGACTACGATTTCTTATTTTGCATTAAACCTCTGCCATTTGTTGTATTCAATGGCTGTTATATAAGTATGTAAAAAAAAACAATGACACAAATCTATTTAAAACCCGTTTTTAAGCTCGACACTAGAAACCCGTTTTCAGATAGTGTATTATTCTTAAACGTTTTTTATGCATGATATAATGCTATTTAATATTGTGGTTGCATATATTTTTTTATTTTTTTTATTATAGAGTAGTTCTACACGTGAGCATCGTTGGAATTTCGTTTTCGATAACATTGTTGACGCATTAGTTTGCCGACTGTGGTGCTCGTTAAAGTGGTATTTTGTACTTGTATTATCCAATTAATTATACATATTATAGATAATATAAAGGTTGGAGAGGTAGTATATGTACCACCGTCTGTTGATTGTAGTGTCTGATTACATGATCGAATTTTCATAACTTAGTCTTCTTATGATTGATCCATGAAAGTTTTAACACAATAATTTTTTTTAGACCTTCAAATTTTCTTGAATTTTTATCGTGAAAGTCAAATTTTTAGTGGTTCAATTTATTTTAGGTCAATAATGTCGGGCAAATTTAAAGTTTTATATTTGTCCATTAAGTATCTAACGCTTAAAGTACTATTTTCGGTATCAACTTGTTGAAACTTTAATTTCTAATGTAGTGGGAAAACAATTTTTTTAACAAGACCATCCAAGCTCTTCACCATCTTAATTCACAGACGATAGGTCAGTCATCCAACATAATAAGTTAGGTTAGCTCCTTCGGAGTACTGCAATTGAATTTTCGATCATAATAATGTACTTTATCGTAAGTAGTGTAATGTGAAGGTTGATCATATTTTCTTGCAAGATAAACGCGCGTTTACCCATTGTGTGAGATGTCTAAACGCGGTATTAATGTCTAAGAGTAATGTACTTTTGACAAATAATATGTGCGTCCATATCATTCTAATTTTAACACACCTTAAATAATATCCTTGGTATTTTTTAACGGTGAATTATCTCGAGTTAATACCCCAAGTGTTATGTATTATGCACGTGCTCTACTGTCTGTGTGATAAGTGCGCTGTGCGCAAACTAACCATGGAACTCAAATTATAATCGTGTATCGAATCTTTATATTCTTTGCGGCTGACCGGTGTACAGCTCCTAGTTTTTGTTGTTATGTTTTTTCTTTTTGTGTTGGCATTAATTTTTTAGTAGGCGTGAGAAAGTGAAAATTAAATAAGCATTGCGTTTTGCAAATTTCACAACTCTTCGAACGTTGTGCGTTTTCTATCAAATCAATTATAAGTCTCAAGGTGAACGCATTTATTTGTTACATGGAAACTACACCGGACGACGCCGGAATATCCGATATTTTTTTTTAGTACTTTTTTATTTGTCGAAGAATCGAAAACAACACAGGCCATTCTGCTAAATTATGCGAGTTAACGAAACCAATTATAATGGCCAATTATATTTTAACACTGGATTCACTAACGTGTTATGTCTGACTGATTACACGATATCTACACCTTGCACTATAGGTGTTCATTATGTTTATGTAATCAATAATCATTTAGATCTACTTAAACGATCACGTGGGCTTAGATAATTTTGAAAAAAACCAACGGTAACAGCACATTTTTGTACAAACTAACCTAACACAATGATTGACCTGAACATAAAAAACAAGACAAACCAAAAGTGTTTATCTTTGAGTTACAATTTCATTTGATCTGACTAAACCAATGTTTGGAAGAAACACATTTGGTCCTTTGATTTCGTACATTTTTGCGGAATGAAACTCAATTTTTTGTAAAGAAACATTACTAAAATCTAGTTCAATTTTTGGTGGAACATTAACGATTTTTTCGTTCATTTGGTACGTTACAACATATTAATTTCATTTTTTTGTTATTGTTAGTTAGCCGTTAGTAAAAAAAAAAACTAGCTTGTTGCCTTTGTCTTTCTTAGACCGAATCATGTCTTCTTTGTGTCAAAAAAAAATTAATTTGTTTAAAATTAAAAAATATGAAACTTGTGTCTTAGTAGGAATGAAGAAGGGAACTAGTAAATTTCTTCAAACCTGTAACAAGAACTGAACATAGTTTCTATTTAATAACAGAACTAATTATTTTTTTTTTTTTAAATTAACTTAACCTTACTATTAACTACTTCAAAAAAATTGAACCTGAATGAAAAATTTGAACGTGTCCAATCGAAAATGTCATGATGAACAAAACATTATTGCATTTGTTTCAGACCTCCTTGCAAGACACTATAGCCAAGTCGACGCTCACATACAGAAACAGTTCATAAAACAGTTGAACGCGTTTTGCAACAGAACCGTCTTGGAAGAAGTCCCGGATGAAGTACATCAATACCAATGGACGTATTACAACGCTTTCTTCTTCGCTCTCACCACGCTGAGTACAATCGGTGAGTAAACGGTAATAATACACTAACATAATATCCACATGATCGACAATTTCGGCTGAAATTTCAAAATAAACATGATAATCTAAAAATCGTCTTTAAACTACCAAAACTAATATAATTTCAACGGTTTAAATAGGTGTTTTTATGTTTACGTTTAAACAGCTCGGGACGGACTTTCTTTCAAAATACGATCAATAACCCATTCGATAATAAATTGATCATTTTTGTGTTTTTTTTTTTTGCATTAAAGGTTACGGAAATCTTCATCCGACATCATGTACCGGACGCATACTCGTGTTGGTATACTCGCTGATAGGAATACCTCTCAACGGTATTGTTTTGACTCAACTGGGAAGCTTTTTCGAATCCAGAGTAAGTGTCCTTGTCGGTACACCGATATCGTGTTAAACGAGCCCAGAACCATCTGAAATGCTCGTAAAGTTACAAATAAAATAAAAATCTTGCATAAAAAAAAAATGCCCAGTTATCATATAGCTTGACTCGAAAATTTCATACATAAGTTTAAACCTTCTCAGTTTTGCATCGGAGATAAATCAAATAATTAGCCTAATTATCATATCTATTTCATAAGCCTACCATAGACTATGATAAACTTATTTAGGCCTTCAGAGGGGGAGTACAGTTTGTATTCTAATACCTTAGTCTTAGTTATCGCGTTCAACTTTAATCTATATGGTAATGGTAATTCACTATAATTGATTATAAACAAATTACCTAGTAAAAAATGTACTCCAATCGCGTATTATAATTAGTTCGCTGTTAAAAAACTATAATCAAAAATGAATATTGATAATAAGTGCGATTCAATTTTGGATACATTCATAGCTTTAATCTAAAGCACGGTGGTTATGCACATTTCAAAGTGTTCAGAAATCTTTAAGTGCTGTTATTTAATAAATTAATATCGATTAGATCACTTAATACTATTCTATATTAAAACATTTAATTATTTTTAGATTTTATATGCAACATATTTTATGACTAGCTAAATCTTTTTACTATTATTTTTTGAAAACAATAATTCTTGTTAAAAAAGCGAAAATAAGTTGTTTTTAAAAATAATTTTTCTCTCTGTTAAGGCAGCAACAAAATCAATTTAAAACAAACAATTTAAATAACGAAATTGTACATAAATCTTGGTTAAACAAAATATAGGCTCTCATAGGGCTTGTTAAAAAAAAAACCAAACAAATTATGTTTACTTGTGTTGAGTTAGGGTTAGTTTTAACATTATTATTATTTTTAAAAAAGTCAAAACTTATGAAGTTATGCTGTTAAACAGTCGAGTCATGTTTCAAATGTGTGTTTTGAAAACCTAGATCTACTCCCAACAATAATACCCGAAATTTTCTACTAGCCGGAAGTTATTATATTAACAATTTGTTTTTATGTCTCTTTAAGATCCTTCGAGCTCACTACAGTTACAAAACCCAGAGAATGATGGGCCCTCAGCTGAGTCTAATCGTCGACATAATTACTTACCTGATACCAGGTATAATCGTGTTCATTTTGGTTCCTTCGGCCGTCATAGCCTATTTCGAAAAGTGGACGTTCGACGAGAGCGTTTACTTTGCCTTCGTCACTTTGACCACAATTGGATACGGAGACTTCGTTGCTGGTAATTGGAAAATATTATAAACATTAGAGCAGTGTAAAGGGTTTGACTCAAGATTCAATTTAAACAGCTGTCGATTATTATTGGTCTTGTGACAACATCATTCGGCTTGCTTTTACAGGACAGACCGTCAACACCAACATATGGTACAACGCGTACAAAGTGTTCCTGGTGTTCTGGATCATGTTCGGTCTGGGATATCTGTTCATGATACTCAGTTTCATATCCAGAGCGATGAGGTCCAAAACGCTGGAGCACCTGTTCCTGGAACGTCTCAAACACACCCACTCCAGAATTTGGAACCAATTCACCAAAGACGTGGTCTACATCAGACGAGTACTCAACGAGTCTTATTTGTTAAAATTTAAGGTAAGCTTATTATAATATGTAATAAATTTAAAATACTTGTAAATTAGTTATTAGACCAACAAAAGGAGACAATGTTGAGCGTCATCCGAATAAAATTGTATTTAAATAAGTTAGCTATGAAGAGTTTACCGTATATTCATTATAGTTTATACAATTTTCTATTTTTGAGAGAGAAAAATAGAAAATTATTGAAATTATTTGATAACAATATAATTTCTAAAGTAAGAATAGTTAATTTTGAATTCGCTGTAAATTCATTAATTGTGAATATTACCTATTCAAATTTGTTGGTGAAATTAGACGGGGGCTGGGGAATTTAAGACCCTTTTAAAAAGTCGAGTGCCCCCTCAAGCGCAACTGATTATGTTGTAGACTCTATTCGTTTAGTTCCCAAGTACGACGACATTTGGTTATTTACTTGAATTATATGAATATCATTCTGATTCACAATATAATGTGATATGGTAAAACAAATCTATGTTCGCGTTACGCAATAACATTTATTGGATAATAACAATAAAATAATAAAACATTATATCATATTTTTATTACTATTGGCAACGGTTAGATAGTAATAGTTTCAAATGACTGTTAAAGTCTAAAAGCTTTAATAATAATAATTAATAAAAATGCCACATTCAACGTGATAAAACACCAATAAAATCGCAGATAATATTATTATATTACCTGATGTATGTAGATTGTGTTTGCCTGATGAAATATTACATCCATTTTAGTCTTTTTTTTTAATTAGGATCGTTCGTTATTGTAAAATCGAAAAAAAATATGTTTTTTATAATTATTCTATTAATTATACAAAACAAAGAGTCTTTTATAACTTTTGATTGTTTACAAACTAAATAAGGCTTCGGATAACCAGGCTTTTCTTTTGGGGGTTTTACATAGACAATATTCTTAGTAAAATCTTGTACAATTTATACACACAATTGTGGGGCCAATAAATGTCTAGAGGCATTGTCTAACGAGACACACACTTTGAAATTGTATACATTTGTACAAATAATAATAATAATAATAAAATGCTAATATGTATTTTGAAACAATAAATTTCTCATTTAGATGACTGCGATAACTTTAATTAGTGTAAAAAATGATAATCGGGATTCATTCTACTACTAGTACTCTTTGTATAATTTGTAATCTGTAACGAAGCACAATTTTCCTATAAAAAACGGTTACAACATAATAATATATTACACAGCATATTATGCACACAACGTGCACATTGTTTATTTTATCTAAACGAAAATGTAATACGTTATGTTTACTGAAATACTAAACTGTTGGCCCCAATCGACAATCTCAAGGGCAAATTAATGTAAAATAACTAATTCATCAAATTAGGAACAAATAATAGGAAATTTACTTTTTCAAATTGTCGGTATAAATATTTCACAAATTCAAGAAGGAAAAACTTTTTTTAGTTTAATTCGTTTAAATCGTGTTATTATAATATTAGATATGCTTGTTGAATATCACAGCATTGCCTGATTGGTGGGCGTACATCTCAATAATACTAACTGTTTTAAATATTTTTTTTTTACACGCTTAACATGGAACTCACAGTGTGCTCCGTAAGTAACAATTATTACAGAAATATTTTCAAAACGTACTATTATTGTTTACTCATGTTGACTTATGAACTTACGTTGACGTCATAGCACAATATATTATTAGGTAGATACCGTGCCACGTCTCGACGTTTAATTTGTTTTTAATCGACGTCGTAAACGGATTTGATGGCTTTTAATAATATTTGTTCAAGAGTCGGCCATTTATTTTGTAAATCCTAATAACGTCGGTTGGTAAAGTTTGGTTTCCACTCCTTTTACCGCGTAATTCATCGCCTAACTTACACGACGATGTCACCACTAACTGCGGTAAATTTCCTTTACTAAAAATATACTCACCACACTTAACCTTATCTATCAGCTATTTGGAAAGGGCCAGTGGTCCATATTTTAATCAACACGTCCTGACCCTTCCCCTCTTCACATTCAATAACGTTCAGCCAAGCTATTGATTTTCTGTAGCACGGATCTCGAGTATTTTCCTGTAAACCTCGCCTTCCATTCATTGAAGCAATCTGAGAAGAGCTTGTGTGTGCTCAAGGCCCCTAATTTTAAAATTAGCACCCCCAAAATTACCTTTGCGTTGTTTACAACACTAGACTAGATTTGGTTTTCCAATCCCTGACTTGTCGCTGAGCGTGACGTCATTGAAGGGTCGAGATCCAAATCAGATTGTAGTGGCCTAACATGTTCTGATTGACTGTTCTTTTGTAGCCTGTATACAAGAAGGAAGTGACGATGAACGGGCAGCCGTTAAGGAGGAGCAGGAGTGCACCCAACCTGACGGAATGGCCCGTGCTGAGAAAGTTGACGGTGCCGGTGGCCAATCGGACTTCGGACGAAGAAGACGAGGAGACCGTCCGGAAGCGGTTCGAGAAGCACAGGATGAAGCGTCGGCGGGCTTTGTCGCAGAACAAGATGCGATCGCTGATCAGACGGGTAAAGGCCACATCCGAAATCGATCTTGCCCACATTGACAAGGAAGCCACGTTCGGCGCCGACATAGCCTCCTACGAGCTCCTGTCCAGAGTGGTTGACGCCCTCGAAACGGCCGTGCCCAACAAAGCCGACGTACAAGACCACCACACGGTAAGTCACATGCGGATCTTTCGTCCAAATACCAAGGGTAGGGTGCGTCTTAGAATTTGATTGAAAGATCCACGATTGAATCATGATGGTTCGTGCATTAAGAACTGCGGCCAGGATTGTTTTTGTCGTGGGTTGAACGGGGGGAGGCCAGGAAGAGAGGGAAAGGACCGAGGTAGATGGACACCCTCGTCTGGATTTTTTTTTTAATTTTTGCATTTTGTAACGTTTTTTTAGGCGAAGAAAAAATCCATGTCAATTTCGGAAGGCATTCAAGGTTTTTCGTCCGATGAAATATTGGCTACAGAAAAGAACGAGTGGACAGTTGGCGGCGAAATGCTAAACAGGGAGAACACGTTTACGGGCAAGAATTCACGACATTCATACTTTGAGTACGACACGTGGGCCGGAGCCGACAACCGAAGTTACAAAAAGTAAGTGTGAACCTAACCAACTTATGTTCGCCAAGTCATATTGGAAATTCCATTAAAGCTGATCCTCTGTCTCTCATCTACTCTCTAATTTTGGAGTTGACGGTCAATCACAATTTTGGAAGTAGGTCCACTACTTGGCTTTTCTCTTGGCAATCATTATTTACAACTTGTCTGACCCTTTCTGGGACTGGACGGCTAAACCTTTAGCAGAGTCATGTTTACCACATCTGGATCGTGTCGATCCTAGGTTGACCTAGCCCGCGACTGTATTCTGTTTTGCACACAATAAAACTGCATTATTTTAACTGAACCGGATTGACGTGGATTATTATTATACATTCTGCAATCGCCGGACCGTGACGACTGTAATCGAAATCAGTTAGGCGCCACTCCTAAATTTACCACGGACACTAGTGTACTAATTAACACTTGAACGACGAAATTGCACGTTTGTTGCCTTGATACAAGCAAGGTAATACGTTGCCGTAGACTAACTGCTAATTTATTATTAATACTGTTCTTTTGTTAACTGCGAATGCAGTGGCCGGTCCTCCTGTAGAGGGTGGCGGGGATCGTTGAAATCCGTCATTGTTTTTTTCCCACAAATGATTTTAGCTTTTCACTTAAAAGGTTTCTTATTGATAATGCGGTTTTGAAAACGATGATATCGACCTCCTTACGAAAAAGAGACCTTCAAGGAACTCATATTTTCAATATTTATCTTATTTTAAAATAAAACAATAACAGTGATGAAAAACTTTTTTAATTTTTCATTTTACTGCATTAGCAACTAGCATTAGTTTTAGTATGTTAAAAAACTAATGATGTCTATTTCATTTTTCGTTACAAGATAAAAAAAACTAAAAATTACGTGACATATAATAGGGTTTTTATTAAATTAACTAAAAACTAAAAAAATATAGATTTTATAAAATTAATGAAAATTAAGCCTTTTAACATATAAAAAATAAACTATGGCTAATGGTGTATATTATGGTTTACTAAAATTATATGGAAGTAGTAAGTAGTACACAATATCATAATGTTTGGAAATGTTTTGTGTGCGTTTCCAAAATTGATAACAAAATAGGACAGCTTAAAAAATATATATTTTTTTACACCCATGTAATATAACAGACGTCTATAAGACACATAATAATTGTTATTGTGTTTATAGATTCAACTGTTATCCAATGAGTGGCGTACCCAAAGCCAGTGGCGGCATCGGCAGTGGCGGCGGCGGAGGCGGCACCCAAAAGCCCCGTATACCTCGGTTGAGACGCATGTCGGCGGCGGCGTTCAACTTTTTGTCGCACAACATCGCGCCCAGGTGGCTGACGGACAGGCTGAGCGACAACCGGGCCAGCGAACGGTATGGCAACCATCAAGCGGCCACCGCCAAGAAGGACAAACGCGAGTTGACCGACCCCAAACACCGCCTGTCGCTCAACGATGACAACAATTGCTATTATGGGTCGACGTTCAACGGCGGCGTGGACTACAGGCCCTTCGTGCCGCCAATCAACGACTCGGCCACCGTGTCTGCATCAGCCGCGCCGGTACCGCCGCGGTATCGCCGGCAGTCTAGTCCCGACCCCGTGCTCACGCAATGCGCCAACACGATAGCGGTGGCCGACTTCCTGTACACCTTGCAGCGTTCGCTGGACAAGTCGTCCACGCTGTTCCCCAACCTGAAGCCGGCCATGCACGAGCGGCGGTCTCCGTTGTTTACGCTGTTCCAAGACAGAAGGACATCGTCGTCCGGCGATTCCTGGCAGTATTCCTCGTTGGCGTCAACGGCGTCGTCCAACCAGTGGACGGATATTACGGTCGCAGCGCCGTCCAACACCGAATCATTAGACGTAGGCATCAATATTTACTTGTTACCTACACTTAGGCCGGGTTGTAAAAAACGTTTGCTTAAAGTTCAAAGGGGAACATATCTCAGGGGCGGTGCTAGGACTGGGTATGTTGAGCAAGTAACCCACTCAAATTTGATATTGCCCCCTCTAATAATTTGAAAATGTCCTATTATAAGCTTAAGCTAATTGGGGAAAATGTTTGCCAAGATCTATGGCTAATTAGATATCCTCTGTGAAATAATTAGTAAAGCTAAAAAAGATTCAAATGAAAACTTTGTTTATCAAGTTAAAAATAGTCTTTTAAAGGTTAGTCTTAGAGAGTAACTTTTAACAGTCAAACCGCGCAGTATGTATACCCTATTTACCTACTAAAAGTGGAATGATGCAATAAAAGTCTGACTGGTCGATAACCAGCTTAGAATATTTATTTTTTGAGTTAGATTATTGATTTGATAGGTAATGGATTGTTAAGTAAACACCAAACATAACTATTATCTTTCAATTTTTCTACAAGCTCCATTAAACGTTTATGCAACCCGGCATTAAGATTATCAATTATAATTATTTGTTTTTTAACCCAACCATAACTGACCTAAACCGTAGCTAAAAGAAATAAAGGATATGACGTTTCACATGGTTTATTACCTGAGAATTCAGTGGTAGAATTTCTGCGGTTCGGTTAGGATGTTGTAGGCATAGATCTGTGTATAAATACTTAGAAATACCACTTGCGGTAAAAGCTTGTTCGAGAAGGTTGGGTTGGAAAATTATTAGTGTCTTACAATACCGCGTTAAGTATTCGTTGCTATAGAATTATTTCCCAGTAATAATTATTGACGTACGCGGATAGGCTGCGGTTTTTCAGACGAAATACCGGCTAATTACTTTTTAATCAAAACCGTTTACACGCGTAGGTTAACGTCTAATCCGTCTTGACGATAGTTATTGATAATAAAACACAACAATATGACGAAATCCAATAGGCGAACTGCGTGTGCCCGATGCAACTGTTCCGAAGTCCGCACGATCCATCTGGCGCATTTGTACACTTCCAAAAAACCATTGATAACAGTTTGTAACGTTCATTAGCTCAGCGGTTATAATCCATGCGAACGGTTTGGTGTTATCCGTTCAAATTGCAGTAAAAAAATAAATAAATAAAGAGGCGCCGATAAATTGTAGTATTCTATAGTGCCAGCGAGATCCTCTATAGTTACTCATGCTTCTCAACCATTTGCGTCGAACCTAATACAGTCAAGAAGGCTCTAGCAGGTTTAAAACCCAGCGTAGAAATTCAAATTAAGATTAGGTTAGGTAAGTTATGAGTAGGAGGTACTACGTGTATAAGAAAAAAAAAAGTTATGTTGGGTTCTTTTTTAGTACATTAGTGCAAACTTCCTTAATGTTTTTAGCCTGTTTTTGAAATGATGATATCAGTCTGGTTAGGTTCGGATTTGTTAGGTTAGGTAAAATAATATATTTTAATGCGAAATTTGGGTGTTTTTTTATTTTGTTCCAATCAGGTGCAGACGCCGGAGACGAAAAAGGCGGACGCGGTCGATTTGCAAGAACTGGCCAAACCCAAGAAGAAACGAATCAGACGGTTTTCGATCAGGCCCACGATGACGTCGACAGAACCACCGGTCGATCCGAATCCGATCAGGAACAAAGACGTCCGTTTGAATATCGAAGACTGAGCAAGACGACGAGGCGACAACAAAAAAATTCGTTTTGTTGTGTATAATTTATTTTTTCATTTTTATGTACTACCCTTCGATATATCCGAAAATACTGTCTGAACTTACTGGATTTTCCGTCGGGTAAAGCTATCGACGGTGCCATTTAGAGAGAGAAAAAAATGTATACGAAACGCTTATTACCAATACTTCTCGTACGTCTGCAATATTATTTTAGCCTTCTTGAATAATTTACTTTTTACAGCCGTTATCGCGACAATATTTATAATATTATTATGTATTGCAAATACGGATAGACACGTCTCTGCGTGTGTACGTGTGTGTGTTTCAGTTGACTGTACTATGTACATATTATGTATGTCTAAGTTTTTAAGCAACGCACGTTACGGAGAACCGGAATAAAAAAAATAATAAATACAATGAAAATCATCATGTTTTATTGCAATATTGTGTTGTGTTCGATTTTTTGCTCGGATAGCCGCTGTACCAGAAAAGAAAAACGGCCAACAGCAAGTCTAAAGTGGTTACCAGTTACCATTCATCGTTTTAACCAATTTACAAAGCAATGACAACGTTTTTCCAAAATTTAAAAAAAAATTCTACATACAGACTCGGCCGAGACCGGTTCTAAATATTCATACAAAGAACATGGACGCTGTAAATAGAGGCGATTACAAAAATAACTTAACTTGCTAGATTTGTAATCAACTAAAAAAAAATCCCTCCCCACCCAAAAAAGTGTGTTTATATATATTTTTTAATGGAGATTAGTGGACTTATAAGTCTACTTCGGAAATAACTAAACAATATTGTAGACTGTGATTACTGTTGTCGAAAATTCAGGTAATTATCTACGATTTTAGAGTTATATTTTCAATATTATTGTCTCGCACGACTTAACGTGGATTTTGAGGCGTAACCCGAACCCGGTAACTTGTTCTCGGCTTATATGAAAACACAAGTGGTGCGTTTAACTGTAAATAATATCTCGAAGAGTCCTATTACAGAGACGGTTGTCCATTAAAAATAAAAAAAATTCTCATGTCATTGTGTTATGTTTAACTCCCACGTTCAAACTAGCAACAACCCATTATTGTTGTTTCTGACCGACGACGAATCGCCGGTTTAGTTATCGACAAGTAACGAATTAATATACAACACAGAACAATAAAATTATATTATTATATACATATATAGTCGTCTTCGTGAACAAAACAGAAATAAAATTTAAAAAAAATAATAATAATAATACAATTATAATTATTTATAAGACCATAACGATTTATTATACAAGTGAGAATTAAAATTAAAAAAAAATAAAATGATATAACAATATTTTATTTCACAAGTCTTATTTAAAATTCTGTACAAAAAGAAAAATATATATTTAATAATAATAATAATAAAAACTAATATTTCACACTTCATCAAACGCATTTATATACATAGTATAATATTCCTTTTTATTTTTAAATATTATAACGAGGCGATGTAATATTGATTGTAAATTTCAACGGTAAAACAAAAAACATAATAATATTTATAATGAAAACGCAAACAAGAATTTGTTTTTATTTTTAAATCGTATAGACTTCAAAAAAAAAAAATTATATAAATGTACATAAAAATATATTTGAGAATCACGTTTTCGTTTATAGTATTACCTATTACTTTTTTTTTATTTACTATAAAAACAAAAGAACAGCGTTTTTACACCGTGTTTTATTATTGTTATTTTTGTATTATATTTTAACATTCATATATATGTATACTTTATATATTTATATGATACCTATAGTTATTAGTTATTGTGTTGTGCGACAATAATAATATGTGCTTTACTCGCAATAATTATTCTCTTCTAGATCATTGTTTTAATACTGATGGCAAATATTTTATCTAGTACGAAAAAAGTTCAAGAAAAAAAAAACTCAACAACGAAAACACTTCTTCTCACATGTTATATTTTTAGTTTCCCGACCGCTCACTCTATCGTCGCCCTTCCGTGCAAAAAAAAGAATTAGCAGGCAACGTCATATCGTTTATTTTGGGGTTTAAAAAAAAAAAAAATTATCACAATCGAATTATCATTAAATTTAAAATTTTAAAACATCATTCATCGTTTCGGGTCGGGTCGACGGGGGTGGGGGTCGGTCAGGTGACCTCGGACGGTGCCGTGACCTCGATGAGAGTCACCGGAAAACCGCCTGCTTGCCACGTCCGGTTCATCTCCTCAAAAATGTCCAACAGATTGTTGATGCCGATCAAATAGCCGTCCTCGTGGTTGCCGACCACCCATTCGGACATGTGGCTTATCTTCATATCGGCCGGCAATATCAGCGTTTTGGCGAAGTCGATCAGCCACACGTTGGCGTTTTTGTTGTCGTGAACGAACAACAGCGAGCTGCCGATCACCTGCAAAAGATCAAAAAAAAAAAAAAACCATTAAGTCCGGGTAAAGTTTGCTTGCTTGCTTGTGAAAGGGCTGTTTGTGCTACACTAGTTATGCCCTCAGTCTTTTTTTCAGCCCTTAACATATAAACTGCCATAAAGATGCGAAATAAAAGAAAAAAGTCTATAGGTGTAGAATTCAGAAGGGTCTGGAGGGGAAAGAAGTAATGAGAGAGATGAGTAATGTAGACAACTGACGTTGAAAAAGTATTAATAAAAAGTTACAAATTTACGCGAAACTGTGTTAACATAAAATTAAAAAAAAAAACACAATTGTCTTGCATGCAGCCCGACAGTTATAATTTTTTTACATTTTAAGTGTTTTGTTTTTTTTAATCGTTCATAAGTAAACACGATAAAAGGATAAATTTGATACTAACCGGAAGCGGGTATTTAATAAGGGGCGAAATATAGGCAATATTTTATACACCTAATGGGAACGTAATAAATAAACTTCGGTCGTATCAATTTTTACGGCTTGAGGATTCAAATTTTAATTAGTCCCTTTATTCAACAGATATACATGGATAATATCATATAAGTTAGCACTAATTTTTGTGAAACACTCTGCTGATATTTTTTTTTATTGTTATTATTATTAAATGAAAATTGTTTTGTCAACGTTGAAAAATGCCGTCCGTCTTATTTTTAATTAAATTTATACTGAATACATGAAACCGCTTGGACGGCCAAGTAACGAACCTCGTGCGTAGTGAAAAATTTGGATTCCTCGAGGGTGTCCCTGATGGCGGTCAGCCTGCTGATGTACTTGGGCTGTGAAAAGAACATTTCGAAAAATTACAATAGTATATCGTTTTAAATACCAGTTCGACCGATTAAAACAAACGGCTCTTACGATGACGTGTGGGAAACCGTTGACGAAATCGCGGAACGCTTCGATCACTTGATCTCTACTTTTGGTCGTCTTGAAGTCCTTGCTCGACTTGCCGTCGCTCTTTTTGATGCCCTCGATCCGGAAACCCAAAGTGGCTGTCGACGAAATCGTTTCCCTCCACACCATGTACCTGAAAATGCGGTTTTCTTGAACAGTTCACAACACAAACGAGTACAACAGGGATAAATGAATTCAGCACAAAGGTTTACCTGGGTTTTGTCACGCCTTTCAACCGGTGCTCCTCTTCGGAAGGCGCGTTCGGGTCGATTTGTATCATTTTTTCGTACATGTCCTGCAACGCATGTGTAATGTTATTAGATCAACCTTGACCGTAGTAATATTTTTTAACTATCGGCCCGATGCTCCTCACCTTTCTCAGTTTGGGTTTCTCTTTGGCTTTGGCCAACTCCTCTTCCAGGTACGTCCTAACGCCGATTTTGCAGTCCATCACGCACGGCGAGGTGAAGTCGCCCAACAGATCTTCCAACTGAAGGTATACTGCACACAATCGGTTAAGGAACTTACACAGAATGATCATAATATTAGCACACAGCTACATTGAGGAGAGACTTTAACGGCGCGGTATAAAGTCAAACAAGGCGTTTTCAATAAGACCACCCGTTGTCTGGTTCAGTCACATTTTATTGAGTTCAGTTATAGAATCGAATATTGGCATAATTGCCAATATTGAACACAAGGCACATCCGTTGAAAATTCGTCAGGCACACATCGCTGACCCTATCTCGTGTTAATTAATAAAATATTACAATCGACCGCCGTTAAGGAAAAATACTTACGCAGTGTTGCATTTCAACCTGACATAATGTTTCTTTTCAGATTTTATGAATAGCACGTCTCATTAGGTAATTATTCCAAATCCGTCGTAGTAAAAATGCTAGCAATATAAAATAATGCAAAGAAACAATATCCTACATTGGGTAGCCGTGCTAAATAATTTCTTTGTAAACTCTAAAGCGACGGGTGTGTAACAAATAACAATCGAAAATCGTTAAAAAAAACTCATAAAAAACAAGATAACGTACATAAAACAGCTTAAACGTTGATTACAAAAAACATTCCTGAATGTTAAGTATGGAGACTACTAGCGTGGATTGTAACTCTACGGTTGTTGGGTTTTTTTAACGGTCGGCCAAAGTTAGATTACTTGGATTCTGTGTGAACTTTGAAATGTCTGCGTGACTTACTAATACATTTTCTGGAAGTCTTAAGAGCGACCGCAGATGTTATAGTTGGCGTATAAGAAATTATCGTTACAGACCGAAACTTTGTCTTATCCGTTATTATGAAATTATTTGTAATTTGCTCATTACACACCAACCGAAAACGAAAAACTAAATATTTGTTTTGTATTGATTTTTCTGGAAGTACACATTTTTCGGTTGTACGGTTTGTTGAAAACCGTTAATGTATAAAATATAATTAGTAATTAAATAGCGAACGGCCAACGCGTATGTTAATATTTAATTTATGTGAAGTTTATATTCTGTTATCGATACCTATATTTTTTTAACTATGTAATAGGTTTAGAGGGAGGGGCATATTTTCGTGGGGACGGCTTAGTTAACGGGAAAACTAACATGACCGTATTTCGAACGTCGTAGTAATTAATACAGTCATAAATTTTAATAACAACGAATTCGTATTCGCTACCGCGGTTAGCGTTTTACTTTTATTATTATTATTATTATTATTATTTTTGTAATTAGCCATGTTATGACGTAATAGAGTAGGTCATGGACTGTCCCGACAAAACGATAAAAAACAAGTGCGCCGGCCGATAATTCGACGGAAATACGAACACCACACTACGAGTATATACATACACTACAACAAGCATTATACTATAGTACAGACGAAAAGACGTCATCGCCGAAGGTCGTAGACAAAATATAAATTTCCTTGTTTATAACGCTTAAAAACCGTTTTATAATACTGTATAGCAAATAGAAAAAGGATACGGTCTCCGTCTTCGGTGGTCAAGTGCCCCTTGTACTCGGGAACGAACGGCCTGAGCACGTCTTTCATTAACACTTGGAAGCACAACTGTTCTTTGGGACACAATTTCTTCAGGATGGTTCCCGGTTCGGGACCGGCTTTGAAGTTGCCTGGAAAAAAAAACACACACACACACACGTGATTAAAAAAATAATAATAACCGCGTGTACAAAGGCGGTAACGAACTGTGTCGTCATTCCAAAGCCGAGTGGTAAGTACTTATGAGTGTAAATATTAATACGGTGATTACACGCCCCAGTCGATATGATAGTATGTGGACGTGAAAGATGACGACGCATTACTTAGCGTTATAAAAATTCAATATTACACTCCCAAACCGAAATGAACGCACAGAATAATCGCGCGGAGTACCTTACTGAACAAATCGACAAAATAATTATTCCCAAGCCCTAACAGATTTTGATGTTTATCTCGTAGATGTATTAAATTAATTGATAAGTTGGTGTTAATTAAATTTAACATTGATTTTACACAAAAACATAACAAAACATTGTCTTTTTATTCAAGGACTGGATGTATCTGTTGTTGAATTCCAAAATCGGTTGTCCTTTACCCAATGATAAAGGACCACCTTTGTAAATAATTTTAATGATTTTGTGTAATTTATTGACTTGAACTTAAGCAGAGGTTTTACGCGATTCACTCTGTATACATTCAGAATTCAGTAGTACTAGTTTTAAAATAGTTGTAATCGTGTTCAGTATCAGTATACTAATCAATACGTCACGGAATGACCAATAATAAATTAGTTACGGTCTGTAGACAGATTCGGGCATTACTAGAATGAACCACTAATAAAAATTGTCATTCCAATCAATTTGTTTGTGACTAATTCGTATAAAATTAACATCCTATGATTACAATTTATGTGTCATTCGATTTGGTTCAGCTGTTTTTCGTTAATTAGTCAAATTTTGCCCAAACCTATGGATCGTTTGAACACAGCGAACTCGTCGCCGCATATAATTACCGTACAATCAAGTGGATTTTATTTTGACCAAGACAAGCGAAAATGACTAATTTATCTAACATTAAGAAAAAAATATATTTTTTTTTTTTTAAAAGAATGGATTTCTGTGAATAGACACTATATGTCTTACGTGACGCGACGACTGCGGATTAGGTAGGTAGGAAATGACCAAAAAAAAAAAAAGAACAATTATTATAATAATACTAATAATACACTATGAGCAATGACTAACATTCGATGAGCAAATAGTTTTCCCGTTGGCATAATACTGATAAGGTCTTTGGAAAGCACTTAACACTCGGCCGACGAGATTATCGCCATTGTTTATCCAAGCCTAAGTCGTTAAACGCTTTTTACAAAATATGTTTTGTGTGTACACTATTTAGCTGTTGTATTATTCGTTAAACGACGTTTGTTTAGTTCTCTTTAAAATCCAAAGACGGTTTTATTCAGGAGTTATAATAACTGGAGGGTAGGTCAGGGTAAAATATACATTTGTATAGATTAAGACGTGTGTAGGTATTGTACAATTGTTTTTTAATTTTTTTTTACTACAGCATTGTACAGTACGGAATGATGAAATCGCCGAGTGTTATACTTTGTCGATTAATAATTGATATTTATTTACTCAATCGGTTTCGGAACACTTTGATTGGTTGTTGTTAGACTACCTATATTAATTTAAGAGGACAACCGTGAGAATGCATCGATCCTACTAATATTTGCTAACTTTAGCGATGACGACGAGGACATCATAATAGATTTGTATGATACTTTATCACTTGGTAGGGTGTCAGATAACATTAATGTCAACAGAGGAGTCACGCGATATGTCTTCGAGTCGGAATAGAATCTTATTTAATAACACTACATGTAAATAATTTTCACTCTCCTTCTCGTTCTGACTTCGCTTTTTTTTTTTTAAATAAACCTTACCTAAGCTAACTGAAAACATAACGTAGCCTAGCCTAACTTAACCTTATCCAATCTAACTTATCAGGTAGTTTATTGCTCTAAATTTAATGTCTGATAACCGCCACTGTTTTATTATGTAGTTAGGGCCAATGTTGGTAGTAAAAATAAAAAGTAACAACGCAGCTTATCGTGAGTTCAAAGCGTTGTTTATAATGAGATCTAAAGATGGAGTATCAAAATAAATTTGACACAGTTTTTATTTCCCAATAATAATAATTGATCGCCTTAATCGTTTCAAGTGTAAACTGTTGATCAATCGGTTGAATTATTGAATTCGTTTCGAACAAGCTTCCGAAAAAGCGTTTAAGGTATCAGTTTTTTTTTTAGTAAGCTTATTATCATAACAGCTGTAAAACGTCGGCCAGGAAGATTATGGTAGCCGGAATATTTAAAAATGTAGCTATTTCTCTAGAATAAAATAGCTAATATAAAAGTAGTTTTATCGCTTAACAAAAAAATATTGCTGTAAACCATACTGTGCAATTGTAACAAAATTTGTTTTTTAACAATTGAAATGTCTGTAGTGTGTACCAAATTCAACCATCTGTATGCTAAGGAATATAGAAATATTTTGTTAACGGTTTAACAATACATGGTAAACCGATATTTAAAGTAATAAAAAAATATTGTATATTTAAAATTTTAAGCATAAACAATCACAGCAAAGGCGTTGCATTAAAAATAAGTCATAGGTTCGAATAATAAACGTAGTTATATTTATTTTTTTAACAAACAAAGCATTTTTTTTCAAGTAATTTATTTTTATGTTTTGTATTTTATGCGTTTAAAACATTTGTCATGTTAATTGAGTTACATCATTATAACTGAAATTCTAGCGATTTTTAATTGATAATTATAAACGCATTATTTTAGTTCAATTTGTAATAAATTGCTCGTTCGTGCAGTTTGTAAAGCTTAACGTGGAGAATTATAATTTTTAATAATTTGTATTTAATTACTGAAAATATTACTGATTAAATATCAAGTATTTTTTTTAGTAATTCATTACCTTTTATTGTAGATTTGTTGATTTAATAACGTCAAACAAATAACTTATGATCTATATTTTAATCTAGAATTCTATTAGGTATTTAATACAATAATTATAATAGTGATGTGTATAAATTAGGAAAATGTATTTGGTGAAATATATGTTTTTGAAAAATATAAAATTAGAGAAAAAAAAGTATCTTAATAAGTCGACACTGTTAATAATGTTGTATTGGGTTTGATGACATCACCGCAATGTTTGGAGGAAATTACAAAAACTAGCATTTTTAAGCTTAGGTGTACTATTTTTCTCAGCCATAATAGTCAGATGATGTTATAACATTATAGCAATTTCCTAGCCCAGTTAAAATATATTTCAAATATAATATATTTTAACTATACAAAATTGTCCAAAGATGTGTATTCAATTTTTATTCATTACTTAATTATTTATTGTAATATATTCTAATGAAATATTGTCGTTTTTATAAAAAATACATTTTTATTCTAAGTTGACGTCTCGAAAATATAAATTTCAATTTATATTCAAATATCTCACCGTCATAAATTTCAATCAATAGTTTTCCTACTCGTTAACTTTGATGTTGTTACAATAAAATATAGTCATTCCTAGTAATTTTATTTTTCTATATAATAGAAAATGTACCTATTAGTATTTGACTGCGAAAAAACGGTGTTTCTTCAAAAATAACCATCCCTCTGAATATAATATGTATCTCTAAGTTCCATCGAATACCCATTGCGAAAAATATTGATTCTAGCTGGATATTTTCCAACAAACAACATGCTTAGATTGCATTCTTCTGGATAGAAGACATCATATACCTACAGACACACAGCTGGAACGCGGATTGTTCGACCGTGTCTAGATGGAAATTTTACTCATACTCATCCGAGAAAAGTACATGTGTGTGAATAATGTGTCGGATACCGGGGGGGAAAAATGTACTTAAGCACCGTGTTTTAACCGTGTACACATCGACGGTTAACCCGGAGCGCAATACAAACTGGTTATTTTACACTAGCGACCAACGCACATACACACACACACCGCACAATGCATCCGCCGGATCTCGCGGCTGAGTTCGATAAATGATCGTAGATTTGTACATATATTTTTTTAATTAATGATCAAAAATCTAAAATAGAACCTATAGAGAATAGCCACATAACTCCGGACGACCCACAGCGGCCGCACGATGTGTACAGATTTCTTCGGGGCGTTTGGGATTTATAATAATATAATATAAATTATGGTCGAATCCAACGAAAGTACAATAGATTAATCTAGCTGGCGTTTCAATTATCAATAGAATCCAGAGCAAGTAAAAAGAAACTCGACAAACCGACTACATCCAGTTGTTTTGTCCGGTTACAAAACAATAGTATTGCACTGAAATTATTAGGACACGCGTAATTAATGTAGTATACTTAATGTAACTAAATGTATAGTAATAATACCATTGTTACTGTTATTAATTTATTCTTAAAAAGTAATTTTTCTACTAAAATTGATTTAGTAAGCTGGAGTAAGTGAGTAAGCTTGTTAATGTTTAACAACACAAAAGCTCCGAAGATTTTACAGGTTACTCATGCGACACCACAGTGTTGACAGTAGAAATGTTTTTATTTAAAAAAAAAAAACCTAATTAACACTTTGTCTCAATCGATTGCTTGTAATAATTAGTAATATTTAATTTTTTTTAGACTGCAACCATAAAAATTTACTTTATAGGAAATTGGAATACAAAAAAGTACATTTTGTTGTTTTTAAAAATTTAATTATGCGTTTTACTACAATATGTAAAACATGTATCACATGTACTTAATCATAATTAAAACGGACACAATTCATAAAATATGTGTTTACTCGAAAATTTGACATTTTGTTTTTTATGAGTTTCCCATTTAAATTTTTTTATAATGTTAATAATTTAATAAGGAAATATATGTAATTCATTTTCCATCGTTCAACATTTTATTGCGTTTGTCTAGACATTGGGCAATAAAACACATTTTTTAAAATTATTTTTAGCGTTAACTCAGTGATTTATATTTTTGTTGTCGATGAACCGACCAAAACCGTCGAGTCAAAGAAGTTTTAAAGAAGTAATTATTTGTATGTTATGCTAACGCATTACAACTAATAATTGGGAAAATTATTGACATTTTTTTTGTTGTTAAAAATATTTTTAAAGTAAAATCTGTCAGTTGTGAGTAGTTGTTGTTGTTGTTGTTTTAGAATCAAAACGGCTAAAATAATCCGGAATCAATATAGTTATTAACAAAACAAATTTACATATTTACTAAATTTCAATAATTCAATTTTTTCAACCACAATATAAATCCAACATATAAAGTATAATGATGACTTGTATTTATGTAAATAATAGTTTTTCGTTTTGTTCTTCATAATGAAGTTACATGATCGTTCTTTAATTAAGCAAAACAATTTTGTTTTTATATCCCAATTCAAAAAGCAATACCTAACAAGATGGTTGGAGTAGTGTACAGACCGAGTGACTTTCAGGCATTGGAGAAATTCCCGGGTGAGTTTTTTACATAACATTGACTTTAGATCATATTTTTTTCCAAATTTTACAGTCAAACAAATCATGTAAATTCTACACACAAAACGGTGTGTGGTGATCGTTTAGGCAACAGCAGCTGATGGAACAGTACACAAATCATAATTGCTGTACGAAAATCAAATGTATTTTTTGTTTGTGCCTGTCGAGTCGAGTACAGGTAAGTACTATTGTTTGGAAAAATTGTTTTAAAACTCAATATAATATAATAAGCCAACATATTGTACATATTGTACAATTTGGGTTCCATGTTGTGCGACAAGTACACACTAACTAGTTTCCTATGGGTTAGTACGAATAATATTAAAAAAAAATCGTGTGGAGGTTTGCACTTGGCATGTTATTGATTTCGTCTTTACTACATTGTACTTTTATGCGATCACAACGTATAAGTGTTGTCGATTTTTAAATAATTCATATTGTATTAATAAATGTTTATAATTACCTTGGTGGCCGGCTAATTGAACCCAAGGATACCTCTGTTTTTTGTAGGTCTGAAAGAACGGCGTCCACTGAACGATATTTCTCAGTTTCCGCCATCCGGAATGCTGTAAAAAAAATATACACAAATCCATTGTTAATAAAACTCACTGAAATCAACGCTCTATAAAAATAATATAATCTATTGGAACGGTCAAACGGTTATAAGCCAATTTGTAATATACTAGTCAAAGCAAATCGCAAATGTCGATCATAAGACGAATGTTGGTCGTCGCTACTGTCTTGTTTGTACCTGAACGATCAGCAAGTAGGTACTGTTTTAACTTTTACCTACCTAAATCTAACTATACACCTAATAGTACAGTATCATAATATATTTTATAGTGTTCACCCGTCGGCGGTTACCACGTTTGTAAGACAAATGGCTTGCTTGTAGTAAACCGCTTGTAGAAAAAGTTGTATATTAATGATATATAGGGTATAGAAAAAAAACTTAGAAAAAAATGAAAATAAAAACCGGTTCTAAGCGTAATCAATTGATTTGGATGATCCGTAAATCGTCATAATCTAGTTTAAAGCCCATTAAAACGGCAATAATGTTTTAATACAAATTTTAAGTATACCATACGTTGCATAACCGATAAATCAGGCGAACTCTTGTGTATAAATCGTCGATTTGCGGAGGCACCGGTCTAATCGTAGAAAATAACATGTGGTCTTTCGATATATTTTATAACATAATTATGCAGAGTGGAAAACCGATTAATTTTTAACGCATATAACATACAGTGTGGGTTACCTTAGAGACGTCTTGGCAGATGAAGCTGCTAGTATTTATCTATTCTATTGTAGGCAGTACCGCACACATCACTAATTTTTTTACACATTTTTGTATTATTTTTTAATGTACCAAACGTGTGAAAAAATCAGTGCCTAGAAATGTTAGTTCAGAATAGCCGTCAACAAAAATAAACAAGAATATGCCAGCAAATAATACTGTAGTCAATTCAAGTACCTACAAATGTATTATACGACCAAAGTTTTTAAAACGGTATCGTCAAAAATGATGTATTACTAATATATATATTTTTTCACGGCGTTGGGTTAGGCTAGGTTCGACGCAGGTGACAAGAGAAAAAAGGCAAGGTAAGGTAAGGTAACTACTCTCCAGAAAAACATAGGAAAGTTATACATTCTTTTGGACACGTGACCTTTTTTTTTTTATACATAAATCTTAAATACTCTACGAGTTACGTTATTGCTGATTGGTCGCCACGTCAGACAGACAGTTTTGTATGGGATTTACTGTGTACCAACAGCTATTTTGTTCAACACTGTATGATAATATACACAGGCGCGGACAGACCGTCGATGCGCCGTGATGAATTAATCCTTTGAAACCGATTGCCGCCCACCCGAGTCAATCGAACGAGACAAATAGAATAATAATAATATTTTTCTGCGCGTTTTTTTTCCCACGCCACGTCAGGTAGATACTTTTTATTTTTTTACGGACCGCAATTTTTTTTTTTATCATCTTTTCCGACTGTAGAGTCATCGCTTTTTTTTCCCATTTCGCTACAAACATTATAATTTCTATTATATTATGCTCTTCCAACGCAAAACGTTTACCCGGCGAGCATACTAAAAACAAAACAAAAAAACCTTAACCCAGACAAACCCTAGCCGGACCACCGTCCGCAGCATATTATATAGCGGAGGCGTTAACCGTCTTCGCCGTCGTTGTCGTAATGAACGCGCGCCATGCATTATTTATATTCGTACCTATTTATTAAGTCTTATTATTATAAGCATACACGACAACAAACGACGTTTAACTTCGCCCGAAACCGCACACGGCGATGAAGAGACCCACACGCGTTATCGGCCAAGAAGTATTTGCGACCGACCATCATAATATTATTATTGTTACTATAAATTCTTATTCAAATCATAATTGAGAGAGAGAGAGATGGTGTTAAAATTTAAACGAGCGTAACACGTGCCATAATATACGGTGATAAGTTTTTGATGAAAAAAGCTCGACGCAGTTTTAAACTTATATCGGTCAACATTTGTTGGGTCAGAAAAAAAAAATAAAAGACCCCCCCCGCTGAAACTATTTGGGTTTAGGGTTTTATTTTTTGCCAACTTTTGCGTCACGGCAAGCTGAAGATGATTTGCACGAAAAGAAACAACATTTAAACACATCATGAGTTGGCTATAAAAAAATTGTGTTAGTAGTTGTACCTCTGGTAAAATATGTTAATTTAAGTCCTTGGAATTATTAAAAACCATTTTAACCAAGTTGTTTTTTTCAACAATATTTCAATTAAACGTTGCATTTTCAAATTCATGGCTTAAACGCTTGACAAATAAAATACGTTTAAAAAAACTTGTGTGGTTTTTCCTTTTGTTTATAAATTATAATAATAAACAGGCTTACGCTCAGATATTGAATGCACTGCCAGTAAAAGTTTAAAAAAAATATATATATATAAATATTGAATTAAATTAATTAAAACTAATGGGTTTAACCAGAGACGACCGATAACTGCGCATTCATAAAGGACATTTTTTTTGTATTGAAACCTTTTTTTTTTTTGTTAGTTCACTACGAGTGATAACTGATAACTGAAATTAGGTTTCATTTTATCACATAAATGTCACAGTATGTATTTTTGTACAAAACAGACATCAAACATTGTTGCTGACTCAGGAATTCCGGACCGTCCCCGTTCGGACCTACGCGATAATATAATGTATTACATAACATGTTATAATCATTTGTCGTCCGCTCGTCAACACCTCGAGCACGTCTCTTTTGACAACGTATTTATATTATTGCTGAGACGTCCACATACCATACACACCTGCCCAGAATCGTTGAAACAACTGCTGCGGCTGAAGCGAAAAAAAAAACATGTGTACCTAATAATAACCAAGTGCGATTCAACATGGGACCTAATGCGAGTATAGTAGTATGCGTACGTTGGTTTAAACAACGGTTTTTAAACTCAACCGCATGTCCTTTTTTAAAATACTACAACAAAATATGTAACAGTGCGCGTTGTTGGTAGAATGGTACGTACACTTATAGTACATCTATTAACGTTGGGCGTTATCTCTCTGCCAAAGCAAAACGCCGTAATATTTACAGCGAGTCGTCCTAATTGACTGGAAATAATATTATGCCGACGTCGAAAACAAAGTCGGGGTACGCTTTCGAATCGGATTAACGTTAAAAACGATGCGGAATGAAAAGAAATATTATAGAAAGATAAAAAGAATACAGTCGATTAGAGGCGAAGTCATCGAAAATCTGTTTTTACCGGTGATCTATTATAAGAAATTACGTGCCATGATCTATTGATGCTTATCCAAACTGTAATCAGTAATCCAGATGTGAGAAAATTACCATCGGATACATTCGTGCAAATTTAACTCATTAATCAATTTCAATACCAGCGCATCTACCACCAATGTCATTAATATAAAAAAGTAATCATTACTATTACCGTACACACAAATCATTAATCCTCTTTCTCGCCTCGCAATTGTTGTTCTAGCATGTCCAGTTATCACTTCAAATAAAAAAAATTTGAAAATAATTTTTCAACGTGTTCTGTACGTTTGAATGGTCTTCTAAAATTTGTTTCAAATGAATTATTATAATTATCTTTTCCGTTCTGAATTCACAATTGATATCAGACATAATGTAAATGTTTTCGTATTTTTATACATTTCATATATCATAGTTTTAGTGTTTTGATTTATGAAAAATAAATCTGTTTCAGCAAAATAAATTTCCATTAAAATCATTAATGATCAAAAAAAGTTTTTTACGTTCAGTTAAAAATATTATTTTTAATTATATTATTTTATTGAAAATCGCCGGCACTTTTTTCCTTGTTTAAATTTTAAAAAATAGAAACCCGAAAAATATACGAATCAAAGCTGGTTATCGATCAGGCATTATTTTTATTTTCAATGCACAATCAGTTGCCCGTTTGAACTATCTTTCAAACAATTATATACCATTTAACTTAAATATCAATTACAAGTACAATTTTTAATAATTTATAAAATAACGATTTTATCCGGAACTTAATTTCTGACACAATATTATTTGTGAGAAAAAAAATGACTAACATGAAATTTGAGTTACCCTGTATATTCGACACCGTTATACACTCGGTAGTACGTCATGCGCGATAATCAATTTCATACCTCTACCACAGTCTTTGCAAAAAAAAAAAAAACATCAGCCTGTAAAATCGCGTAGAACCGTTTGCGTCCTTCCGGAGCGCGTTCACTACCGCCCACGTACTTCCGGGATCCGAAATACATCTTTTTATCTATACATATATATTATAAGATGTATCATTTTCATTTTCGTCGAGAAACCTCCCTAGGAAAGGGCAGCGATGGACTTACGCGAGCTGTTGCTCGAGTCGTTCGCTGCTGAAAATACAATATTATTATCATCGAGAAACCACGACCCGGTGAAGATTCGCCTTATCGATTGGGGACATGATAAAAAAAAACCGTGTAAGATATTATAAACGTATAAAAACATTATTCCGTGGCCGACCAGAGGGGGAGGGGGGAACTACAAACACAACCGGTCCCCCTGGCGAGGCGTGAATGACCTGCAAAACAGATGCCAATCACTTTGTCGTCCGGGCAAGACGTACGACAACGGTAGTGATAATAATTTGTTGTTACACTTTTACCGGCAAACCTAACCTAACCGTCGTCGTCGTCGTTTACAGCTTATATAGCTGCTACTTAGCTGGTAGTACACACACACATACAAAACCTACGTTGTCGGTTCTACTACATAAAAGATACACAAGTCGCGTTTCAGCTGTGGCACGCTTATCAGACGCCCATTGGCGCAATTTGGGTCAAATTTTTTGGGGATGCTAGATTTAAGTCGATAGAGTAATTCGTGGGGAAACTGCACCTTCATTACGCTAATTAACTCATCCTAAAAATTTTATATAGGCTATTTAGGCTAAAATATACTATTGATTTAATATTTATTATTACACTACATTTATTTTAACAAAATATTATATAGTTGTTTGTAAAAAACAAATTT